CGTGGCGACCTCTGCTCCTGACAGGTTTGTGGCAGATGGGTCAAATGCAGAGGCCACATTTTCCCACAGAGACAATAAAGTATATCTTTACACTTGATTGTCCCTGTAGGGATAAACACATGCCTGCACACACACACACACACACACTTTAATCAATAATAACTTTCAGATATGAGGGGGCTTGTGGCCCTTTGTGAACTGCTTAAATAGTTTAAAATGCAAACTGCTAATGGCCTCTTTGATGATGAAAAGGCTACAGGGACATTAAACACACACAAGCCAACACACTAAGAATAGAAAAAACTTCAGCTTCCAAAATCCCCAGTCAAGTCTCAAAAAGCTGCTGGCAGAACAGAACAGTAAGAGGATTGAGAGAGAAAAGCCTGGCTGTTTTCTGTCTCCTCTCAAACAGTATTCCATACTCTCTGATTCTTCAGAACATTATAGAATTTACTATATCTTAATTCAGCAGTTTTTATGTCTTTCATTTTAGCTTCTTTGTTCAGAAAATGTAACTTCTCTATATTATCTGTTTTTCTAGTTTGGCTGACTTTTTCTTTTCAAAACTGCATTGCAAAGTTTTTAAGTGGCTAAATCAATAGAACTATGCATAGTGCTTCACATAATAATCTCTTAACACCCGCCTCATTTTGGCTTGTGCACAAAAGTTGGGCATACCCAAATGTCTTTGCTTATTTAAAAACACATTTTACATGTCACATGCTTGTGTGATGCAAAAATACAGTAAAATAATGTATTTCATTCCTATTTCACTCTGCATCCTTTGAAGTTTGGGAAAAAAACCAAATTTTTTGGCCTCATCTAAAATTCAATTCAATTTCTAAAGGCCCTAAAAATAGGATAGTTCATTGTTTGCTCACAATATTCAAACCCTATGGGCATTGTGTTGTTGGAAACACCTGTCTAAAGTTTCAAACTTCTAAGTTTTATAGTTTTTATGAAATTTCTCTTTTTCATCAAGTAGTGCCATTTGGAGCACTTTGTGCCAAATAGTGCCAAATGGCTTTACTGACATTTCATCATCATAAAAAACATATTTTTTAGTTTTGGTACTTATAAGTGATTTTTTTTTACATTTTTTCAAAGTTCATATTTTAGTAGTGTAAATGCATATAAAATGTGAGCTGCACCGTTCCAGCGTCTCTTTCCCTGCTTTACGCGTCCTTCTAATGGTACAAATAAGTACCCCCATGTCCCACCCATTGCTAGAAAGCTTTCCTTATTGGCTACTTGGACATGTCAATCATTCGGCAAAAGGACACTTCCCTTGCCATCTGGCTAACAACAAATACAGACGGACCATGCACAAAAGTTGGCCGCTTGTTTTATTCACGGGGGTGTTGCAGTTTAACTCAAGCACGTATCTCTGCATGAAAGGTCTCATTTTTCAGCTGACGAGTTAGAGAACACGAGCATACCCTGTGTGTGGGTGAAAAACAAAAGCTAAAGTCCGCGGACTGTAAAGAGCAGCCTCTGTGTTCTTTCAAAACATTTTTGCTTATTTCTCCAGAATGGATAATACTTTGGAAATTACAAGTGGATGTTCTTTTTCCATGGACATTTACGGAGTGAAAGAGCTTTAGGAAGCTGGGAGGAGAGAGTAATTGTTTAGTATAATGGGTCTTCTCACTGAAATGAATGATGAAAGATGAAAATGTACAAAGGCAAGTTATCTATGACAATGACTCTTTTTGTATAATTGATTATTATTATTATTATTATTAAATGCAATGCTTTCTGTTTTGGTAAAAACTTGTGTGGCCTGTGCAGATAGATGGAGCAGAAATACCATGAACGCATGAGGCCAGAGTGGACAGACAAGAGCCTCACTGGGGATGAAAAGAGATTGATTGGCAATGATACAGTGAACGGTGAGAGAGAAGTGACAGCGGAACAGTGTGTGATTGAAAGGAGAAGCGGAGCGGGCTATAAGCACCCAGGCAGTTTATGCTCATTAGTGCAGCTCAGCCTTTGAAGCTGTACACCTCTGACACAGGAACCAGCCCAGAGACAGTCACACTGAAATTATCATGTTTACATATATCAAATCACAAACACACACTACTTCGCAACAAATGCTGTTTCAAAATGTAAGGATTTGTGTGCTATAGTTAAAAATCTAATCATGGCTGGACACTACAACTGCAAAAAGTTTCTATTTTGTCATATAATAACGCATTACTTCTGCCTGGCTCCACAGCTCCTCTCTATCTTGTGTGTGAACGGAGAAGGTTAATCATGGCAAGTAATGGCAAGCAAAAAAAAATCTTCAAACATACAATTCTGCAAGGCATGTCAGTGTCAGGCAGAAATCAGGTAGACTGATTCACTGCCACAGCCCAACCTTTTGATAAAGTGTAGTCCCCATATAAACCAGGACAGCCTCCTGACAGATGAAGCCTAGCATTGCAGGGTCTGGTTAGTACTTGAATGGGAAATACCAGGTCAGTGTATCCTTAGACCTTCATAGTCTTGTATAAGTCAAGGTTTTGTGTTTTTCATATTGTTCAGTAATGTTTAAGACACTGTTTGTTACTTTCTGGAGGTTGAAAAATCACCTTTATAATACCATGGAAACAGAAACCCTTTATACATCATCTGTCCCATCAAACAGCCTTACAAAACACAAAGCTTGTCATAATAATTTGTTCAACCATTGAAAGAACTGCCGGCAACTGTAGACAATAATACTTCCAAAACGTATGAACTCAGTAGAAGACAAATGGCCAGGAAAAACACATTTCCACTCAAAGATAGTGTCAGCTCCCTTTGTGTAAGAGAGATGGGTATCACATTACATAACTGAGATGAATGACAGATATCCCTAACACCATCAGAAAATCGTCTTACACCCAGTGGGCAAATTTAAAGGATGCCTACTCAGGAATAAAATTCTTTAATTTTCTGGGTGAAAGTCAGTGACTCACATGGGAAAAGGAGGTTGTTGGCTTTACATTCAATTAAACTCTAATCATCTGAATAATGTTGTATATTATTAATTAAGCTCACAGTACAAATGAAGACGATGGATGATTTTGAATAGGGCTGTGATTGTAATTTTTCTAAGAGTGTGACTGTTATTTATAGGTTTTTAATGCATGAAGCTGAATCCGTCACACTCTGGTACATTTTGGACAAGGAACATACATGTAGCCCTTCTGATTAAACAGTAAATGGCGGAGAATTTTTTGTTGTTGTAAAGAAACAGAACTCATGTATTGTTTGCATACAGTATGTAATCTGCAATAGTAAGTAAAGTAAAGTAAATATTTGAAAATTATTAAAGGCAATAATTTACTTTTAGGTTAAGGTGAAGGTATTTATTGTCCTATTGTCCCCATATGGAAGTATGTCCTCTGCATTTGTCCCATCGTTCAATATCTTTTGAGTCTCTGTCAGGAGCAGTGGTCGCCACAATCAGCGCCCAGGGCCCATCTCCAGATGTTGATGCCCGACTTGGTTAGGACTAGCCTGGCGTTAGCCATCCGTACACTCCGGTCAATCATCATTTCCCTGCATGTAGCGTCTGGGTCTGGTCCCTGTGTTAGCGATTACAATCGGTTGAATTCCATACGACCAATCAGCGAGCGCGGGAGGCGGGTGTTGTAGTTAGTTGAGGGTGACGTAAAGAGTTTGCGCCGAACGGGCAGGTTGTAGTTTGGAAATGGCAAAACAATGCGATAGTAAAGCAATCCGGGCTGGTTCTATCAAGAAATTGAAGCCGGAGCAAGAGGAATGTTTAGCAAATGTAATTGCTGGCAAAGATTGTGGGGCTACTCCCCACGGGCTCCGTTGGCAGCAAAGGAGATGGCTAGGCTAAATGCTAAATGCTAACAACAGACTCGGGCGCATTACATACGTGACAGTAAACTCAGATCCAATCGTTTCAATCTGCAAAAGGAGTTAATCCCTCCCACCTGTTCCCGGAGCTTAATGGAGCACCTCCAGACCTTAGTACGAAATGTAATTTGTACTATGGTGTGGTAGGACCAGGCTAGGTTAGGACTACCAGAGGATGTGTTTAGCAGTAGGGGAAACAAAGCACCTGGAGGAAACTGATGCACCCAGAAGAAACCTACGCAGATATGGGGAGAACCAGGATTCGAACCCGGCACTTTAATCCTGAAAAGAGAGTGTTAATAACTTATCGCTCTCTTGTGCTTGTATCTAAAATTACTACTAATGTTTGAAATCAAAATTGGTGTAGGTTGTTCAATAAATAACTACACTAAACACATCTATAATAGTGCTTCAATATCATTTAGGTCATCACCACATTCTGCCAAATTTAACATGACTCAAAAATGACTTCAAAGACACAATCAGCACATTTTGCTCCGGACACCAACATGGAAAAGTGATGGTGGAGACATATCTTACATTGCTCAGATCCACACTAAAATAGCCTGTTATGTCAGCCTCATGTATTCTCCCCAAAAAAGAGCAAGAAACCAGACAAAGAGCGCTCTCAATAATTCACCACTGCTGAAATCCATTACTCTGCATTTATAATACATTGTGTGGCAAGAGACAAACCACGCAAAACTGAGCACAACATCCCCCCATCTGACTCACAACACATACTTGCAGTACATCACGTAAAACTAACAGGCACCGGCAGAAGTGAGAGGAACCCACACAAGCAGACGCCTTCTCACCTCCCAAAGTGACAAAATGGAAAATCAGTGACGTCACGACAGCTGTGTGGGGATAAGCTCCGTGCACCTTGAGTCGTGTCGGGCTGTTATAATCAAACATGTTTCATGAATGTGAACACTGCCAAGATACTTCCATGTCAAGGGCATTCATGGACAACTGAAAGCAGCCGTGAAAAGAGCTTGTAGGGGATTACAATATGGATGTGTTGAAAAGGAGAAATCTATGCATAACATGTGCTGGTATCGCTAATATTTTCCCATTTATTCTTTATCTGACTCATGTAACAGGCAATATTACAGCAGCCTTTCCCAGTCACTCACCTCCATGCTGGTGAGATTACAGCGGTGAGTGCCAGCGAACCAGCCGCTGCTCGAACACTGGTCAATGTCCACATCCTGTAAGTTCACGTCCACACGCACAACACCTCTGAAACAAGACAAGACAGACAAACCTGTTCCATTAAAGGTAAACATCCTCCTCAATACACTCTAAAGACATATTAGCCAAGTTTATGTATTTTAATGCTAGAACTCCCATAGAAGTCAATTTGACGGCTTTTTGTCTTGGAAATATAATTACTGTTTGTATATCTTTTTGGTCTTCCTAACTTTGTGACAATTTCTGCAAAGAAATATTGTTTATTGCAATGTGATTATTATCTCAATCCCCGACTGGATGGGTTCAGAGCAAGTGCTAGTTACCATAGCAACACACTGTTTACTTGCAGCAGTTAGCATTTTGTTTTGCTGTATTACATTATATTAACCAGTTTTAGCATGCATCAAAGATAAAAAACAATTTCATTCATCAAAAAACTGTAATCCGAGTACCACCAAATGACCAAAAACTGAATTTAAAAATAAGTTACTCAAAAATAGTATTCTGGATATTTATTCCTGCTGCATGTATTTTGTTTCACCCCAAAACAGGAAATGACTGAATAGTTACATTTTGTTGAAGACATTGACACCATTTCTGACTTGATATTTTCCTAAGAAAGGCGACTTAGCTTTAACCCTGCCAAGTCTCTCATCATTGTTTTACTGTTTTTTTTTGTGTGTGTGTGTGTGTGTGTGTGTGTGTGTGTGTGTGTGTGTGTGTGTGTGTGTGTGTGTGTGTGTGTCAGAGAGTGTGCATGGGAGTGTGTGTGTGTTTGTCTGTGGTTTGGGATGGGTCTGTTGGGTGGTCGGGGGGAGGGGACATGGGCCGGCGGGATTGTTTTTAACCAAACTGTAAAGCACTTTGTGTTGCATCTTTTGTATGAAAAGCGCTTCATAAATAAAATTTGATTGATTGATTGATTAACTCATTTTATGTTCTTCATTGAGACTGTTGGCCTCAATGTTTGAACTTTTAACAACAAGGAAAACAGTGGGAAGCTACAGACCATCTGAACAAAAGAGAAAAAAGGAGAGATGATAACAAGGAGCATGAAGGTGAATATTATGCAAATGCAGTGGATTGTATAAAATAATGTTTATCAAAGAGTGGGGTAAAACTACAGAAAAGAGTCACAATAAAGGACCTGCACTCGGAGAGAAACATACCCCGCCAGCACCACGGATCATATGGAGATTTCAGTGGGGTCTTCCTACCATCTTATTCCATCTACACACTAAATTTCAGCTAAATCTGTCCAGTAGGTGTATTGTACAATCCTTCCGATAGACAAACAGACAAAAGCCCACACACAGAGATGATTACAATACCCTGTTGTCAGGTTGCAGTAGATCTAGTGTGTGGAGGTGATTCTGCATCATTTCATGTCAGTATAGTACAGTATGTCCTACTGTAAATTAATGTAAATGTTTATTTTAACATACACCTAGGATACCTAACTTTCAAACTACACTTATGTTGCTCGTGCTCTGAAAACTTGCAAATGAATGGATTATTATGGCCTTTGTCACAACTTTAGATCAGCTTTATTACGAGTGAACAGGAGGACCACTTACTGAAGTCAAGTGGATCAGCTCTCTATACACTATACGCAAAGGATAAAATGTTTTCTTTTAAGACGAAAAAATATGTTTAGTGTTCCACTTCTTTTAGGTTACATAATATCCATTATAAAAAATGTATCACATTAATGAAGAAGAGGTTTCTTTGGGTTTTACAGAAGCGGACTGGTGAACTCAGTCAATCATCTACACTAGTTTAGGCTTTGCCTTCCTGAGCAAAGACTCTGACTATTTATAGAAGCACCACCGTGGGTTGTTGAAGAAAAGGATAAAAACAATATTACGAAAAGAGGTAAACAGGAAAGGAAAAAATGTGTAAATGCTTTTGAAATATGTACTATGAATATGTGTTAAGGCCAGGTCTTGGCTGTATATGGACAAAGTGTCGTCCTATCACCAGAAAACATAACAAAAATCTTTTGCACGCAGCAAGCAGCACAAAATGTGCAGTGATCACACAGAACACCCCATGGGCTGGAAATGCTGCTGTTGTTATCCACATCAGCCATCACTGGTGCAGGCCAAAATAAAATCCATATGCACAAACTTTAAATGTCCACCGTGGCTTAACAAGCCTGGTTCAACAAAAGTTAAGTTAGCACAAACTGACTTCAAGTCTATCAATTGTTGAGGGGTTTTACAGTGGAAAGAAGCTAGCTAACTGTTAACTAGCAGTGTGTGAATAAAAGGGATTTCACTAATCCATAATTTACAAATTATTGAGCAGGTTTGGTAACTAAACACAGCAATCCACTGTACCAGGAGCAGGAGGATCAGGATGGATCTCAGAAAGCTAATGTATTCATTCATGGCTGTTGTTTATACACTTGTAAAAATACTCTATCTCAACAGCTGTTTGAATCTTATTAGAAAACATGTTATGTTTTACATGTTTTTAAGAAAGAGCCTTGTGAGTCACTGTGTGACCTTTTGGGCTGATAATTGATTGGCTGAGTGAGGTTGGTCCTCTCTTTTTCACTTTCCTGCCTGAAAAAGATTTGCCAGAGGCCAAACATCCAGATACATGCATGAGAAAACTATGGAACCAAACCAAGTTCTGCTCATGTCCCTCCAGGAAGTTTAACTATTGTTGGATATACACCAGTATAGATAATTCACCAGTTTATTATATCAAATCTGAACCAAAAGTCTATTCCTTTTTTTGTATAGGGGATTTTACCACCTGCTGTCACTGCTGCTGCCTCCTGCACCACCACGAACACGGCTTGGAACTGCAAGTGTAGCCCTAATGTTTTAAATCTCCAGAACGTGTTTGGTATTACATTTAACAAATAAAGCTTCTACAGAAACATTATGTTTCTTCAGAAGCAGCTTTTATCTTCCTCAGTGCGATGTGTGATGGAACACTGTATAGTCATATAATTTGTAATACTCAAATAATCATAATATGCTGTATTTTTTGACTGTATTCATTTGTGGAATATGTACCTTATTGTGATTTACACCAACTAATAATACCATTAAAAAAAGTATACTGCTGGCATTACTCATAGAATTACAGGAATATACTTTTGTGTCAGTGCACTAGTGACAACTAGTGTCACAACTATATAGTTATAGATATTTTACATTTGGAGACCGTACAAATAACAGTAAAGAACAGGCAATTTTACTGTTATTCTACGGCTCAAACTGAGAGACATGCAGTTTGTGAACGTCAGCTATGTTCAAATGCAAGACCTGTTGCTCAACCCACAGCTTTAGTGAAGCACAGATCATTTAAATCCTATCCATATTCTCCTCTATAGATCTTACTGATGGTGGGTATAAAAAGGAAGAGCAGTATGTACTGTATTATTGTGGTGACACTCTCACATATCGTTGCTTTGTGACACATATAGGGATATTATAGAAGACAAAAAGAGTGCAATGTCAAATTGTGATATAAGGAGATCACATAAAGACATCACATGTAAATCTGAATCAGATGAGGGCTGTGTCTGAAGTGCACTCGCCATCTGCTTCCATCAACGCCACATCTGAGCAGACTCGTATGCATTGCACATCTACAGCTTGTAAATCAAGACATACTGTATGGGACAACACTAAACAGTTTAAGGTTCCTCACCTGAATTCAGGCGCAGAGTTATTCTTGAGCCCATAGAAGCCTGCAGACAGCGTGAGAAGCCAATAGGGCACAAAGGCGCCGTGCTCACACTCCAAATAAGGGGCAGACCATTTGATCTGGTTCTTGTCCAGTAAGTAACTTTCTCCCTTTGAGCCTGACAGTTCCTTCTTGTGCGTGGGGGATCTCCCGTCTCTTATGTCATTAAACCAGTCTGACTCAGGACTTCTGTTTCTGAGGCGCCTATGTGCGGAGGCAGAAAAGTCCTGTAACACAACATCCTTCTCAGTTCTTGTAGCCTGTAAAAAGATGTGAGGACCCGAGGTCTGAGCGTCAGAGTGAAAAGTAACAACTGCCCTGTGGATTTTGGGATCTCCTTCTAGGATGCTCTGAACCAATGCATGGTACAAGTGGATGTCCCGGTGTACAGTGCGTTCTCGGGACCTGTTCGTTTGAAGTATCACGTTTAGGAAGTTGGTGGCGTGCGCAACTGTAGCCAAGATGCTATGGAAGGAGTAGTGCGAAGCCACGTGTAGGCCGCCTTTCAGGCTGCTGAGCTCATACCTTCGTGAGCAGTTCACCTGCCTGAGCGCGGAAGAGTCCCCCGTGTGCAAGAAGGCGGTCACCACTCGGGGCAAGTCCTCCTCAATCTTGTGCGCCACTACTGCGCGCTCTGTGGCTGGAGCATGCGAGTCAAACGTGGGGTTGTGGAGCGACTCCCGATAGATGTTTTGTGTGCTGAAGACAGGGGGGTTCTTGTCGTCTCTGTCACTGTCAGACCACTCCACGTATCCATAGTTTGAAGCCCAAACAACAACAGTTTGCAGCAGCAGCAAATAAACCGGAGCCATGGTCCCGGTTCACAAACGCGGTCAAGGATCCTCGAACCGTGATCAAGACGTGATCATAACAGCCATTAAAAAAACACACACACGGTGTAGTGAATCATATCTACCTTACAGGTAAAAACAAACGCATCCATTGCTCAGTTCCCACGATCTCACCACATCCTTCGCTCTGTCTGTTCACTGAGTAATTGTCCGTAATCCACCAGGACACCGTGTGTGTGTGTTGCCGTCACCATCTTCAGTTCCATGTGGGAGCTCAGTGAAGATAAGATACACTTTCAAATGTTCCCGAAGCCCCCGTCCCTCCCTGTGAAGGCGGAGTGGGCCACTGAAGTGTCGCTGAGCTCCTGTCGCCAGTCTGCAGGAGGAGGAGGCGTGTGGGAAACACACGGGAGCTGTCCAGTACTGAAAGAGCGCAGCCGCTGACTGTGAGGACCGTGTAGAGATGGTGATAGAAGAGCAAGCCTGGCTATTGGACTGAGTCATACTAAATGCATTCGTCTTCCCGAAGAAGTCCTCCTTTACACGAAAAGGGTGTTGGCAAATAACGGCTATGTGATAGTGATTGGTATATTGTTATGATTATATTACGAATATAAGAATGATTAAAGTATTATTATATTATTGTAAGAATAATATCCATTTTGTTGTTACTTGTATCTACTTCCACTAGATGGAGTTATGAGCAACTCATGTGAGTCATTTGTCAGTATTCATTCGCCATTGTGGGCGAAGTGCTTTGCCCAAGGATACAATGGCAGTTTGGCACCACAGAGCTGCTCCGCTGTGGCACGTGTGTTCCCAGAGGTAATTCCAACCAGTTTGGTTGTGTATATAGTGTGTTTACGAATAATAAGTATTTTTGTTTAGATTTATGGTTTTGGATTGCAAAGACTCAGAACTGTTGTGTGCATCATCTGTTTTGTACCTCAATCTAGAAAGACTCAAAATAAAGATTGCATTAGAACATATTTATTATCAAGATTGCGTGAATAGACACCAGTAGACGCATTGATTGGGTGCAAATATTTGAACATGGAATGTTCATTAAGCTTGGCGATTAGACCCAAGTCATGCAGGAATACTGCATGACGTTTCCAAGAGGGAGTTTTTAAAAAAGTACAAGCTTGCGAACCCCCTGGGGCCTAGACCCTGGTCGCAAAGAAGGCTGTGCCAAAGACATGACATGATACTCCACTGAATAGGCGGGGATGGGGAGGAGGTGGTTTGCTGCTTGTACAGCTGCTGGAGCTGCAGAGAACTGAGGGAGGTGGGTTGCTGCTTGTACAGCTGCTTGAACTGCAGAGAACTGAGAGGCTCTGTTTAAATCCAGCCATGAAGTGATGATGAGCGCAGGTGTGTTACTGAGCAGCTGAGGCTGATTGAGGTTGAGCTCAGGCGCAGGCGTGTAGAGGGAGAAGTCAGTGTGGTAGGCATGACGTCTCTTATGGTCTTCCTGTCTGAATTTACACTCAAGCTTCAATTATGTGCATGCCCTTATCTACAGAACTTTATGGATGTGGATTCTATAGGAGGCATGGGGTGGCTATTTGGATATTTAAGCATGAACAAGCAGAGATCCTGCAACCAAATTCCAAAAATACATTCATCATTTCATATTGGCCTAGGGGTGAGAGTAAGTTGGTAGAGCATTGGCCTTTAGGCCTGAAGGTTGTGGGTTCGAGCCCACCATGAGACCTACTTCACTGTGCAGCTCTGACTGCCACCCCCCTGACCCAGAAATGGATAAAGGAGAATAAAATGGATGGATGGCATATTGGCCTAGTGAAGATTGACGTTGGCTGAAGTACAGGAAGTGTCCAGTAAAATGAAGCAAATAGCGGAAAGAGACACAAAGTGGCTGCTCCTGCCCCCTCTGTTTCATCTTCCATTGCAGCCCACAGCCTCCCCGAGTCTAATGAATATTTGATAGGCGTTTGCTGCTTCATCGGCATGCTTTACAACTTGGGTCTGTACGACCACAGCCCTGGTACAGACCTACTATTGTACCAACCCGTCTCTCTCACTGCACACTACTCTAATTCAGTTTTATCAACTGTAGTTTGGGTTTCCAGAATAAATGCCCCAAAACAAATGAAAAAGTGCATTAAAACATGTCCATCAGATACTCAACAACTCCTCATGAAAACAAAAATGGTCAGATTTTTGTCTTGTACGTTTGATCCTGTTTCTTATCAAATTGATAATTTACATATCTCCTTCACTTACAATATGTCATGTGACAATAACTTGTTTTTCTAAAATGTTACAATTATCCGTAAATCAGTGAAAAGTGTCAAGGCAAAAACCTTTCACAGTCATATTGAAATTGTAAGACTCGTAAATAGAGGGCCTTCAGTCTGCAGAGTCAGGCATCAAGTCCCATATGGTGCCCACTCATGTAATCAATGGTCTCACCTTGGTTTGACGGCACACTGTATAGTGCTGATGAATTATACATTTAATCTTTAGTCTGTAGTTGTTGCATCGGTGTCATGAGCCAGGACCATATACAATGAATGTTCTTTTCAACAAATGTCCCAGTAAGGAACCTTGTTGTTCCTGGTGACACCGTTTAGTTGGGTTCACCCACATTAGGAACAGGGGGACATTACCAGACTTGTTACGTTATCTCTTGCGTATGTACAACACTGACCTTTTTATGAAAATTTTTAGTTTAGCATTTATTTTCAAATGTATCAACTTATATAACACAGACAAACCTTACCTGTATATAAAAAAGTATGTTAGTTAGTAGTAATAATACAAATATTAAATATATAAACAATCAGAATTAGTTACGCCAACAGTAACAAAATAATTGTATACTAATATATTCAATTTGTTGTTCACTAAAGATGGAAATGTTTACAGATAAACGCAACCCAAGGGAAGGGTGGTTCCTCTGAAGCAACAGGCGGGTAGAACCAACAGCATAGCCCCAGTCTCCCCCCATTGTCACAACCAACTACAAGATCTATACTTTTGTCAGAAGAAGAATAATTTACCAAATGTGGCAAACAGACCCCATCCACGAATAAGTGACGACTGCCCTCCAGTGGTGGCCTGTGAGATAAATATATGAATAAAAACAAAAGAACAGGTAATTCTATATATTTTTCATTTCAAATTAGGAATGCATTAATCTGGCCTTAGCCATCCGTACACTCCGATCAATCATCATTTCCCTGCATGTAATGTAATTTGTGTGGTACACGACCAGGCCATAATAGATCCATATGAACCAGGCTAGGAATGCATAGGTAGATCTGTTTTGCTGTTATGTAATGAATTTCATTATTACGCAAAATATAAAATGGTTATTGTTGAATAGTTTGATTTACGCAAATTAAGCGTATTTGTAAATGATTTTAACCACGTCCCACACATGCCGCTTGACTTTTAGTAAACAAGTATAATTCAAAATAAATGTGTTGACATCAACATTCACAATATTTTGGCAAGTCTTTGTATAACTATCATACATCCTTTTTATATATTTCCAAAATCAGTATTGTATATATTTCTGTCAGCCATCATTTCCTATGAAGTGTCTCAGTAGAGCAGTGTGGGCTGTGAGCTCCACAAGGATCTCTACATCCTCATCCACAAGTCTGTAGTTTCTGTGTCCAGGCTGTACCATAGATTGTTCTCAAGTCTTCAGGAGTACAGGGGTTCGCGTACCGGGGATTTAGAAACGACTGACGCCAAGATGACGACAGAGGGAGAGAAAGCTGTGGTTTAAGCTAAAGTTAGAGCTAGCTTTCTCTCGGAGTAGCACCGACTCTTCTGCAGAAACAGAAACTTCAGACATAAAGTAAGTTGCCACAGACGAGATTGTTTGAATAAACCCAATCTTGTCTGTGGACTGTATAAACTGATTCTAGTTGATTTAGCGAAGCTAATGCTAACATCTGTCCACGCCTGGGACATGACATAACCGTTCGATCCAGTGTTTGACGCTCAGTAATTGATGAGTTTCCTAACGAGAAACCAGGTCTTTACTTGACAAAAGAGTTAACTTACCAGATTTATGTTAGGAGCATGTCTAGTAACGCTCAATGCTACTGTGATTACTGTCCAGCTAACCTGGCTAATTCGAGCCTTCATAACAAGCCACATGCCATCTGGGACGGGGAAACTGCTGGATATGCGATGCGACTACAGTCAAGTTTCATTTACGAATATTTTATAAAAAATTGACTTAGGCTTGCTAAGTTATATGCCAAATACACAAGTGTAAGTTAAGGAATTTGTTGAATTCCTATTCTCAATGTTTCCTAAATATTTACAGATCAAAATGGATTCATCTGCACAATCTAATAAGGGAAACCATAATCGCAGGCCCAAGGATGCTCAGAACAAGCCTCATGTTCCTCCTCAGAAAGATGCCTATGCCAGACTCCTCAGCCAGCACCGCAGCAGCAAGTTCAACTCTTATCTGGAGCAATTTGCAAGGAACACATTAAGTCTAGATGAAGGTATATCTCTCAGCACTCCTCATATGCATGTGCATAGTGCTGGGCTGGCCATACCTCAGAGACGAAGGGATCAACTGCCAAATGATTTTTCAGATTCAAGTGACTTTTCACCCTCCTCTGTGAAAAGCAAAACTGGGGAGTCCTCCCTGTCCTTGTACATGGAGAAACTTAGTTGTGGTAATGAGCCTCCAGAGAACGAGGTGATTCCTGGTGTCTCAGAGAAGCTCAGGAAAGGACAGAGGAGGGACACAACCACCAGCCAGGATGGGGACATTGAATCCGGAGAAGAGTTGATGGCCTTAAATGAATCCAAGAAACCACAGAAGCAGCATAAGAAAAATAAAGATGTAGTCTCCAATGAAGATGGTCCTCAAGCTCCGAATAAAGAGGGTATAATTCAACAAGAATCAGAAAAGACCAAGAAGTCCAAGAAAAAGAGCCCAGCAAAGCAGAAAGAAGATCAGAAAAATATGATCAAGCATGAAGCTGAGGCCCATATGTCTCCAAAATCTCAAAAACTTCAACCAAATAAAGGCAAGTTACAAGAAAAAATAAAAAATAATAATCATTTCAAAGTGACTGACCGTGTAAACTTTAAATCTAGTGGCCAGTTCTCCAGCTGACAAGAAAAAAAACAGAGGGAACGAAACCAAAAAACAAGTGTTTGAGCCTTACATGTCGCTGGAGGAGGTTTCTCATGGACTAAAGAGAGGAGAACTCATTCAGGTAATTTGAATCCATCTAACCTCTATAGCAGTAGTTCTTGTTCATAATGTCAGTTTCTCATAGGGTCAGCTAAGAATCAACCCCAAGAAATACCACGACGCCTTTATCTCTTGTCCTGTAAGTGAATTTTCTTTTTTTAGATGTTGTGAAATGACATGTGGCTCAAAGTGGTATTACTACACAGGATGATGGCCGGGATTTATTTCTTGACGGCATTGTAGCTCGCAACAGAGCTCTGAATGGAGATATTGTGGCTGTGCAAGTCCTGCCTCGGGATCAGTGGAAGGTAAAATCACAGGTTGAAACTTCCAAAAATATTGACAATAGTATGACTTTTATGTATTTGACGCTGCAGGTGGTACGGTCCGATTCTGACTGTGAGGGTGCCTATGAGTCAGACACGTCTCGCAAGCGAACTGGAAAAAATGTAAATCAGCAGCTCAATAGACCAGAGGAGATTGCCCACGGTCAATTTAGTGACGATGAGCTACAGAGAACTGCCAAAGCGAGTTGAACCAATATTTCTTTCACTATGCATTTGTAGTGTACTGTTTGCTAATTGTGTCTTTTTTTTTTCTTCACAAGGTGGTTTACATTGTGGAAAAGAAGCATTCAAGGGCTGCGTCCGGATTCCTGCGATTTCTACCTGACAAGACCTTTGCTATGTTTTCTCCCACGGATCACCGCGTGCCACGCATAAACGTTCCTTTGTCGGCTTGTCCCCAAGACTTCAGCTCTCGACCAGAGGACTATGCCAACACTTTGTTCATATGCAGAATAGTGGACTGGCCTGCTGACAACAACTTTGCACAGGGGTAAGTGTTTAGATATTGTAAGGTGGTTACATTGTTTCTAAACATATTTCCATTTACAGGCTGCTTGCCAAATCGCTTGGTCAGGCTGGAGAAATTGAGCCAGAGACGGAGGGTATCTTGATTGAATATGAAGTAGATTTCTCTGACTTTACAAATGAGGTTTTAGACTGCCTCCCCAAAAACCTACCCTGGATCATTCCACCAGAGGAGATGGAGAGGAGGAGAGATCTTCGGTATATCCATGCTATTATGTCATATAATCTGAAAACTGGCATTAACGTACTTTTTATATAATTTCAGGAAACAGTGCATCTTCACCATAGACCCAGCAACAGCCAGAGATCTGGATGATGCTTTGTCCTGTAAACTTCTCCCTGATGGTAATTGTTTTGATGCTTAAATATTAAACGTATATGTATTGTTATAGCAGGTGTATTCAGTGGCCTATTTTGTCATATTTTGCACACAAACTGCAAAATGAGACAATTGTGTTATTTGTTCTAAATAAAAAGGGCTTGCACTATTCCCCATACAGCATTTCTGAGGCACTGCCCATGAAAATTCTCCTCATGACTGCTCACATCTTGCCAACAATGCCCACCTGTGTGTGTGTGATCTGCTCTCGGAATAATTACAGCTGTTCTGTAGTGGCCTCAGCTAATGTTTAGTGTATTGTCCACAAAACACATTCATGAAGTCCAAGAAACCTATCAGAAAGGTCAGGGATGGAGTGGTGGAAGCCTTGCTATGTAAAGCGATGTTCAATCCATTGCTTAGAACTAGAAAGAGAATCTCACCATTGTATATTTTTAAAGACACTGCCGTCCACCTAAACTAACGAGCCAAATAATCAGAAAATCGCCCCATGTGCCCTTTGATGACTCTGGAGGAGCTGCAGACATCTACAGTTCAGCTGGAGATGTAAAAAGGTCATAAAAGTCATGCACCACACACAAGTAGTAAATGGAAACTCATTGTTGAAATAAAGCCACAAAAAGTGTGAAGCACAGAAGGGTGGAGCTGAACTAACACTGCTCATCACCCTCAGTGCACCATCTCCAGTGTCCAACCTGGCAGTGGCAGCATCATGCTGTGGGAAGCGGGGACAGGGAAGAGTTTGTGGGAAGGAGGTTGGAGCAAAATATAGGACAATCTTTAAAGAAAAGCTGTTGGAGTCTGTAAAAGACTTAAACCTCCACCCCTGTATCATCTTCCATCTGGACAATTTCCCTAAACGATGTAAAGGTGTAAAACAAAACTTGTATGTTAGAATGTCTAAGTTGAAATACAGACTCAATATACGTGGAAGACCTGAACCGCAGTTCATAAACGTTTCTATCTAACCTGACAGGGCTAGAGTGGTTTTGTGAAAACGTCCAGTCTGTGGCTGTACAGAGTCATAACCCAAAAGACTGCAGCAAAAGTATTAACTTTGCTCTATGGACAACCCCAGCTTTCAGTGTTTAGTATCACGAGCTTGTATCCGTTGGCCTTCAGATGTTACTTTGTTGCAGTTTTTCATTATTATTATTATTTTGTTAGTGGTCGTAAACATGAGCTAATATGCAAAGATGTTGTCTTGTGGTATGAACACTGTATATGATTAATCTTTCCAGGAAATTATGAAGTCGGAGTCCATATTGCTGATGTCACTTATTTTATGGAGGAGGGGAATGCTTTGGATTTGATGGCCAGTGAACGGGCTACCAGTGTGTACCTGGTTCAAAAGGTTTGTAAAGTTGTCTTTCTTTTTACTGTAGTCTTATTTTTAAGCATATTTGACTTTTGTAGGTGGTTCCCATGTTGCCTCGACTGCTCTGTGAGGAGCTGTGCAGTCTCAACCCTCTCACAGACAGACTTACCTTCTCCGTCATTTGGAAACTTACTCCTGAAGGAAAGGTACCTAATAATGTGTACAACATTACGGTTAATGTATTCTTTTTTTCTAAGACTTTTCTTTCTTCTGTCAGATACTGAGTGAGTGGTTTGGCCGCTCAGTGATCCGCTCCTGTATTAAGTTATCATACGACCATGCCCAGAGCATGATCGAAGCCCCCGAAAAACTGTTCACTGCTGAGGAGCTGCCTCTGTTTGATCCTGAACATCCCATCGATGAGATCCACCAGGCTGTGCTCCACCTGCACGCCATCGCCAAGAACCTCCGCAACCAGCGCTTCAGTGGGGGAGCCCTTCGTCTGGACCAGGTAATCATTTAAGAAAACGACTTAAAAATATCTATTGTCTTACACCACTTTTTCTATTCAGTTGAAGCTGTCTTTTACTTTGGATAAAGAAAGTATGATGCCTCAAGGCTGCTACGTTTACCAGTACAGAGACAGTAACAAGTGAGTTCAAACATTCCTTGCATTAGAATTGGCTGATTAGTTTCATCAAACAAGAGTTTTTGTTTTGATTCCAACACTAAATGTTAAAAGCATGAGCTGAAAAATAGAATTTAAAAAAACAGAGTTTCGGCTTGTATGTGTGCTACAGCAGTACTGAATTTCAAATTGGTAACATTTAAATGCAACAATAGAATTTGGCCATGAAAGTGAATGTGAAAGGATTAATACATTTTAGATTTTTAAAAATTTTATGTGTGTGAGGGATCAGATTAAAAAAGTGTGTAGGGCGTTGGACTGGGTGTATTTAGTTAAAACTCACACATCATTTGTTTTCTTTTAGGTTGGTGGAAGAGTTCATGTTATTGGCCAACATAGCCACAGCACATCACATCCACAGGCATTTCCCTGAGTTGGCTCTGCTCAGATGTCACCCTCCACCCAAAGCCAAACTCGTCCTGCACCTGCAGGAAGTCTGTAAAACTCTGGGTATAGACATGGATTTTTCCTCTGCGGGAGCTTTACAAGTAGGTTTACTGTGCACTGTCATCAATGAAACGTCCCAATGGCTTTTTCACATGGAGGTTTTGATCTCCTTGTAGAAAACCCTCAATGCCACGGTTGGGAATGATCAGTATTCTGCAGCCAGGAAAGAAGTCCTCACTCACTTGTGTTCAAGACCTTTGCAGGTCAGTTGGCCACACATTCATAAAAAAAACTTTTACACAAAACCGTTCTAATGTGTAACACTTTGTCTTTAGATGGCCCAATATTTTTGCTCTGGGCTGAAAAGAGACGAGCAGCAGTATAAACATTATGCCCTGAATGTTCCTCTGTACACTCACTTCACCTCTCCCATCAGAAGATATGCAGATGTTATTGTCCACCGGCTCCTGGCTGCATCGCTTGGTACGAGTAACATGTTTCTGAGCATGATTCCATAGATTTAAATTTGTTTCTTCTTCCATACAAGCAGATTGTGGACCTATGTTGGGGCGGGTGTCTAGCGAAGTGCAGAAACAAGCAGAACACTGTAATGACAAAAAGACTGCAGCCAAAAGAGTCCATGAGCTCAGCACAGAGTTGTTCTTTGGGGTGTTTGTGAAGGTGAGTGTTATTGTATTGTGTACGTGTGTGTGCGTATGGGTGGTTGGAGGGTATACTGATAAAACCTTGTAACTGTTGTGATTTATCAAATAATCTTTACATCCATCCATTGGACTTGAATTGTGTCATTAAGCTAAATATTATTCTAGATTTTAAAGTTAAAGGAGCATTTACAGCTATCTTTATTCCTACACCAAATATCCTCACTTTGGGAAAGCTAAAGGATCTCTTATCTCTTATATCTGCTCTAAGCTGATATGCAGATACCACATAATACAGATTATACCAGTTTAGCACTTGGGCTTGTCTCTGTATGTGAGGGTGTTGGCAGCTTTTCCAGTCTCTGTGTGCAGTGGTGTGTAGCTTTTCCGGTCTCAGTGCTGTCTTGTGTGCAGGAGTGTGGACCGCTGGAGTCTGAGGCCATGGTGATGGGAGTGCTGGATCAGGCCTTCGATGTGCTGGTTCTCCGCTATGGAGTTCAGAAACGCATTTACCCCAAGGTTCGAGTTCAAATGTGCCACTGTTCACACTTGTATAAATCCTGACGCATGATTATCTTTCCTTTCTTTAGCAAATCAACGGTGTTGAAGCCTTTTTTAAACGCAATGTTGGAAAAACACTTGAGCTGACTCTCATATGGAAACGCGAAAATCCCAATGAAGCTCCAGTTCAGCAGGTGAATTTCATTATCGGTGAAAACACAGATAATAAGAATGATTACTGATTATGTCTGACTGCATTTTAGGTCATTTCCATCTTCACCCGGGTGGATGTGCAGTTGGTAACGGACCGCGCAACCCTTAAGTACAGCGCAGAGCTGAAGAGGCCGAGCACGGAGGGCTCTTAAACTTGAAGGAAAGATTTAATTAGCACATTTTTTGGCACCTTCATTAGACTTTAGGACGTTATGTTTTAGTTTACTCACAGACTTGGGTAAAAATGTGGTTTTATATATGTATTCTTTAGTCTTGTTAGAGCATTTTGAGTTGGATTCTCATTTGTAACTTCCCCTTAAGATTTAAGCTGCTATTATTTAGGCCACATACTTAGATGGCCATAACTAATGTTGAAATGTAATTACTAGCATCCATGTGACACATTTTTACCCAGGTCTGTAGAGATGCATCAATTACATATTTTTATTGATCTAATGGATCAGTGGTGTAATATAGCTTATTACATAATGAATGTTTATTTTAGTTGAAACTGACTGCATTCAGAAGTCACACAGACCTTTTTAGCAAATGTGAAATTTCTCAATTGTTTACAACAGGCTTAAGTGACGGCAGTGTGGTCTGGTATGGTCCGCACTGGCAGCATTTTAATTTTAAACAAAATCACAACTTGTGTGTATATGCATCAAGTATTTTAGGTGATAGATTGTGAACTGCTTTGCTTTTAATTTTGTGCAAATCGTGATCGGAAACGTTAGTTTACAAGTCTGGAGCCTTTCATAATTTATTAACCCTCTCGGTGCCAGGTGTTCACAGAAATGTATGAAATGGAGAAAGAAGTTAGAATAACCGTATTAGAGATGGAGGACTACTAAAATAAAAGGAAACGAGTGTGGGAAGCCAGGTCACTGCATAGAAAGTGTCCTGGTTTCAGTTACGATTCTGCTGCTTTGGGGCAGAAAGGGGTTAATTTTTTTAACTTTTACTCATAGTGATTTTCGTACCCTGTTGGAAACGACTTAAATATTTTCTGCTGTTGAATATAGTTTGTGGCCTTTATTTTTAAACAATTTTACATGTGTGTGCCTCACATTGTGCTGCCTTTTTTAAGTTTAAGCCTTTGTTGTGTTGCTTTAAGACACTTCTTACCTTTTTTAGTTTTGCTTTTTAAGAACCCACACGCAGTGTTTTTAATAACTTGGCTTATGTGAGTGTTTAAAGAATAATTTAATTGACTTTAATGAGGCGAATTGAAGGACAACATCTGTATATTTGTCTGTCTGCTATATGTTAATGGCCATTAGTTTGTACTGCCAATAGAGAAATGTACAGTGTTTGTGTCTTCAATTTCAAATAAATTGATATTGACTCTCTGATATTGATCTGTGTTTTCTTACATATGCACAGGCTTTTGTATTGATGTAACTAAATGTCAATATTACCAAGGAGTGCCTTTAATAAGATAACAGAACTGTATCACCATAGGATGCCTTCGTCATAACCATCTGATGTCAGCAGCCCCACCTCAAATTAAGTGTAATTTATGTTGAAGCCTAGTGTCATAAAAGACGTGTTAACTCTTATCACTAGTCTTGTTGACGCCTTTGGGTCACCACCATTTATTGGTATTTTTCAAAATGGTTTAGAAAGTTACATTACAAGTGGAGATAAACAAACTTCTAATCTCCGTTTACATCTTTATTGCAGTATCTGTCCGTGAGATGCGCTGCTGTATCTCCTCTGATCATTCACGACCCTGGTCCAAAGGCTACACATGCAGTTATTACAACACTGTTTGACCCTTGGGGAATCCATATCACAGCTGCTTTATTTGGGTTTCCCATAGTGGCACGAATTGAAACATTTTCAACACATACTTTAATTTGTTCATTTTTCTTTCATATGAAGGTTTATTTTTGCGATATTAAAATGGAGACTTTGCCAGGATTTTACAGTCCTGGCACCACCCTCAGTAGGTGAATAGGTTTTTCCTCTTCCTTCACCTACAGTCGGTTCAAAGTCAAAGTTCCATAAAATCAATGCGTCAATTCTCCACAAGGTGTTGGGGCAAGTTCTACAGAGACTACTGTGAGCTGGGACAGTACAGAGAATGACGCCGCACTAACAGGCCAGTACTACTTGTGCATATTTTGGACTGTCTTTTACATTCATTCTTACCAGTTTGCAGTTGAGGTCAATCTTGTTTTTATTCCCTGCTTAGGGAGCTGAAAGGGAAAATGGCGATGCTAAGAAAGGTGAGAATTTCAATTATTTTGTGAGTAAAATCATACGTATATTGTGTACCTTTATTTTATTTTTTTTTGGATTGCTTACCTGTTTAGGGTGAGTGGGTCTGGTTGGACTCTGAAATTGGGATCCCCATTGGAGCCAGGGTCAAAATAACCCCATCTGGTCAACGCTTTTTGGTGGATGACGATGGACAAGTATGTGTCTGTTTATTCTTATTTTATGGCTCATTGTAAAATGTTAATTGTATACCAGTCAAGTTAGTGAAGAAACATTCACACTTGAAGTATAATGCTGAGTGCTACAGAAACCTTCCACTACAAATACACATTTTAAAGTAATTGAGTATAGTGTGACAGAAGGCCAAAAATTAGATTTTGATAATCAGGAGATACATTATGTTAAATACCTCTTCTGTCTATTAGTAGTTGCTAGAAGATAACTGTTTTATACATATTAGCTCTGTTCATCTGTGTAACGGGCGTGATCCTTTGATGGAATGAGCTACACGGAAGTTTGTTACATATGTTACATTTCAGATGCCCACATTTTATTGATAGATAATCTCTTTTTTACACAGTAGAAACAAAGGGATTACTTTCATATAGTAAACCAATTAAATGTGATATCAGACCATCTTTTTTTTAAAGTTTAATTTTCAGGGAAGATGACAAAAATCATCACATCTGTTGCACATTTTTCAAGGGTCATTTACATTTTTAAACATTTTAAAACATTTTTACATTTCAGACAGAACAATCTTTATGCATTGTTACACCTTGAGATTCACACACACATTAAATAAAGCAACTAGTCATTTAAATTTGTATAGATTATTTTTCAAGTGATTTACTTATGTTGTGTTAGCCATGTTAATCTTGTAGGAGTTCATTTGCCGGTTTTTCAGACTGATGACCTTTTATTTATGGAGTCACTGTTGACTTGTCAAATCAGAGGCTGATCTGGTCTTTTAAAAAATTTCCAAAGATGTATTTGTCAATCTTTCCTTTTGATTTTATCCACAATATCTCTTTGATATGTCTGTGTTTGAATTTTTATTTCTAATCTATTATAGTAGATATATATATATTTTTTTAATAATCTTTTAAAGCGCATACAACAAAAATGGAGATTTTAAAAATATAAATGACTCCAGCAACTTAAATCTTTTATTAAATTTATTTAAATGTAAAAATAAAAATGTTTTATATCATTAAAAATAAAATTTGATTTGTTGGTGGGACATTTCTCAACCAGGGCAGCGGCGCTCCAGACTTGAAGCTCTGAACTAGTATTTCATATGTATACTTCATGTATACTTAATATCCGCTCTGTACTAGTAATAGACTGACTTTGCCCCCTGTTGACACTGTGTTGCTAAGTAACAGTAATTATATTATCCCTGCGTCACATCTGCTGCATGTGTCACTTCACCAACATTATCCAAGAAAAGGGGGAAACCAGGAGAGATTATTGTAAAATCAAAAAAGTAAATTTGGTAGTTAAAGTGTTTTCAGATTGTTTCCATTCCATTACAATATCAATAACATACATCTTTTTTTTAGGAGCAGTGGCTTTTTCCAGAGCTGGAGAGCAGTGTCCGTGTCATGCACCCAACGTCTGTGGAAGGAGTGGAGGACATGATTAAACTGGGGGACATGACGGAGGCTGGACTTCTGCGAAACCTGCTGCTGCGGCACAAGCAAGGCCTCATCTATGTAAGAAAAGCACAAGTGCCAACACAGTGCATAAGGGCATATAGAAGATTTAGAATACTATCCCTAAACAACTATTTGTTTTTATTTAGACTTACATTGGGTCTGTGCTGGTTGCTGTAAACCCTTACCAGGATTTCCCTCTGTATACAACTGAACAGGTAAAGATCGTCATATTTCTATTGATTTGATATGTACAAAACGTTTTCAATTATGCTTCACTCTGTTGCGTTGCAAACATGAATGATCTAGTTTTATGTTATTATAGATGACTTTACTTACGTGACCTAGATTTGTTTTCACTTGGTTTTGATATACTTCTGCTGATATGCTTTCATATGATTCCCTGAATACCATAGTCCACCTTGAATAGTGAATGTACCATATGTCCACTTCTTAGATACAATTATATCACGGCCAAAAACTTGGAGAACTCCCTCCTCACATATTTGCCATCGCTGAGGCCTGTTATTTCAACTTGAAACGCCACCTGAAGAGCCAGTGCTGCATCATCAGGTTAGCTTGTATCTGGACACAAACATTTCATGTTTTTGCAGTTTGTAAATAATATATTGTTTTTAGTGGAGAATCTGGAGCAGGAAAGACAGAGAGCACAAAGCTGATCCTCCGTTTTCTGGCTGCTATAAGTGGGCAGCTGTCTGAACAGGAGCTTGAACAGCAAATCTTGGAATCAAACCCTATTCTTGAAGGTGTGTCATTGAAAACTCTATGATTTATTACCTGGAAATGCAATAATCTATTATTTTGTCCATGTAGCTTTTGGAAATTCAAAAACGGTTCGCAACGACAACTCCAGTCGATTTGGCAAATACCTGGAAATATTCTTCAACAAGAGCGGTGTGATCGAAGGCGCACGTGTGGAGCAATATCTCCTAGAGAAATCCCGAGTTTGTCGTCAGGTCAGCACTTTCACAAAAAGACTTACTGTATCATTCCTCAAATTACAATGAGCTGTTGAACTTTAACTCTAGACCTGCTCTAAGGCTATGTCATAGTGTAAAGAATACAAGAGTGGACAAAGGCAGCGAGTGGAGGCAAAACTAATGATACTAAGGCAGGCATGTCAAACTCAGGCCCATGGGCCAAATCAGGTCTGTGAGAGCATTTTGAGGGTAATGGGCTTCTATGGCATGTTATACTTCATTTTCATTAATTTCATTAGACATTTTAGAGATATTTTCTTTGTTATGTTGATACATGTATATTCTTGAACATATATTTGCCCCACTACAGGTAGTAACCCTTATCCCCAGATAGTCTCTCCTTATCTCTCTGTATAGAATATATGACTGCAGTGTAGCCCTGTAATGATACTGTACACATCACTCGTAAACTGGGGGAAATCCTGACGTGTTACAAACTCATTTGTGCACATTAAGATTTATGCAGTGTTAGACCAACTAAAACTCATCTTTGTCCTTTCCTTAAGGCTCTGGACGAACGTAACTACCACATATTTTACTGCTTGTTGGCTGGACTTTCTGAGGAAGAGAAAAAAGTATACAGCCTTGGAAATGCTGAGGAATACACTTTTCTGACCAAGGTAAACATTACCATGCAATATTTGCTGCATAATACTGTGTTTTTTTTATTTTCTAATTGCTGTGTATTTGTATGTGTGTGTATGTGCATAAATGTGTGTAGGGAGGTTGTATCCAGTGTGACAGCAGAGATGATGCCAAAGACTTCCATCGCATCAGTGCAGCGATGAAGATTCTGTCCTTCTCTGAGAGTCAGTCCCAGGACGTGGTGAAGCTGCTTGCGGCCATTTTACACCTGGGAAACGTGCGCTTTCAGGGTGAGTCAGTTCAATGCATACATAAGGGAGTGCAAAGTTTATTGCAAGGAAGCAGAACAGTAGCTTATCATGATACATAAAATGCATTCGCTTGCATTTATGTTCATATCATATATTCAGTCATATCATGTTGCATGCCATGCCATCCAAGAGTATTGCATAGGTTCTCATTTAGAGTGATTCAGAAGTTTTGAGACAGTTTCCCTGTTATTGTTGTTTATACACTGACTTCCAGCCAACACACAAAACAACATGGACACATCTGCTGTCAGCAAGTCCAAACACTTCAGCATCGCAGCCTCATTGTTGCAGGTTTGTGGCAACCCCTTTCAAAATGCTTTCATACAAAATGTGTGTCATACATTCAGTAAATTCATTGTAAATAAATTGTTTTGCAGGTGCAGAAGTCCTCTCTAGCCCACAGTTTGACAGAGCGCTCCTTCATGACGGCCAGAGAAAGGGTGACCAAGCCCCTGAGCTCTGAGCAGGCGTCCGACTGCAGAGACGCTGTAGTGAAGGTCTGTGTAGCGAGAACTACGACAATAAACTATAACTGAAACCAATGACTATCAAAGAGGCAGCTCAAATGTGCAATGTCCATGCTGCTATATAGTTGTATTACTGAAGTGAAAGTACCGTTACAGGAACAAAAGAATAATTAAAAGTATCACAAGTGGACTTAAAGCAGTAGTATGAAACTTTCTGCAGGTAAAACATCACCCATGAAACCTTTAACCAATACAATAGAGCCATGGAAATATGTTTGTAAGTCGTTATGCAGCCGTTATCCTAACAGTCTACTCTTTGACTAAACATTTGCGGCTTTAAGTATAAAAAATGTGAACGTGCAAGTTAATATTTGTACATATTTGACCTTGTAGTGTCACAGGGCCTGTATGATGGGGAGCATGGTGTTGTGGTTTTATATCTCAGTTGTGTCTACACTCTACAGAGCTCCATGATCAACTGTTGTGTATGTTTTCTTAGGGTTAGAGTTAGTTATTGTGTATTTCTGTGGAAACCAAAATGTTGGAATACATTTATTATCAGGTTTGCATTTGCTCCAAGTTTGAACTACTGTATAAAGCTAGAATATGATCATGTAAAATCAAGAAAAACTAACCTGTATTCAGATTAGATAAGATTATTATTATTCATCCCACAGTGGGTAAATTTGAATGCGATCGTTGCACACATTACAGCGGAATAAAAAGGAGGAAAAAAAAGCACTCGGATTGCACACATCAAACAGGATTTGTTATTTAAGATAATAGATCATAAAATAAAATAATAAGTAGTAAGATAATAAAATATGATGAATAAAAATTCTGGAGTTATAACTTTAACAGCAGAGAGTATGACTAGAATAAACAATAGTAATAATAGCAGCAGCTAAATGGACTAGTGAATTATCAGAACAGAAATATCAGATGAATGGATGTACAATAATGTGGTAAAAGAGGGTTTTTTTTTTATTTTATTTAGTAAAATTGTTCATTTATCTTGTGCTGTGTGCTCCTCATTCCTACTGTTCTGTAGCTGGTGATGCAACACTGACATTTCTCTGACAATGTTAAACTAAACCGACAAAATGTTCCATGTCTTTAGGCCATCTACAACAAACTGTTCACATGGATCGTGAATAAAATAAACGCTGTGATTTACAAGAAACTCCAGACAAACCATAAGGTCAGCTTCCTGTCGGTGGGGCTGCTGGACATTTTTGGCTTCGAGAACTTCAACACAAACAGGTCAATATTCATCTCACACATTAACGGCAGTAGGAAATACTCACAACGGAAATATTCTTTTTTGTGTGTAGTTTTGAACAGCTGTGCATTAACTTTGCCAATGAAAAGCTACAGCAGTTCTTTGTGGGACACATTTTTAAGCTGGAGCAAAAGGAGTACCTGAAGGAGGACATTGTCTGGAAAACAATCAGCTTCAACGACAATCAAAACATTTTGGACCTACTCGCTGCAAAACCGTGTAACCTTCTGGCTTTGATTGATGAGGAGACCAGCTTTCCAAAGGTTGTGGCAAGTTCAAGCAATACCAATGATACGTTTTTGCCTTATTTTAATAGTGTTTTTGTTGGAATACAGGGCACAGACGGGACTTTGCTAATCAAGTTGAACAAGCAGCACAGTCACAGTAAACTCTATATCTCCACAAAAAGCGAGCATGACACAGACTTTGGGGTCCGTCACTTCGCTGGTGTAGTCTATTACAACTCTCAAGGTACAGTCTCTTTTGGCTGTAGTGTTGTTGGATTCATGTGAAACAATTTAGTGTTTTTTGCCTGCAGGATTTCTGGAGAAGAATAGAGACGCGATCAGCTTTGACGTGATCAAAATGGTAGAAGCCTCCAAAAACCAGTTGCTTCACCAGATTTTCCTAAATGAGCTTTCTGCAAATGCCGTCAACGGTGTCAAAGCGAGCAACAACCACAGGATCCTCGTGAGTCTTCCAAATCCACGACGAGTAAGTCAAAACAATGTTTTTAGTACACATAATTAATAGTATTGTCATTGATAATATGGAACAGGCATGTCAAATAGTTTTTTTTGTAGCCCATAATTTGCAGCATTGGTAAAAACAGGCATATTATACTGTATATATGCTATTATAAAACAAACACATCATACATTTTTATTCTAGACATTGAACTAAAGTAGGTTAGTTATAGTTTAAATTACAAATATACGTAATGATCTTTCAGTCTGCAGCACTCTGCAACACACTTTGGTTCAGCCCAAACACGACTGAACTCATTTTGTTCAGAAATATCTAATAGATCATCTAAACTCATGTTTAATAAAAGTAAGTGGGCAAAATAACCTCCATAATCCAAAATATAAATATAGAGAATTACCACCAATACAAATGTTGAGCTTCAAACAACCTGTCCACAAAGAAAACAACAGAGACCTCTGTATAAAAGTGAAGTCAAACAAAGTTGTGGCCCTGAGTTGTTTTGTTCTTTGCTTGCCCTTAGAGCCAGGCGGACAACCGCAAACAGGTGCAGACGCTGAGCGGTCAGTTTCGTCAGTCCCTGGACTCCCTCATGAAGGCTCTGTCTGTCTGCCAGCCACATTTCATCCGCTGCTTCAAACCCAACAATGATAAGCAATCTGAGGTAAACACATGGTCAATTATTCATTTTGTTTTGATTAACATTTACTGCCAAAGGAGGCCTTACTATCGTCCAGGCACCACTGGAATCATGTATAGTTTATCTAGAGCTGCTGATGTTTAACCGTTTAGGCGCCAAATTATCAGAATAGCTACATTAGCATCTGACTCAGAGACACTCTGCAACTGCAGCTGAAAAAAACTTGAAGCCTATAAGGTTATTGCTATATTGCTAATACCAATATCTTACTATGTAGAGAAATCTGGAAAAACAACAGGGAAAATAATTAGCAAATATAAAACTGATTGAGCATTTTAACATTTCAATGTTCATTTTTGTTTTGTTTTTATTGCTTATCATTCAAATGTCTTGGAGTATTTGTACATAATATGAATGTTCTTCTTCAATTTCAGTTTTTTGACAGAGAGCTTTGCGCGCGGCAGCTACGATACTCTGGAATGATGGACACTATTCGCATCAGAAAACTGGGATATCCCATCAGGCACTCCTTTGTGGAATTCTTGAAACGATACAGAGTGCTTCTGAAGTCAACTATTTGCAACCCAAAGACTGTTAGTACAATGTCATTATATCAGTGTTTATGATAAGAGGCCTGTAATCATTAGTTTCATGAATATGTGTCCAGAAAACTGCTGCAGTCTGTTGTGAGGCCATCTGCAGAGCTGTGATCAAAGAGGACGAGTGGAAAATAGGTAAAACAAAGGTCTTTCTAAAGGTAATATACAGAGTGTTTCTTCATAAGTGAGTGTCCGTTACACAGTAGAGGTTTTACTCAGCTATAGTAATACGTATTTTCTCCAAGGACTCCCATGACGGGATCTTGGAGCGGCTAAGGGAAGAGGAACTAAGCCGAGTCGCTGTGGTCATCCAAAGAGTCATGCTGGGAATCAAAGACAGGTTCAGTGTCCCCAACTTTGTCACCACTTTGTTCATGTGAATTCTGACATTTAAATTCTTTGTTTTCTCAGGAAGTTATTTCTGAAAAAAAGAGCAGCTATTTCAGTGTTACAGAAAAACTGGAGGATTCACTTGAAGAATAAAGCACAAATGAAGGTAAGATGTTTTAATTATTGCTCTCCTCATTATTTGTAAACTTGATTGCTTTTGCCTCTTCCTCAGACCCGGCTTGGTTTTGAACGTCTCATAGTCGCAATGAAAAGACAAAACAAACGACGAGAAGCAGCAGCCATTGTTATCCAATCTCAAGTATGACAACTTTTATCAATCAAATAATTACATATAATACAACCATTTAATCTATGAATGTATTTTGGGCAGTTTCGGGGACACATGGTGCGGAAAAACTGGAACCAAAGACAAAAGCCCAAAGAGCAGCGGGTCGAAGCCTTTGTACCGACAGAAATGGGGCGAAATGAGTATGAAATCACTCGGTCAATCTCACGAGAGGAAGAAGAGGGAGTCCGCTTAATAGACGAAGTCGTGGTGGGAGAAAGTATGACTGATGGAGAATCTGACCTGGAGTCTGTGGACCGTGATCCTCCAATGGTCAGACAGGTCCTGGTCAGTGATTGGACTACAGTTCTACAACATTAGCCCCCTGTTGCATGTTTATTTACATGTATTTGTATATGACAGGACAAACCAACGATTATTATTTCTGTGGCGGAGTCAGAGCGCAGCAAGAGCCCATCTGTTGCAGAAGAAGAAGAAGATGAATATTATGACGACAGCAGCGACCCTTTTTCTTTTACCAAGTTCTGTGACCTTCACTTCCAGGGCAATGCCTCGCCCTCCCACATCACGCACAGACTCAAGAAACCACTGCTGGTCCATGATGACGAAGGGGATGCTCTGGTATGAAGATACACATGATATGATTTTTTTTTTAAAAGGTGGAATGCAATATTAACTCGGATTATTTCTGGTTCAGGCCTGTCTCACAGTGTGGTGGATCATTTTGCGGTTCATGGGGGATCATCCAGAGTCTAGGTCTCAAGACTCTGCTTCTGTGGCGTCCAGCATCCTTTCAAGTCCAGGACCTAACAGACAGGGAAGAAGGCTGAGTCACCTTGTCGGGATAGAAGCGGTAATACTGTTTAATCTTTTCATTTTAATCCTACATATTGAAGAATTGAGCACCATTATTAATATTAAGATAAAACCTTTTGATATGTTAAATGTGTGAAAGCGAATGGAATGGACAAAGATAAGAACATAATAATTACTACAAATTCAATATCATGGAATCTGTTTTCCCATAAAACTTCTTCTGCGACATTTTCATGAATTCTGATTATGTGAAATGGGGCAATGAGGGATAATGTTTCCTTTTTATAGTTTTTATTAAGAAAAAAAGACAAGAACCAGGGAGGGGGTGGAACAGCGAGAGCACCATCAATTATCCCTGAGGAGGTAAAGTCATGTAGTAAATCTCAATTATTATTAATGTTTTTGCGGTAATATTTTCCAAATATTATTAATGGAACAACAGCCTGCAGATCTTCTGGTTGGAGAAGATACACTGGCTCGACCAATGACTCCTTTGGAAAAAGTGCACATTATTATTGGATACGCATTATCCAAACCAGGAATAAGGTAAAGTCAAGTAAAACTTTATATTTATTGTATATTAATTGTATTTTTCATTCATGCAGAGATGAGATCTATTGTCAGATTTGTAAACAGCTGGAGAAGAATAAAAAGAAACACAGTTGTCAACAAGGCTGGATCCTTATGTCCATCTGCCTCGGGATCTTCCCTCCCACAGACTCCTTCATGCAGGTTTGAGAGTCTTTATGCAATATTGAAAACTTCCATACTAATATGTCTCATTACAGAGAGTTGAATGAAACATACATCATACATATGATGTCACAAAAGAAATCACTAAAACATATTGAGAACACATATTGATCACTTCTCCATGCCCCAGAATCTTAAACACATTGAGGTTAAATAAATACGGTCGACAGGCACTGGAACAGAGCTCAGCTAAACAAACATATTAGGGTTTATTTATTAATCTCTCTAATGTTCTTAGTACCTGGAGAGTTTTATTCGAAGAGGTCCAGACGGATACAAAGAGTATTGTTCTGAGCGCCTAAAGCGCCTTAAGAACAATGGAGAGAGGAAAGAAGTTACTTGTTGGATTGAATTGGAGGTAATAAATCATTTGCACGTCTGTTTTTTTAGTTTACATTTTCAAAAGATTAGTAACAATTGTTTTCCCTTCAGGCTGCCAAGAACAAAAAGCCGATTGACACATCAGTGCTGCTGATGAATGACCTGACGGTGAAAGTGAGTCTGGACTCTGCATCCACTTCAGCTGAAGTCTGCCGGGCGGTGGCCAACCAGATCGACCTGACCGACACCTATGGATTCTCTCTGTACATAAGCTTTGAAGAGAAGGTGAGCCATGTCTTTGACTTGATACAGGAATGTTGTTGATTAGTTTCCTTTAGTCATTCTTCATTATTGTGTCAGACGTGGTCCCTGGGCAGCTGTGAGAGGCACGTTCTGGACGCAGTGTCTCAGTGTGAACAGGAGATGAAGAGGCAGGGCCGAGAAGAGAGGAACACTCGCTGGACACTTTCCTTTCGCAAAGAGCTCTTCACACCTTGGCACGACTGCTCCCTTGACCCAGTGAGCACCAGCCTTATCTATGAACAGGTCATCAGGGGGCTGAAGTCTGGAGAGTACACCAGTGATAAGGTAAGGAAATCCACAACATTGCACCAACACAACTCTGCAATCTGCACAGTGATAATCTTGATGTTGTTGCAGGAGGATGACTATGTGCAGTTGGCTGTTCAACACTATTACATTCAGTTTGGCTCCGAGTATAATACAGACAATGCCAGAAAGGTGGTTGTTGACTGTATAACCACCACTCTCATCGAAAGCAAATCTATGACCAAATGGATACAACTCATTGGTGCTGGACAACGCCAGGTACATTACTGGACTTAAATGTATATATATCTTACTACCAATGACCCATTTATATTGAGCAGTAATGTTTTAAAACTTATTTCCTCAAAATGCTTTACACTTTTATATGTCAGGCTCTTGATGACTATGGGATGAAGACTCCAGATATTATAAAAGAAGAACTGGTGGACATTGCCAGACAAAAGTGGCCAGTTTTTTTTTCAAAGTTTTACGATGTTATAATGACTTCAGGTAAATAACGTTGAAAAGTGCACACTTGAACAGTCCAAATGTCTCAAATGTGACACAGACCTTTCTGCTTGCCTCGTAGGACCTGCTCTCCCCAAAAGTCGGTTCATTGCTGCTGTCAGCTGGACTGGCATTATATTTATTGAAGGAAGGGACAAGCACCTCCTCGAGCTTCCATACATAGAAGTGAGGGGTGCGTTAGAGAAAAGGTGTGGACCATATCATAATTTTATTCTTTATTTTAAAATGATAAAGCCAAGTAAATCATCACATTTATGTTTTATGCGTTCAGTGACGGCTACCTACAGACGTCGTCGGTCACATTGGCTACTTTTCGCGGAGAGTTTGTGCTGAATGTTGCAGAGGCAGAAGAAATGACTTCACTCATACACAGAAATCTGGAAGGGCTCAGAGAACGCTCCGACTTCGCAATTGTTCTCATTGACAACAGTAAACCAGGTACAGCCACCACTTCCTCTCCATGTGAGCCACACACCGCGTTGTTAAACTATAAACTGTAGTTATACATTTTCTCTCAAACAGAAGACCCCAGTCATCTTGTCTGTAGAAAAGGAGATGTGTTGCTGATTAGAAAGAATGAACATCCTCCTAATGACGACACGTATATTGCCACTAACCAGAGGACCAGTAACACAGGCGTTGTTTACAAAAGCATTCTTCAATTTCTACCCACGCTCACCAAGCCCGATCCTGAATTCATGGTGTGTACAATTTATTTAAACCTTTTACACCAAATACTTACAATAGCTCCTCATAAATACCCTTTTTTTCAGAGGCTACTCATGCCAGGCCAAAATCCACATGGAAAACCCAGTGTTCATCAACAAAGTGTGGCTCCTGTGTCTTTAAAAGAATTTTCTGTTGAACATTTCAGGTAATACGGCACATGTTATTGATTATAGGCCTATTCTTACTGATATTATGTATATGTGTATTGTATAATAATTTTAAACTACAGTGTCTTGCAAAAGTTTTTTTGTCAAGAATCAACAACAAGTGGGACACAATCGTGAAGTGGAACGAAATTTATTGGATAATTTAAACTTTTTTAACAAATAAAAAACTGAAAAGTGGGGCGTGCAATATTATTCGGCCCCCTTGCGCTAATACTTTGTAGCGCCACCTTTTGCTGCAATTACAGCTGCAAGTCGCTTGGGGTATGTCTCTATCAGTTTTGCACATCGAGAGACTGGAATTCTTGCCCATTCTTCCTTGCAAAACAGCTCGAGCTCAGTGAGGTTGGACGGAGAGCGTTTGTGAACAGCAGTCTTCAGCTCTTTCCACAGATTCTCGATTGGATTCAGGTCTGGACTTTGACTTGGCCATTCTAACACCTGGATACGTCTATTTGTGAACCATTCCATTGTAGATTTAGCTTTATGTTTTGGATCATTGTCCTGTTGGAAGATAAATCTCCGTCCCAGTCTCAGGTCTTTTGCAGACTTCTTCCAGAATGGTCCTGTATTTGGCTCCATCCATCTTCCCATCAATTTTAGCCATCTTCCCTGTCCCTGCTGAAGAAAAGCAGGCCCAAACCATGATGCTGCCACCACCATGTTTGACAGTGGGGATGGTGTGTTCAGGGTGATGAGCTGTGTTGCTTTTACGCCAAACATATTGTTTTGCATTGTGGCCAAAAAGTTCGATTTTGGTTTCATCTGACCAGAGCACCTTCTTCCACATGTTTGGTGTGTCTCCCAGGTGGCTTGTGGCAAACTTTAAACGAGACTTTTTATGGATATCTTTGAGAAATGGCTTTCTTCCTGCCACTCTTCCATAAAGGCCAGATTTGTGCAGTGCACGACTGATTGTTGTCCTATGGACAGACTCTCCCACCTCAGCTGTAGTTATCTGCAGTTCATCCAGAGTGATCATGGGCCTCTTGGCTGCATCTCTGATCAGTCTTCTCCTTGTTTGAGATGAAAGTTTGGAGGGATGGCCGGGTCTTGGTAGATTTGCAGTGGTCTGATACTCCTTCCTTTTCAATATAATTGCTTGCACAGTGCTCCTTGAGATGTTTAAAGCTTGGGAAATCTTTTTGTATCCAAATCCGGCTTTAAACTTCTCCACAACAGTCTCTCGGACCTGCCTGGTGTGTTCCTTTGTCTTCATGGTTCTCTCTGCGCTTTAAACAGAACCCTGAGACTATCAAAGAGCAGGTGCATTTATACGGAGACTTGATTACACACAGGTGCATTCTATTTATCATCATCAGTCATTTAGGACAACATTGGATCATTCAAAGATCCTCACTGAACTTCTGGAGTGAGTTTGCTGCACTGAAAGTAAAGGGGCCGAATAATATTGCACTTTTCAGTTTTTTATTTGTTAAAAAAGTTTAGATTATCCAATAAATTTCGTTCCACTTCACGATTGTGTCCCACTTGTTGTTGATTCATGACAAAAAATTAAAATCTTATATCTTTATGTTTGAAGACTGAAATGTGGCAAAATGTTGAAAGGTTCAAGGGGGCCGAATACTTTTGCAAGGCACTGTACTGCATGTACAACCTAGTAGTACTACTCCTGATTTCCATAAAGTCATCAAGGTCCTAATCTTCTCACGCCTTGATAACTGTAACTGTAACTGGTTCCGAACACAGCAGCCAGACTTCTTGCTGGTTTTGAAGAAATGAGCACATGTTTTAGCATCCCTCTACTTGTTCCCTGTAGGTTTTAGAATTGATTTTTAGAGCTTTTAAACTAGACAAGGCACACCTTTTTTTTTTCACTGATTGTTTCTATGTTTCTTACTATGTTTTATGGTCTGTTTTGCCTTCTATTGTTTTAAAGCACTGTGTAAACTCTTTAAAGTAATAAAGTTTATTATCCTTTTACAGGGTGTCCACTAAAGAAGGTGGGCGACAGGGCTTGCACAGAGGACCCAGAGAGAAACTTTGGGTGAGCTCCAGAGAGCCACTCAAACAACCTCTTCTCAGCAGTTTGGTTCGAAACTCTGAACTGAGCCCCCTGGCCTGCAATGCTTTCACCGATATCCTTTTTACATTCATTTACACTGTGACATGTTCATTGTATTGAACATTTCACTGTAAACAGCATGAAGAAAATGAAATCATGTTAGTGCTGCCTTGACCTAGTCTCACCTATTCTGAAATACATGGGCGACTACCCCATCAAACAGGTGCGCAGCCCCATAGAACTGACGGACCAGATCTTTGGTCCAGCCACACAGCACGAGGCTCTGCAGGACGAGATCTACTGTCAGATCATGAAGCAGATGACCTCCAACCTCAATAGGTGCAACTTCTATGAGTGCCTAGGTCTTACTGTAGCACATGGACCTTAAAGGTGTGTCTATCTCCAGGCTGAGTATGTCCCGTGGATGGCAGCTGATGTGGCTCTGCACAGGCCTTTTCGCACCCAGCCCCACTTTAATGGTTCATGCTAAAATGTTCTTGGAGTCTCGTCCCAGAGATCCCCTGTCTGCAGTGTGTCAGCAGAGGATGCAAGCCATGCTTGGGTAAATGAACATCACTTCAATGTATCGATTTTGTTGTTTATATCACGGACAATACCGAGATTGAATTTAAAAACATCATAGACATAGCTGCATGTTTTTTTGTTTCTTTCAGTAAGGCACCTAGGAGACTTCCACCTCATTTTGTTGAAGTAGATGCCATTCAACAAGACAGCATCCAGATATTTCATAAAATCCACTTTCCAAATGAGACTAGTGGCGTAAGTAAACAATTGTGTTGTTCAGTATAAAAACAGGCGAGGTTTGAAGTTTGTTCAAACCTCGCCTGTTTTATACTGAACATCACTCTGATCTTATTGCAGATATTTGAAGTCTCGTCAACGACCACAATCAAGGATTTGTGCCAAAGTATTGCTTCACAGCTCAAGCTACTTTCAGCAGATGGCTATGGTCTTTATTTGAAAACAACCAATAAGCCGGTTAGATTATTGTGTTCGATACATCAAAATGTTATCAGGATATTTTCTTTATATATATTTCTCATTTTCTTTCATTATCAGTTACAAAGTCTTGAAGACCAAAAGTATGTTTTTGACAGCTTAAGAGAAGCTTCAGAGCCTCCCAAGAAAGTAAAAAAAATAAGAGATGGTAAGACATTGGTATCTTTTACGGCCTTTCTTTGAACTAATATCCCATGCATTAATGTTAGGAACCTCCACAAATCTGCCCTACCTGGTTATTTTAAAACGAAAGCTGTGGTTCAATGTGACTCCAGGAAAGGACATAACTGCAGATCTCACCTTTCACTTTCCTCAGGTATTCCCCAACAATGATGACAACTTTACTTCATATTTGCTGATATAACCGTTTTCTCTCCCCATTAGGAGCTGCCAAAATACCTGCAGGGATTCCATGACTGCAGCAAAGAGGACATGGTGAAACTGGCCGGACTGCTCTTCAGAGTGCAGGTCGACTCGGACCGATCACAGTTTGTCATGATTCCCAAAATGCTGAAGGACCTGGTGCCTGCTGACCAGATCAAAATCATGTCCCCAGAGGAATGGAAGAAAGTACGATCTTTTTTGCAAGCGTTAAGTCCATTGTGTGCAGTAAAATAATGCATTGATTTAACTGTTCTCGCAGAATGTCATCTCATCATACAACCAGCAGAGCGGCAGTACAGTTGAGGAAGCCAAAATTGCCTTCTTGCATGCAATCTCAACCTGGCCTACATTTGGCTCTTCTATTTTTGTAATCAAGGTATGTTTACTATTTATTTTTAAGCTAGCGTAATTATAATGTGGATTCACTTCATGTCTGTTTGGCTTTACAGCAAACTTGTGAATCGAGCTACCCCACCAATCTTTGGATCGCCATCAGCAAGCAGGGTGTTAGTCTGATTGACCCAACAACAAAGGTGCGTATGACAGAGATCTCCGCCTCTGTGACTGAGTAATATAACACCTAATTCTCTCTCATGCTGCAATGGCTTTTTAGGGGTTACTGGTGATGTATCCATTTAACCGGATTGCAGAGTGGCAGAGTAAAGGTGTCCACTTCCAGATGACAATAGGCACTCACTTGAGGCCTGTCACGTTTGTCTGTGAATCCCCAAAGGTAAAGTCATATCTGCAATCTTCTGTATGCTGGTTTATGTGAATTTCTAGCAAAAAACAAACATGTTTCTTTTTTTCCAGAGTGGAACAATGGCCGATTTGGTAAGCTCCTATGTCAACATGTACGGAGATCAAAGAAATATTCGACCACTTAAACCGAGAAACTACATGTTCTAAAATGAAAAATCCATTGTATTTATAAACTAATTATTTAAGTTGTATTGTAGGCATATCAGTTGTGCTTTTATTTTGTTTGTACAGAGTTAATTGTACAATGTACTATTCCTCATGTTTTTTCCGGATAGATCTAATGTCAAATTAGATTGCGCTTTTAAATTATATTTATTGAAGAAGCCATTGCTAGTGACTAAATGCCTAATGACCAAATTGAATTAAAAGTAAATGTGAAATGAGTTTTTGTCCTCACATTGATTCATTTGCACACATAATGCATTAGTGACTGCACACCACATACAGTAGTTCTATGGCATGAGCAGGTGTCTATCCGGTGCGATGTAGTTTTCATGATGCAAAGAGCAAAAGTGAACTGTTAATTTGAAATTGAACTAATGTTTAAGATGGAGCACTTTGGGGTCATGTAAACATACCCATGCATTCTTTTTATGTAAAAAAAGATCAAATGAGTGTGAACCTAGTGTAGACTGAAACCTATCAAATGCCACTTTTAATTTATAAAGTAAGTCTCTTTATTTATATACTGCCTTTCAGAGTCACAAAGCGGTTTACAATTGTTATTTTTTGTGTGTGGCATTTGTCCACTCACTCCACTCAGAGATGGGGCCGAGTGTCAAGTGAATTTCAACCAATTATTTTATTGGATATAAATATCAATTTTTCATCACGTTTTGGTTGAAGTGTATATAGGAATATATATGCTGTTATTTTCCTGAAAATGTAGGTCTAAATAAGGTACTGTAGTACATATCTGAGTAAAACTCAAATTTGGAATTGCATTTACACTGCACACAGGAAGGCACACTGATGCACTGCACCAAATTTGAAACAAAGACCTTATGCCCAGACCACATCACTATCCCCCACCTGCACCCTGCCTGCAGCCCCTTCTGCCGCCCCCCTACGTGCAAATCTGTCAAAGAACGGAGTCACATATTCACTTAATCAAATCCATTGATAAAGCTTTATAGCAACAGACATTTAGGATTTCAATGTTAAACATAGATTTGATATCATTGCTAATTATGATGATGTCAAACTAAATAAAGTGAGATTTTGTTTAGTTTCTAATAACCTTTGAGTCAGCTGTTCCTGCAGTGTCCTGATGCTCGCTGCTTGTTGACTGTTGACTGTTGTCTTAACAAAGCCGTGATGCCTGAAGCTGCGTAATGGTGTGAGATCAGCTGTGGCCATATGTCTGTGGGCCGTAGACATACCGTAGACAGTATGGTTTGTAATCGCGCTGTGGAGCGCCAGCCTCGCGATACAACAATCAGAGCAGAGATGCTGCTGACAGTAGCTTAGCCTCATGTAGCTGCGGTCATCATGCAAAGGTTACACTGGAGCTGTCGGTGCTCCGCGGGACGCACTCGGCTCTCAACATGCGAGACTAGAGCCCTATCCGCCCCCGAGCTGTGCTGAGCAGGTGCCCGGCAGGATGGACCAGAGAGCGGGATCTCCGCGGGCAGTGTGTGCCGTGTGTGCGCTGGCTCCTCTCGGCGGAGAAGCGGCTTCATGAGTGTCCAAAGTAACAGTGGAAGTGGAGGAAGTTTGGAGGCGACGCCATCTTGGTCCTCGTCCCCAACCGTTTCTCAACAACAAATAACGGCGCCCGTTAAAAGCAAGGAAGGTACAAGCACCGAGATGTGCCGCTCAGCCCCGCCAACTGCGCCTTCAGTGCGGGCTGAGCTGTCGTGTGTCACCGCGGTGTGGTTGTGTTGGGTTGTGTTTGGTGGATGTTAAGTTGAGGTAACTACAGTGTTGTGCCAAACGTCAGCTGTCAAAGCGCTGGCCACCCTCTACAGCCACGTCTCCTTTTAGTTATGCATTTTTATTATAAACGCTACAAACTGCTTAAGCAACACTTTCACTTTGACAAAGCACTACTAACCTTGTACTCTATAGAGTAACTATAGTTACTGTATCTGCAGTGAAGTTATTTGTAATTCACAACATGGTTTCTCGCTATGGAGCTGCTGCAGACCTGGTTTTAGTTGGTAACGTTAAGTAGTACGTTATAATCTTCCCAAACTTTGTTGGTGTGTATATATGTGTTATATGTGTATGTGTTATATTTCATGTAGGCTGTAGAATAAAAGTTGGAGAAAACATGGTACCACAAGCCCCCTTGCTGACTCCTGTCCTGATATAGCTAACCTTACAGTTTGATGCAGTTGTGAAGAACCATACAGTGTCCATGACACATGGGAATGTAGAATGCCACGAAACATGCATAAAGAATCCAATGGGAATCTTCAAAAGCAGAGCAGACCTGAGTCTCTGGGGTCTGAGTGTTTGTATCACTTCCTAAGAACATTCGGCCCACCCTGTGCTTTATCAGTCTGCAAGAAACTGCTGCGTGTAACCAGTGACCCTGCTTTCAGCAAGTCTAAATAATAAAACAGTAGATTATTCAATGTAATTTTGCACTGCATTGAAAGACTGAGAATGTAATAACTATTATGTTCTTGTGAATTCTATAGCATGTTTTACATGATCAGACAGACCTCTGAAACATCTTCACATTGAGGCCCCTGAAAATGCAATTGCTATTTTGCAACTCACAGTCAAGTCAATTCTGAGTTCTATTTGTATCGTCTAATCATCCTATTTTTTTAAATCCACCCTGTGATAGTGTTAAATCTCCACTCTTGTTTTTGTTATCTCATCAGAAAAGGTTATTCTGACGAATTAGATCCATGCATTTATTTATTTATTTTCCAGGTCAAATGGAGGAGCTGCAAAGCCTGGACCCCCGGAGACAGGAGCTGCTGGAGGCCAGGTTCATCGGAGCTGTCAGTGGCAACACCGTGGGCAGCACTGGGAGCACCAGTGGAGGTGCCAAGGTAACCGCAGAAACTTATTGCACCACTGTGTAGAGAAACGGAAAACATGTAGCAGGAATACATGTTAAGAACACTATTTTTCAGTGACTAAATGTACACAACTGAAGGAATTAATTTCAGTATTTAAACATACACTTTACATAAGTCAATGGAAATGCAATGTGTGTTATCTTTTTCTAATTACAAATAACAAAATGCATTTTTGAATTTGTTTCAATCAATCGCAGAATCTTTTACTGTTGTATTATGGTAATGAGCGTAAATGTATTCCAAAGTATTCAAACTGCAGTACCATGATTGGACCATGTGACAGAATTTGTTACAAAATACAGATAAACGCAGTTGATACATATTTCTTCACGAGATACATTTCCAAAGTGGCCCAAAGTGCTCTAACTACGGAAGCCTCAAGAGTTCACACTCAATAGATTAGAGCCTGGAGTAAAAAAAAAACAATATTGTGAGATCAGTAATATTCCCAATCCCAATTATTATTATTATTATCAATCCTAAAACATTGGTGTTCCTCCAAATTCATGCAGAATTCTGGTTAACAACGAAACGGGATTAATTTACTTAATCTTGATTTGTTCAGTGTTTGGCCAATGAATCATCCAACCACAGTTACTGCAGTCTCGGTTCGTCCAGCGACAAAGAGTCAGAGGTGAGCTACGTACACCTATTATCAGATTTGTGAAATCCTAATTTCTCCATGCATGCATAATTATATCAAAGTATACTGCTTGTTGCAGATTGTAGTATTCAAATCAATAATGGTGCTACTTATTTTCCCATTATTGGCAACTTTTCTACTATTCCATTACTCTTTCATTCAGAATTAATTTCAAAATTCAGACCCAACAGCACACATATCTATTTAGGTGTTTATAAATCCAATCGTACATGCAGGCCATCCGTATTTCATCATTTTCCTCTCTTGCCTGCTCTACCTTGCTCTCTTCTTTGTCCTAGAACTCTGATTTAAAACGAGGAAGCTCCCCTGCATACTCAGTATGTACTTTGCTTCTTCAGCTGCAGAAATGCTCTGTTGGGTCATCTACACTTCTACAGGGAATTGTGATTATTATGTTTTTCTCCTATTTTTTTTTCAATAGACTCCAGAGAAAAAGCACTCTGAATCGTCCAGGGGCAGAAAGAGGAAAGCTGAAACCTACTCAGAAAGTAGTCAAGGTACATTAGAGACTTGTGCAATTTAGTCTATTCTGCTTTTTGAAATGGAGCTTTTACATGTCCAATAAGTTTGTATATAATATTTACAACTAAGATTCTCATTTCTGTTGCAGGGAAGAGCTCAACGCGTGGACCAAAAATCAGTGATTACTTTGATGTAAGTGTCCTACGTTGTTGGAAACATTAACTGGAGTTTGTCAGATGCATTATTCTGCTGTTATAGTTTCAGGCGGGAAATGGATCCAGTCCTGTCAGAGGTCTGCCGTCGACACGCCGCTCTCCTCAAAGCTCTCACTCAGCCCCGGGCTCAATTGTAAGAACTTCTCTAAAGCTAGAATAGTACGAGGGATGTGGATGTTAATTTCTGCTTGTGTTTCGTTAGATTCGACAGAACAGCTCGTCTCCCACCAGTCTGTCTTTTGGAGAAAACAGTCTCAAGGCCTCAACTAGCAAATTGATCCAGACAGAGTTAACAGGATTGAAACTTGCAGCCCTGGAGAGCAACAAGAGTCTGGACCTGGAGAAGAAAGAAGGACGAATCGATGACTTACTCAGGGTAAGTCTGTAATCATTCTTTTGTTGTATGTATTGTATGAACTTTTGTTTTAGACCAGGCATGTCCAAACGTCTGCCTCTGAGGTCCTTTATGTGGGTCTCTGTCTTGCACAATGTGACGGTGGCACAAAATGTAGCTGGTGGGCACATTTGTGATTCAGTCAAGTTCATCTCTGTCAAATATTAATCATTATGGACCCATCCATCAATCCATTTTCTTCCACTTCATCCGTTGCCGGGTTATGGGGGCAGCAGTCTAAACAGAGATGCTCATCCTGGGGTACCCCAAGGCGTTCCCAGCCCTCCAGCGTGTCCAGGGTCTTCCCCTGGGTTTTTTCCCAGTGGGAGGCGTTCAGGAGCCATCCGGAACAGATACCCAAGCCACCTCAACTGGTTCCTCTCGACGTGGAGAAGCAGCGGCTCTACTCAGAGCCCCTTCTGTGTGACTTAGCTCCTCACCCTATCTCTAAGGGAGCTCATTTCCACGCTCTCGTCCTTTCGGCCATTACCCAAAGCATGAGCTTAGATCCATAGTTCCATGATCATAGGGCCATGACCGTATTAACCCCTGAATCAGTCAAAATAAATGACCCTGGTCTGGTTAACTAAAGTGGGCATCTTACTAAAAAGTGTGGTTTGTTTAATGGTGCATTCAGACCGCAAACGCTCAAACGCTGAAGCCCCGCTCACCAGACGCGCATTCTCTAGTTTTCAGACGCAGAGGACTTCACACCAGAACGTCAGAAGTGCTGGAAGTAGCCGGCAGGCTATGATTCTAACAGAGTTTAGCTAGCGACTTCTTGTGTACAGATCTTCTCCAATATGCAGCTTTGCAGCGTGTTTTTGCTCAGAGACCTTCCACGGGCTTTATATGACAGTAGTGTGTGTTAACGGAGGTGCGCCATACGTTTTTTGTATTATTAAACGGCATTTCCGCATCGGCGAACACACTCGAAGCAGTTGCATAAGGTCACGGGAGCATGAAAACCCATATTTTCACAAGCACAGAGTCGCCCATTGTCAACCCTGGTTTGAGTTCTGGTGAAGTCTGGTGTGGGTCCTGTTTTGGCTGTTTACGAGTATTTTCAGTCTGCTCGCTCAGTCCGCTAATGTCCCCGTGACCACTTTGCTGCTCTCTGATTGGTTGCTGCACGAACGTCCTAAGGAAAGGATGAGCAGAATCCATCTCCTGTGGGCGTAGATTTTTTGGTCCTGCTCCTCCCCTTTGACTTTCCCGCCAAGTCCGTGCGTCTCTACTGAACAGTCCGTGCGTGCGTGCCGAGAGGTCGGTGCGTTTTGACGCTCGAACGCGCCCCACCATTGACTTTGCATTGAAAGCAGACGCAACGCATGATCCAGTCTGAAAGCACCAGGCTGTGTTTCGAGTCCATCTCTTTTTCTATTGCATCTCAGGCCAACTGTGACCTGCGGAGGCAGATTGACGAGCAGCAGAAGCTTCTGGAGAAATACAAAGAGCGTTTGAATAAGTGCATCACCATGAGCAAGAAGCTGCTCATAGAAAAGGTATTTGTACTGCAATAAATCCACTCCATGAATATAACAAACAGGAAAATTAACATTTATAGGAATTTGACTCTTGCTGCATGTTCACAGAGCACTCAGGAGAAGCAATCGAGTCGAGAAAAGAGCATGCAGGACCGTCTCCGTCTGGGGCACTTCACCACGGTGCGACATGGGGCATCCTACACAGAGCAGTGGACGGATGGATATGCATTCCAGAACCTGATCAAGTAAGTGAGAGCTTATCATAAAAGCATCCACATAGTTCCATTGAGTTCATGTTTATGTGCTCTTCTGCTCGGCTGTGCGTAGGCAGCAGGAGAGCATCAACCAGCAGCGGGAGGATATCGAGCGCCAGAGGAAACTACTGGCCAAAAGGAAACCACCAAACCCTGCCTCCCCCTCCATGTCTGTGGCCTCCACCTCTGAGCCCAAACAGAGGAAAACCAAGGTCGTCAACGGCAACGACTCGGACCCCTTTCTCAAACCATCACTGCCTCAGCTGTGAGTTGCCCCTTCATAAGTGAATGGAGTATGATATAAATAAGATGACCGGAAACATGCTTTCTCTCAGGCTTACACTTGCTGAATATCATGAGCAGGAGGAGATTTTTAAGCTCCGCCTTGGTCATCTTAAAAAGGTTTGTGTAATGACTTTTTAAGATATGTTCAAGATAGCTTTACACATCACACATTCTCCAAAGCAAGCTGCATGTTGTGTATTTGTGTTTATTTTTCAAAAACGGCTATTTGTGCAGGAGGAGGCTGAGATCCAGGCTGAGTTGGAGCGACTGGAGAGAGTGAGAAATCTCCACATCAGAGAGCTGAAGAGGATAAACAACGAGGACAGCTCTGCGTACGTTTATTATAGACTCCTCAAAGCACAACACTTCACTCAGATAAATATAGACCAGAATTGCGATCGCTCCAAAGTAATCTAGAGATTCGTCTGCTATTCATACACAGTGCAACAACATCTCATGTGTTGTAAGGCTTATAAGGTTGTTTTAATAACTACTTTTAGCAGTACGGTGTGACTTCTCAGCTGTGACTTACCTACCCGCTTCCCGATTTTAAACTCCTCTAATATTCATCTTTTTTTATGTTAATGTTCTTCCGTTTTTCATTCCTCATCTGTAGTTTCAAAGACCATCCCACTTTAAACGAGAGGTACCTGCTGCTCCATCTACTGGGCCGCGGAGGCTTCAGTGAGGTCTACAAGGTAAACTCAAATTATTTTGGACTGTTTTCTTGGTGCTAATTGGCTCTGTATGTTGGCACACTTAGGCGTTTGACTTGTTTGAACAACGCTATGCAGCTGTTAAAATTCACCAACTCAACAAGAACTGGAGGGAGGAAAAGAAGGAAAACTACCACAAGTAAGATCATAGTCACAAGTCACAAATGTGCTGTCCAGTTTCTGCAGTCAACATTGGTATTTCTGTCCTTCAGACATGCGTGCAGGGAATACCGGATACACAAACAACTGGACCATCCCAGAATAGTCAAACTCTATGACTACTTCTCCCTAGATACTGACACGTGAGTGACCTTTGACCACTGCAGCTTGAATTACACTACACACTGGCTGCACTGTGGAAAGTCAGCAAGAATTCAATGAAAACAAATAACTTTCAGTGAGCTGAGACGAGAGAAAAGGCCAGTGTTGTGTTGTCCATTTGTGTTTTCAAAGTGTGAATATTGATGACCTCTCACAATGCATGCCTTGTTATGTTTTACCAAAGAAAGCATACAGGAAATTTCAGCTTCAATAACATGAAACATCCAGATCTTACTGTTCCGTGGCATTTTTCAGGTTTTCCACAGTGTTGGAGTTCTGTGAAGGAAACGACTTGGACTTTTATCTAAAACAGAATAAACTCATGTCAGAGAAGGAGGCACGCTCCATCGTCATGCAGATCGCCAGTGCTCTCCGTTATCTCAACGAGATCAAACCGCCAATCATCCACTACGATCTTAAACCCGGTTTGTCCAAGTTATTGTTATAATTAACTTAATACTGTCAGTAGTATTGTTTTTCTTACCTGGAACTTTTGTGTGAATTTCAGGTAATATTTTATTAGTAGATGGCACTGCATGTGGCGAAATCAAGATCACAGACTTTGGCCTGTCCAAAATTATGGATGACGATAACTACGGTGTAGACGGGATGGACCTTACGTCACAGGGGGCCGGCACTTACTGGTACAAACACTGGTACGAATCACATGTGTTTAGTTTGAATCAGCTGCAGATGTATTCTTTGTGCTCAGGTACCTTCCTCCAGAGTGCTTTGTAGTGGGAAAAGAGCCGCCAAAGATTTCAAATAAAGTGGACGTGTGGTCTGTCGGCGTAATCTTCTTCCAATGTCTTTATGGACGCAAGGTACAACTGGAGATTCTGATGAGTTTAAATGTGGGGCATGGATATGATCTAGAAAAGGGCATGTTTTAACTAGTGCTGTCAGTTAAACGTTAATCACGGCGTTAACGCAAACCCATTTTAACGGTGTCATTTTTTTCTATTGTACCATTAACAATAGTATTATGACTTAAACCCTTGTCACTGCATGGCAAAAATATGTGTGGGTCATAATTTGCGCTGACGAGGGCCTGGCCGTGTGCTTGTGCATGCCCCAGGCTTCTACCACGGGCACGTATTTGAAATCAGCTCTGCACACTGTTTCAAAAGACGTGTGCGCAGGGACATAAGGTACTGCAGGCGTGAGGAAACCAAAGCAGTCACACGCACTGCTGATTACTTACTTAGTCATTACGTCCATCAGTAATCAAAACTATCTCCAGTCATATACATTGTAAAAAACCAAAGTTACTTGAATGAAAACATAATTGGACACTTCAAGTAATTTCTACTATGTTAGATAGTTCTAGACGCTGTAATAACAAAGAAAGCAACAAAAGCAGAGATTGAGTAGTCTATAGTAGACAATCCAAATACTTTTGGATACTGAGTTACTCAAGCCACATAGAACATCACAGGACAAGTGGAGATAAGAACAGACAAATGTGTCATGTCCATTGTGCCTCTACAGCCGTTTGGTCATAACCAGTCTCAGCAGGACATCCTCCAGGAGAACACCATCCTCAAAGCCACAGAGGTGCAGTTTCCAGCGAAACCACAGGCGAGCACTGAAGCCAAGGTATACACACGCACACAAACACACACATACAAACACATCATCACATATTGATTCGATATTTTGATATATTGTCAATCTACACAATTTTTAACTATGCAGGTCTTCTTTAGAACTAAATGACGCAATCATGAGAAATGACTAGCCGTCAGATTACATTCCAATGTTGAGGTCATTGTTCAGTTGAAAGTGGATGATTTTCACTAACAGAGACTTGACTCGTGATGAAGGTGTAATGTGAGCAGACCTTTCTATCACTGCACTGGCATTGAGCAGGTCTGCATCTTTTAGATTTTCTTTCAACACTCTTTGGATATTCAGGAATATTAAAGGTGTGGTCTTTGCATGTTTCATCAGGTTTGATCCGTTTACACGTTCATGCGCTGCATACAATAACATAAGTCTGCTTTCGCTTACTGAAGCGCAGCTCACCTGTGTTTTGGTTTTCCATTTTGTTTGCCTTAATAGTATTATAAGTTAACTGCTTTCTTAGTTTTTTTTTAAGTGTAAGATGGGGTCTGTTGATCTTACTTTTATTGTTGTTTTCACATGGGATTGACTCTGCACCAGTCACCCTTGACTCCTGATTTTGTTCATTTTATTTTATTTTATTCCCTAAAATGTTTGTAAATATTTATTCTGTGAGATGCTGGGGTTGGCCAGGAGTAAAAATAGTCCAAATATATCAACTACATATGAACATTGTTGACAAGTCGCTGCCTTTTCAGTTCTTTTATAACATGCTACAAAATGATCAATAACTTTTCACTATTGAATAGTTGAATTTTCTTTGGGCGTTGGATTATGACCTTTTTATAAATCGTGTTTTGATGAGACTGACACGTTCTTTGTTTTGCTAGGCGTTTATCCGGCGATGTCTGGCCTACCGTAAAGAGGACCGGTTTGACGTTCACCAGTTGTGCTCTGACAGCTACCTGCTGCCTCATATGAGACGCTCAAACTCCTCTGGAGCTCTGCAGCCACCCTCCTCCTCCTCCTCCCTCTCTTTCTGATCCCATGCGATGAGATGAAGAGTGTGAACCGTATGCTTGCAGTCCATTTTAAGTATTCCCATAGTAAAAGAAGAGAGATGGATCATTGTGAATGCCACAAGCGGAAGCCATTGGGGCAGTGACTGTTTGAAGCAAACGGCTCCTGTGTGTGTCCCCTCCACTCTCCCCAAGTAATGAATCTATTCCTGCTGTTTGTTTATGAACCATTGAAACTCTCACAAGGTTTGGACAAGAGCAGGAAACAAATCAACATCAGTGGATAATGAGCCGTTGTTTGGACAGGATTCTGGGAACAAATTGCACTTCACATCCAGACCAGCTGCGTTTGTTGTTCTGTCATGAAGAACTGCTGCAGCTGAAATCAGGAGCCAGTTCAAGTTTCTCAGTTTGTGAAAAAGCAATTGTCTGCATTGGACTAACCGCAGATTTTATGTCTTAATTGGTTTAATTTCAAGCGTTATCACTTAATCCAATGATAGCCGTACATTTGTTACTGATGTCTTATTCGCTTCTGCTCTGAGAGGAAGATGTGTTTTTACCATACATTCTTGCTAATGTATAAAAGATTCTAGCTTTTGTTTAATTAGCTGTTCAGTTTGCTGCTATAAATGTAACTGTTCAGGAAGGGGTTTTGTGTCTGCCCTGTAAATCAAGCATTCATTCATTGAATAAATTATACATATTTTATTGTGCCATGACACTATGAAAGCTGTTATCAGAGACAAGAATTCACACTGGTCATGTGTCTATAGCTAGTTTCAACAGACTATGAGCTAGTGTATTTAGGTTAAGAATGCAGTTAGATGCTTAACGTATTTCCCTTTGCAGTCCTTCCGATATACAGTTTTGTATCATGAAATGAATGAAACCAACAGCAACTTGAGTTCTGGAGGTGTGGAGTCATGAGTGCAATAAAACTCATTTCCACACAGAAGCTGAAACAAAGTGTATGCCTCAATAATCCAATCAATCACTTTTTTAATGACTTCATTAAAAAAACAATGTTGTTCATGTTAACATTTGATTTTGGCTTTATTGCTTGCTCTGTTTTTTTACAGGGACATGTTTGCAAAATGTAACTGCAACAGTTCAATGCCATAAGGCATTGGTGAACTTGAGGGCAGAACTCAGTCAAGAACCCTTCACCAAAGTAGCATTTTTTTACACCACCACTTTAAATGCACAGAGGTTTGAAAGAAAGTCAAAACTAAACTATGAGGCTTTGAGACCATGCAATACATTCCTCAACTGCCTTATGGGGTCAGCTTGTTACTTAAAGTACATGTGTACTTTCAAATTTACTAGGGAAACAAGCATGTGACTTCACTCCGGCCAAGTTAAATTATATCTGGAGATTGTGGTTGGTGGTTCCTTAATCGGTCATTTTGTATTAGTCAATTACATTTCAAGCATGTGAAAACTGCAAAAAAGATTGGGCCAAAAGATTAACATTTATTCAAGCCAAATCAAACTTCTGTTGGCCTTTTTATTTTTTTAATGCAGTTTTAGTAATAAGTACATTAATTATTTTACTAAAGCCTCAAGTGAGGAATGTACATGTTCTAATTAAACTGAACATCAAGCAAAGCAATACCATCTATAGCAAGAAGCAGGTCCACAACCAGGACAGTTGAGGAATGCACCTTTTAATAAAGCTGTATGAACAATGTTAAGGTATGATTTATCTAACAGAACACATGGTTAATAAGCCCTAATATATATATATATATATACACACTTTTAAAAAAACTTTCCAGGAGAGATGCAGAGTGTTCATTGTCAGGGCACAGCTGCTGTCTGAAGCACTTTCCAAACTTCCCCAGTGTCCCAGCAGTGAGTGGAAAGCTGCTGAGCTCCGGATCTTCTACAAAAACTCTTCAATCCTTCACTGCCGGCAGCCGCCTCCTCCACCTGTGCTGATGACGGGCCAAATAAATAGAAAAACTGAGGAAGATGGGGCCAGAGTGAAAGCAGACACATGACCAGACTTGGATGGTGAGTAAAGGGCATATTCTGTCTGTTCTCCGGTTAGGACGGCATTTCCATGGCCACTGGTGCTTCCTTGGGGAGGAGTGTTTCCGTCGAAGCTTCTAGTGGGGGCAGATCAGAGGCTGGAGTATGTGTGGTGGTGGTCGTGGTGGTGGGCAGGAAAGGGGCCACACTTGTGGGTAAAAAGGGCATCTGTGAAGGCAGCATGGCGGGCAGCGGTGGCAGAGAGGCAAGCAAGGGCAGGTTGAGGGGCGGGAGGGACGACAGAGGAGGGACAGCTGGACAGAAGACAGATTATCCGTTTTAATCCACTTTAAAAGATCAAATACAATGTGATACAAAAGATTAAACTGTTCAAAGTGGATCATTAGGTTAATCTACTGGACACAGGTGACACCTGTGAACTGTTGAACTTGTGGCTGTTGATCGAAGAATACAGACCGCTCAAAATCTTACAAAGAGCAAGCTAATTTTGCATGAAGACTATACAGCTATTTTTTGGAGATTCATCTTTCTTTTTCTTGTAGACAGTAAATTCTATTGATTTGTTATGAAAGTATTATCCCTGCAATCAAGAGACAGGGCTTAAAGATGCTTAATGAGTTCATAAAAATGCTTATTACTACAAGTTGTATTTAATCCGTAATTTAATTGAAAACTTGAGCTCATTGATTCAGCTGTGTATGAATTTAGGCCGTAAAAAGCCCCTAGCCTCTACAGCGCTGCTAAACACAGTAGCATGTTAGCAGAATTGGCTATAACTCTTTCTGTTACTGCAGACACAGTAAAACAATCCAAACTGATGGTGCATACTGGTTGCCTCGCTTCTGTCAGTGTGCCCCAGGGCAGCTGTGGCTACAGTAGTAGTTTATCACCACTGTGTATGGAGTGAACGAATAATGACATGTAAAGCATCTTTGAGTGTCCAAAAAAGCGCTATATAAAACCGATGCATTATTATCCATCCATCCATTTTCTACCCCTTAATCCATTTTTGGGTCGGGGGCAGTCAGAGATGCCACCCAAGTCTCATAGCACCAGCCCCTCACTGACCCTCTGCAGGTGGTGAGTCCACAGGAGGACGGCTGCTCTGTCAATGTGAGCATAGCCATGATCTCTCAGCGGGGGCTTTGGGCAAAGTGGGGTTAAGTGTCTTGCCCAAGGACACAACGACAGCAGACATCAGTGGAAGTTGGTGGAGAAGGTGTCAAGGTGGGACTTGAACCCACAACATATTATTATTATTATTATTATTATTAAAGGACACAACAGTGAGGAAGAGAAGAGGGAACTAAAGGGGGAACATGTCTAGCTTAAATTGTATCCTATGGAGAGACTTGTCTATGGACCTGCAGGACCGCCTCGGACTATCTATACTCAAGACTACATTCGGATGCAGAACTAGCTGTAATCTTTCAGTCATATATTGTGTTAGCAGTGCGTTGCTTTTGTACCATTTCATTAGTGATTGTTGTACAGCTTACAAGAAGTTGCGCTCATGCTAATGTTTGCATATAGATCGCAAATAAAACTAGATGGCTCCGTGGAATGAGAGCGTAGGGGAAATGAGAAGCCTGTGAGCGAGTTGGGGGGCGGTGCTAAACATTCAAACCTGAGGTACCCGGGTATAGCTCCTTTAAGACAGATTGGTTGTTACTACCATTACATGTCCAATTTTCTTTACTTTCTGAATCTGTGGTAAATGTTGTAGGATCTAGCACATTTTGCACAGGAATTTTGGCACAACTAATAACATGTGCTGCTAAAAAACAGCTTTTTGTTGTGTTACAAGGAGCCAGCAGAAACCATCACTAATCACCAATACAGAAGTTGGAAAATGTCTTTTTATAGTTTTAGATCAATCTTGGTATTTATAATGAGCAGAAAGCAATCCTGCGCAGACAACTTCCTCTGCACCGGCCTAGTATGACTAGATGTCTGTGCCATCAGGGTCCGCACTAGATCATATACAGAATCAAGACGAAACTGGAAGTAACAATCCTACTTTCAAATTACTTTTAGACTAATAAGTCCTTAAAGAGCGACTTAACACCTGTGACCAGCCTTACTCCGCCCACATGAACATTTGAAAATGTTCTCTAAAAAGGGTGTTGCCTGGAGGACCAAGGGACAAGAAGGGGGGCTTAGAGTTGGGCGTGGACTGGGCTGTGATTGACAGCTCACAATTGTCATTGCTGCTTAAAGCAATAGTTTACACACCAGAAAGTCTCATTCCACCCTTGTTTACACACTAAGATAATTGTAAAGCTACACACCTGAACCTAAGCTACACAATTATCTCACTAACAGTGGTTGTCAACTCATGTAATTTAATTTGAATCCACTAGATGTTGCCAGAATACTCCAACCTGCTCCTGGGGCGTGTGTGAGAGTTGGATGTGTTTATATCACTGGCATAGACAGACACACGTCACACATACAAACTGACGTCATACAGAATTGCAGAGTCAAAGGAGAGGCCAGGACCAAATTCAAATGTAGTACCACTGAAAAGGTTGAGAGGGCGCCACAGACGTTTTTAGGCCCAAAAGTGAGATTTGATCTAATTTGCACTAAAATGTCAAGAAAATGACCAGGATGTGTAGAGAGCACTACAATAAACATATTTATGCAATTTATGAGTTAAAAAAAAAGTTGATTTGGTGTTTAGTCGCTCTTTAAGTGGTGACTGGTTAAGTTTTAGGTGTCTGAGTAAGATGGTTAAGGTTAGGGTTAAGGGTGGGTAGGGGTTATTTTATGGGAATGGCTGGTTAAGTTTAGGCATGAATAGGTAGTTTGTTATATTTACTTCCGCTTCCGTCCCGATTCCGTATATGATCTAGTGCTGATCATTTGGCATGCTTTCATCAGTCTGCTGTGACTACATCATTATTTTAGTTTTTTGTGAATTACAAATGCCAGTGTCTTCAAGTGTCCACATTAGTGCTTAAAAAAAATACAAAAAACCTATACTAATTATTATCATAATTACACTAAAAAGCTACTGTAAACTGCAGTTTTATGTACCTGTTCCCACAGATGGTGGGAGACCGCTGCCTGCTAACGCCACAGCTCCGAGGTCCGGGAGGTTGAGGTTTGGCAGCGGAGGGAAACCAGCGGGAAGAGGCAAGAGGCCTGAACACAACACAGAGCATCAGAGACCTTTTCACCTGTTAAACCAGGTGTCTGTTACCCCGATTAGCTGCTAAGATAAATATGCTGTGAGGATGGGGAAAATCAGACAAGAGTCTCAGGTATATGGAGTCTTATGCTGTAGTCAGTCTGATACTGCTGCACTTTAGCGTGCACAACTATTTTCCTACCGTTGATTCTGTCAGAAAAATTGTGGAATCAAAGAGAAAATGACATGAAGCGTCAAATGAGACGCAGCCTTCAACAGTCTCCTGAGAGAGATATATATATATATATAAAAAAGACTGTACACTGCTCATGTGTCATTTGTACATCGACAATCTCAACAAATCATCAGAGTGAACATGAGGAAACACTCACCAGGAAGTGTGGGGGCTGTGCTAAAGCTGGTGGAGGTGGGATTCAATTGGGTCAGGGGCGTCAGGGAGGGGGCAGTGGACGAGGGGAGCAGCGGTACTGTGGGCAAACCTGCAAGTTCAAACAAAGGAACATTTGAGTTTATTCCTTTCATTTTATTTCATTTCATTTGGTCTGTTGCATATGGTCAGATGTACCAGTCTGCAGCTCCCTGGGCAGAGTGGGGGCTGTGGAGCTGATGGAGAGCCCAGAAAGAGGGTCCTCCAGACCTGTGGGGACAGACACTACAGCAGCAGGAGGGGTCACTGCTGAGAGCTGCACCTACACACAAAGAAAAAAACTTCAAACTTCAAAAAGTAAAACATTTGTCTAATGTTTGAACCATGTCACTTTACCTCAGTGAATCCATCTTTCAGTGGACTAACAGGCTCACGAGGCGGGCTTCCTGGGAAGCTGATGTTCTTTCCCTCCTCAAATGGTCTGGTGGGAATTCTGTGAAGGTATCCGTAACCGATTCCACATCCAAGACTATAAGATGCAGATAGAACAGGGTTAATGGGGTTTTGCAAATACATGCATATACTGTATGTTTTTCAGCACACTACCTGCCATCACCGCCCCACGCACTGTTGGGTGTGATGACCACCTCTCTACAGTTGTCTGTGTCTGTGTTGTACACATACAACTTTAAAGGTTTTCCCTCATGACTCTCAATCAGAGAGAAAAGGTCTTCAGACTGAAATACACAAAAGAATTATGTGCTGCAGCTGCTTTAGTAACTCAGTAATATAAGAGATGGTTTACTTCATTCATGACTGTGTCTGCACCAATGATGTAGTCTGTGTGGGGTCGCAGACCAGCGATGGCTGCTGGAGAGTTTGGCTCCACTTCCTGTACAGACAAATGGGATACATTGGATGATACAGAGTATTTATTAAGTAACAATGTAGAGATGTCAAACCCACCAGCACATGCCAGACATTCTCATTGGCTCCTTCAAAGCTGCAGAAGCGGATAGACACCCCAAGTAGACCCTGGCCTCCCCATAGGTTACTGGGAGTGACTGTGGACTCTCTCAGCTCTAGAGTCTTTGATGAGTACACCAGCATTTTGACAGGTTTCTCCACACTAGACTTTAATAACTCCTTTAATGTGTCATTGTCTTTGTTCTGTAGAAATTAACATAACGTCCATTTTACACACACACAAGAGATAAAGTGCATGAAAGATACAGCAGGTTTAATATTGGAGAATCTCACCAGTCTGGTGTCATTGATGGAGACTATGAAGTCAAAGAAGGGTTCGAGTCCAGCTCTGTGTCCAGGGGAATTCTCCTGAACCTGTGAAAAACAAAACATGCTATCTTCATAACCTGAGGAGTATTTGCAGTGCTTGAGATTCTGACTGGAAGAAGAGCGATGCTCTGCTGGGAGTAGCTGTCATTCTGGATGGCCAGGTTTAGCCTGGTGTTAGCAGTTAACATTTATCTTGCGTATAATTTAAGACAAGAAGGATATTTGTTCAGTTCTGCAGGATGACGGTTTCAAGTCTATGTGTTTAGTGATGTTCACACAATGTCCATGGTTGACCAGTTATTTTGGCGTTTTAACAGAATCCAAAGAGCAGAGGTGATGCTAAAGCTAACAGCCAGAAAGCAGAGTATGGCGTTAAACTCACCCGGAGGACGTGGTAGCCCTCGGAGCCTCCCCCCGGTATCTCCACACTCTGAGCACCCCCCATACTACGGTCCTGTCGGCCTGTGGACCTCCTGCTGTGGAGTTTCTCAGGTGAAAACAGAAACAAGCGCCTCCAGGAACAGCACCGGTACACGTCGTCAAATTAACAGGGTTCCAATGCGCATGCGCCCTTACGTGGCAGGAAGAAGATTATCTTATTTTATTTTTAAATTAAACCCCCTCACATTTTTATTTTGAATTGAGAATAATTTTTTGGATTCACAATATTTATGACACAGAAATAAGCAGCATGACTCCTGAGGCACCTTCGTACTTAGTATGTCCACTAGATGGCGCTAAATGAATGTTGTATTGTTTCAATTCCATTTTTTCTTGTACGGCCTTAAATCACAATAGTTATGTCAGAGGACTTATAAAAACCTTTGAATTCGCCAACACAGATCAGAGAATCAAACAGTTTTAACACAAATAATAGAGAACACATTGATCCATAGGGGGAGACAGGGAGTTGACTAATGTCCATAAATGTTTATGGTTTATGATTACTTCAGTTAGTCTTTGTAGAATAACTAACTACATGCGGTTTGGAGAAGGCATCTTCATTGTTTTATTATAATATATAAATACACTCACTCACACACACACTAATAAGTCACACAATTAGTCAGTTTGTTATCTTTTATAGACTTTATTATAATATCATTTTTTCATAGATGGTTTGATTCTGTTAAAGTGCCTACTGGAAAACTCCTGGAAGACCCTCTTTTATTTCCCATTATGCCTGGTCTTTTGCAGGAGTCACAGCCACATAAAGAACATATATCATTTTACTATGATCTATACATTTTGTGCCATTCACATAATGGTCCCTAGATACCTTTATACTTTACATGATTCCAAAATTATTCAGTTACACAAATACATAGGAGAAAGTTGAAAATTGTGCAAAAACAAACTGAGAAACTCCATATGGTAAGATTTTTAAAAGAGCTCCCTTAGGTCTGGGAACACTGGCCATAAGCAATACAGTCAGTTCATGTAACAAAAACATTAGACAAATACAACAATCCTTTCTAGTCTCTGGACTAGAGTACATTCTCACAACCTTGTGCTTCTCTCTGACATAAAGTATCTGTAGACTATATTAATCTCATCAATCGGCCAGACAGACGACTAAAACATTCATTCAAAACACTAAAATGAAGTCACTATAAATTGCATTGCATTCCAGTTTGAATAACATGATACAAACACATTTTAGTAATACATTAAAAGGTACATGATGAACAATGGAATTCTCTGCTCCCAATTCTCTCTTTGGCTGAAAAATTATTATGAATAATCTTTACTGAAATTCTTGTGTTTCCATTTACAAAGGTATTACAATGTAATACACATACATTTACAGTAAAATACCTGAATCTTCAAACAGCAGAAATGCAATAAATATATATTTAATAAATATTCATAATATAAACAAACATTTACTACATTATGATTGCATGAAAGAGACAACGAGCCAGCGTTTTACAAGTTTTGTCGGAGGCTTAAATTACATATATTTAAATCTTTATCTTAGACATCTATAAGGGAAAGGCTTGTGCACGTAAGGTGATATAAGCTTATTTTAAACATCTTAGGCTAAAGACGTGATACGGTGAATGAGCTGTCAGCACTCCTCCCTGCTGAGCACACAGGGTTAGACTAGAGTAGGCTATATATGGACCCAGCTCAGTGTAGCGCATGGCAGCAGACCATTTCATGATATTCTGAAATATACTGATCTGTGTTTTGGCCTATAGGGTTTGACGAACACACACCCACAGTAACGCAAACTGAGACCATAAAGGACAAACTACCTGAACATCAGACAAGTCTATAATAAATACCCACTTCACAAGATTTCACAGCACAAACGTTCATTAAGAGTTGTGCCAAGGGCAAAAACTGTTATTTTAATATTGAGAGAGGATCCGGGAGTATGTAGGAAACAACTCAGAGCTGCAGGCAAAGACAGACGTGTCTCCTCATTAGTTTGTCTGCAGTGCTGACTGTTTCACCTCATTCTCATCCGTGTTTGGGGCGTAAGTCTTCTACAGGTCCTGACCCAGACGCTCTATCTCATCAATCAGGAAGTCGATGTCAGACTGAGTGGCTGCAGGGTTGGACACCACCATCCGGAAGAAGTTCACTTTCTTGCCTTGAGGCTGGTAGCCCACCATTGTGGTCCCTGACTCCATCATCATTGCTTTGATCTTTGGAGCCACCTAATAAAAAACACATCATACTTAACTCTGCAACTATTTACATTTAGAATAAGGTGAAACAATATGTTATGATTATTATAATGAAAGACTCTTACTCTGTGAAGTTTCTCCTGCCGTTCAGGTCCATCAGCCATTCCTCTCAGACTGGGAGGAATGTACCAAAAGCAAACATTGGTGTGTTGAGGCTGCAAACAACAAGACATGTACAGTTTCCACCATGGATTGAACTGGCATAATGAGAAAATACAAATTAATTAATTTAAACGTGAAAACAGGATGCTCACCACTCCATCAAACACCATCTCATATCCGTCTCTATTCTTAATCTTGTTGTACAAATACTGAGACAGGTCCAAGCACTTGTCGATGTGCTGCTCAAAGCCGATCGTGCCCTGAAGAAACAACATCACTCTTATGTTATTTATTGTGCTCAGTGATGTCTGTAGTATTTGTTATTGATGCGTGAGTACCTTAGCCTTCCACATGAGCCAGAACTTGAATATGTCGACATGGCGCCCGCACTGGATGGCCTTGTCCCCTGTGTCGTAGGTGACATCATACTGTTTGTCGGGTTGGAAGAGGTATCCGGCACACATGGAGTTGCAGCCGGCCATGATTCCCTTTAAAGACATTTGTATTTTTAGAACACTTCAAGGACATTCAAAAAGGTACATTTCCTATAAGGTACAATAGGCTGCAGTAAAGAAGAGTAAGACAGGGAGATGGATCAGTGACACATTGTACTGTATTATGTAAAATGTGGCCAAAAGTGGTACTGCAATCACGGTCAATATTCTGTAGTAGCACTGAATACAGCTGGGACCATAACAGCTGAATAGACAAGCGTTTGGTCAACAACAAATCTATAACCAACACCTGCTTCACATAAATTAGGCAATTTTCAGGTTGAAATACGTCATGTCTGCGTACAATATCACAAACTTATTTACATGAAAATGATCGTAATTGAGATTTTTGATACAAGCGGCCGATATGAGCTTTCTCCTCAGAGTGGCTGGGCGCTCCCTTAGAGACAGGGTGAAGAGCTCGGAGTAGAGCCACTGCTTCTCCACATTGAGAGGAGCCAGTCTGTTTTGGATGCCTCCGCGACGCCTCCCTGGGAAACACCTCGAGATTCCCCAGAATGAACTGCAGGGTGTGTGTGTGGAGAAGAAAGTCTGGGCATTTCTGCTCAGACTGCTGCCCCCGCGACCCGGCAACGGATAAAGCGGAAGAAAATGGATGGATGGATGAATGTTGTTTTTCACTTTAGTTTTTTTGGATTGTTTCTTATCTCAATCCAATGTGTTGATGGGGAAACTACTCTCTGTACTACACAAAATATATATTTCCAAATAAAAACTATAAAAACAGTTTTGTCTAAAGCATAAATAACCTTTGTGAATTTACCTTTTCCCGGACCAGGATGGCTGAGCACTGAAGCGGCACACCCATCATTTTGTGAGGGTTCCATGTAACAGAGTTAGCCCTGCAAGTTTAATGAAAGAATTTGATTAAACAAACTGTTGCAAATCCACTATTTATACAGTAATATCCTCTCCCTCACCGTTCAACCCCGCTGAGCTTGTGACGGTGTTTTCTGGACATCAGCAATCCGCCACCCCAGGCTCCCTGACGACGGCAGAATAGACTTAACAAACAGTGAGAATCTGAGCATAAACTTTATTTGGTTAAAGATCTTACATCGACGTGGAGCCAGAGGTTGTATTTTTCACAGATGTCAGCGATCTCATTGATGGGGTCAAAAGCGCCGTACACTGTAGAACCAGCCGTGGCATTGACGAACAACGGCACATACCCCTGAAGGATCAAATCATACATGTTACTATGGGAACCGTGGATGGACAAACGTGCAGAGATAAACACTGACTTTTTGTTTAGCGTCAAGGATCTTGGCCTCCAGATCGGCCGGAATCACTCTGCCCCTGAGAACAACACACTGTATGTTAAAATGAAATATGCAATCATGTTGTTTTAGTCTTTTTTCTGCAACTTGGCAATACTAAATGCATCTTGGTTAGATTAAACTAGATGCATTAAAGTTGGGGAACCTAACTTTAAAACCATAAGAAACTAAAATCCATTAAGTTCCTCACTCTCAAGTTTTGTTCCATCACTGGTAAATTTTTGAAAGCTTAAACTTTTTTTTTGGACAGAAATGTGTAGCGCCCCCTGCCTGTGAAAGCCAGGTTAAGTCAGACCACTAAAGCTAAGTAGGACAGGGCCTGGTCAGTACTGTGATGGGAGACCTCTGAGAAGGTGGCTGCAGCTGCTGAACTGTAATTTTGTCCTTAAAGGTATGTAGGAAAGATATTCTACTTACGGGTGGAGCATCAAGACTATTGGTCCTCCAAATTGTCAATCATTTTGATGATACGTGCTCGTCCAATAAGACCAGAGTTTTATTCAAAAAGTTCTTTCCTAAAATTTGAGGAAATCCTCCTACATACCTTTAAGCAAGACACTTCACCCACAATGCTGAGTATAAGTTGTGTGTGAGTGGCTAGTGATGGACGGATATAATAACGCTGCTCTCTTCTTTATGAATAGCTTTGGAATGTGTCCTGTCTTTGATTCAAGTTATTATAAACATGCACCATTTTAACACCAAACAACAACAAATAAACAAATAATACTGGCAGTCTGTTGGACAGGAAGACATTGGCCAACATGGTGGAAAATCAGAAACACGGGGGTAGAACTGAAACCTTGTGTGGCCCAAATGCTGTTATGATGACATCGCATCTCTTCACTTCCTCTAACGACTTGGACCAAATGTTTTGCGATTTGTAATAAGCTTTCTCCAATACCTCTCGTCCGTGTTGAGGAGGATCGTATTCTCTGAGCCAAAACCCAGTGCAGCACCGGCCTTCTTGATCGAGTAGTGGCTCTGAAAGACAAACAGAGCATATTTGAATGAAACCAATTAGATGTTAACGCTTCCGTCCGTCGGGGATGTTGTCCTGGTTATATCTCACGGACAAAAATAGGCTCCATAAAACAAGAGGAGAGCGTTCCAATGGCCATCAGTGTGATTTAAAGAGAGACAATGATTGTAGCAGAGGTCTACAATGGCCTCAATCTCAAGCCAATGAAGCGCACCATCTACTTTATGACAGGACCTCAAAACGGTGTGTGTGTGTATGCGTGTGCGTGTGTTTGCAGAGACGTACGTGTTCCGATGTGAAGAGGACAAGCCTGGGAGCTGCAGACATGCCCTTGGTTTTCACCTCAGGGAAATACTTGTAACGAGCGATCATGATACTATACATGTTGGAGATGGCGCCCCCTGTGGAGAATATTGGTACTAGATTAGATAAGAACACATTTCCACTGACACTGTCTCACGGTCCAGGCATAAGGTAGACTATTGAGGGTTGCTTCCAATTCACGATCATTATCAATCTTATAATGTTGCAACAACCCTGGGGGAAAATGCTACTGTCGCAATGACCTACAATTTGCAAGTTCATAAACAAAAACAAATATACCACAGAGAGCTTTAAGATGTTTCGTTATGTAGAATTCAATAAGAAATTCCTTGGAAAGTTTTACAAATGAGGCGTGAAGGTTTTCATTCTTAAAATTCACACAAAGCTGGTTCTCCTTAACATCAATGGTAACATATTTTAATATTTTTGTATGGAAATAGTAATGCAAATAATGATACAGACACTTATTACGGGACTAACCTGGTGAGAAAAGGCCGTCTCCCTCTCCGTCAGGCCAGCCAACCATCTCCCTCATCTTCTTTAGAGTCAGCTGCTCCATCAACACAAAGACAGGCGCAATCTCGTAGGTGAACCTGTCGATCACACCACAAACATATTGAGATTCATGATGTTATAATAATATTCTAAGTCATACAAATCCACAAAGGACTTTTACAAAAGAGTTAGTTTGCATGCAACGAATTATAAAATCAATTTGTTTAAACAGTAATTGGTCAGAAATGTATATAGTATAAGTTAACTGCGGCTCAATTATTTTAGTCATGAGTGCTCTGTCGGCAATTACCTTTGATCCATCAAGTATTTTATTACCTTTTTACACCCTTATTTGCAAATTAATGATATATAGAAAAAGAAAAAGTATTGATATTTTAAGCAAACAATCATTTTAGTGTTATTGCAATCTCCTAATATTTTGAGCGGTGTTACATCAGGCAAAACATTTATGTGGAAAACAACAAGGCCAGTTTTATTTTGATGTATTGGTTCTCTTTGTCCCTGTGTTTCACCTGTGTGTCCCTATGTGTATTAAAACCCTGTGCTCCCTGTGTTCTTCTCCTCTTGTTGTCAGTCCTTTGTGTTTTCTCCCCGGTTTGATTTTGGATTTTTGTTATATCCTGAATTTTGTTCTTTTTGAGTTTTGTTTATAAAATACTGTATTTTTCCATTCCTGCACTTGAGTTACCCCTTTGTTCTGAATCCTTGACAGTTTCACATATTGAAGTAGTTTAAAAATATCATCCACTGCCCTTCGACCGTCTTCCTTCTGCAAGTAATACGTGTTTTAATAATTCTAACATTGGCTTAATTTACTTGGCAGGAACAAGGATTTTTCTCTACATATCTTTCAGTTCAATCAATTCTATTATTAATTTAAGGTCTCCTAGAAATATGAATATATGAAGCCATGTTTTTAAATTGAATGTCCAGAGCTTAAATTAGTCTTAATTTAAACTGGGATGGCTGATTTGTAAATGACAATTATACTTTACACATTTTATCTGGTTAAATCAACGCTACTAAAATCAATCTGATTTTAGTAGCTATAACAATCTTTTAGGCTGACTTCTATGTACACCAAACACTAAGATAGAATAAAACCAATAGTGCTGGTCAGTAATACCGGTTCCCTATAGCAGACCACCCTGCTCTCAACCCAAAGCTTCAAATAGTGACTTATGTGGCCCTTCCTCAAAACTATTTGCTGTTTTTATGTTTTTGATTCAATGAAAATAACGTATTGTGTGTGTTTTTTTTTTTTTGTTTTTTTAAGTTCTGCACTTTCCAAAATATATTAAAAGGAGTGAGGAATCTTGAGAAGGCAAAAACTTGTATTTTCAAAGATTAGGCAACCCCCGCTCGGACACAAAATGCTTAGTACAACACATAGTAGCAGTGCCCAAAATGCGGCTTTTGCTGACGGGGCTAATTAAAACGATAGGAACCGCAAACATTCATATTCAAATAGATTCTGGTTCCACTCAGTTGTTTAATTAAAGCACACAAAGCTCTGATGGTTATCTCTCAATGCTGCCAATCTCAGCCGGAGCTCTGAATGGGATTCGACCTGACGTATGTGGAGAGGACTCGCAGAAGGCAGGGCTGTTTTAAGGAGATAGTGCTGATTGTGAGGATTGTGATGTGTATTTACAGTTTTTTGAGTTTTGTGTGATGGGGTCAGTTCGCAAAGACGTACTGACATGTACAAATAATAAGCCACAATGGGAGAGAGGTTTAGGACCAGAGAGTGTTTGGGTGTGTGTATGTGTGTGTGTGTGTGTGCGTGTCAAATGCATGAGAGGGGTTGGAGCCATATAATAACACATGGTACTTATGTAGAGACACTTTACAGAAGAACAAAGAAGAAACAAAAGATAAAACGCTAAAAATAAACAGGCAATTTTAACAAATTAAAAATAAGTGTCTGCTTTGTCCAACCCCTTTTCAAACTAGAGTTCTGTTTTTCTTTGCTTGTATGTTTTCTTGAATATATATAAATTTATAGCAACACATCATCTTCCAAGATTTTCCAAGATTTCACAAGATTTATGGATAGAAAATCCAAAACGAGCAGATTAACGTATGTTCTTCTTGGCAAGGAAAAGCATCAGCAATGGTTCAAGGACACTTAGTGGATCCAACAAAAACTGCACATAAGTAGGTTAAAGTGTCACTGAAAGGCAAGTCCTAATGCACGGCCTGAGCTTTTGTTCTCTCCGCTAACTGGTGCTGCCTCCCACACACCCTCAGGACTGATCCCTGTTTTTAAAAAGAGGCCAGTTATACAACAATCCCCCACTGCCATTAAGCACTGCCACTACAAGCGCAGCATCTAAACCAACAGCGACATTACACACCGGCTCTGCTCCGACAGCGCGCATCCAAACAAGCGCTACAGCACCGGAGCGGTTCAGGCTGAAGAGGCCTGTCTCGCCACAACACAGGTCAGGGATGACAAAGGAAGATATGGATCACACAAAGAAATAACAAACCAACATGTAGGAAAAGGAGAATACATTAAAAAAAAGGTTAAGGACAAAAGAAAAGGCAGCGTCTTTGTGTCCGCACTGAGGACACACCCAAATCAAACATTGGCTTCAAACACAATTGGGTTCTGAGAGAAGCAAACAGAACTAGCATGGTCTTCTCTTCTTTCATCTGCCTTTTATTGGAAATGGACAAACCGGGACACCTTTTTAAAATCCTCCCCCTCTCTGACTCATTTCATGCTGTAATGACAATAATGGCGATCATTATCACAATCAAAGCCAATCATTGGTCTTTTCAGGGTGAAAATTACCCTTCAGTCACCTGCCCCTCTCCAGGGACAGCCCCTAAATGCCCTTATTATCATCAAGGGCACTGCTCGTGTGTGTATGTGTGTGTGAGTAACCTGCTGACCCCAGGCTTCAGCACCACACTCACCATTTCCTTTGGGACAATGGGCTGAAACGAGCGCTCTGTGGGGAGCAGTAGAGCCAGTTTCTTGGTGTGACAGGGTTTTCTGAGCAGCCGGAGGACATTGTGTGACTGTGAGAAGCCCAGCTGGCCTATCAGCTAAGACCGGCTCAGAGCCTGCAGTCAATGGGCTGGAAACTGGATGTGGGGCAGAGGAAGCTGGTGTGCGTCTGTGTCATTACTAGAATGTGCCTGTGCTAATGTGTGAACGCAGTGTCCCCCGAGGAGCCGTCACCCACAAAATATACAGTTTCACTTCAAGGATGCGGTCCTCGGACTTAATCTTTAGTGAATTACATGAATTAAGTGACTCCACCTGATTATTTCCCTCCTATTGATCTTTGATTTAGCACAAAGCTCCTCAAGCGGACGGTAGCAGTAGAATGTTCTCATGTTTATTCTTATGGAAGCACAAGGGCAGGAATAGAGCAGTCGGCTCATGCAGCATTTGCAGTGTTTCTACGATGCTGTTTTTTGGTTCAGCAGATTAACAATAGAGTTACAGCTCATTCGCAGTGTGTTTGGGTAGTTCGTGCCCTCTATCAGACAAGACCACCATGTCGCTTTGACCTGAAATCAATATGCAATCTAACAGCCCCTGAGGCAGACAGCCCACAATATACAGTGAAGTTTGTCAATAGGGGACAAACCTAACACTTTATATAACCGGCCTCAGAGGGGACCACCACAACACCAGTCTATTTATGAGCCTGTCTGGGAGCGGTTTCCAGTGGCCTACAAACAGCTGACATGTAGAGGTGTTTCCCCTTTCCACAACTTTACATAAACGTGCATGTTCTCTTACATGTTAGTGTTGGCAGTTGAGGTGAGCCACTCTCCGGCCAGACCGATGATGTCCAGTCCTGTGGACAGCTGGTTGAAGAAGCGAGGGTGACCTAGCAGAGGAGACACACCACTTATAATAACGCTTGTGCTCCTGTTACTAAAACTATTTCTACAATGGTAATATAACTGCAGTGCCCAGAGGCGACTGCTTCTAAAACTCTGATTGGAAATAATGAAAAACGATAAAGTGTTTATAACCGCTAAAGGCCTGTGAGGCTATTTGCCATTAATGTTTATATTTCTGATTTCTGAGTTTACTATTCAGGGCAAGACAATGGATAATTACAATGGACATATAACAGCTTTTTGAAATGTAAAATAAAATCAATTTAAGCTAATAAAAAATATACAAAAATAAGCATCAACCACCCACAAAAGATAAGTCCTGTTTCTGGTGCATTGTCATAAATATCAGTTATGACATGAATCAAGGCATAATCAAATCAAATGTTGACTCAAATCAAAATGATGTTGACTCGCTGTATTAGTAATGAAATACATGCCTCCTTGTATGTGGAGGAGGTGAAAGAACATCGTAAGAGCAACGTAATCAAAAAGGCATTATAAAAGATATTCTCAATAAGCATCCCTTTTACACAATTGTTCTGTCACGCAGCCAAATAAAACAAAGTAACTATATTAATCAAGCCAAAAGAGATTGTCCGACTGCTGCCCTCATCCTGTAAACGGTGGCTGCTTTTGTATTCCCTGGTCAAACGTGAGCCTAAAGGGGCCTGACAAAGCAGTGCTCAGTGTCCCATAATTACTCCAGCAACAAGCAGCAGCATGACAGCTATTTAATCTCAAAGGTGCTGACACATACTCGCCGTCAATGAAGCCCACGGCCCTGAATGCACACTGGTGTCATGTACATTCATTTAAAATACACTTGTAAACTATAATGTATTGCTTAAAATACAAATTTGAACCAATGAAGGCCTAATCCAACATCGCAGCACTTAGACTACAGCGTGTCAGCACCGCGGACAGCTCCCACGGAGGGATTTTTAGCTGTTGTGGGGAATTAGAAAACACAGTGTGCAAAGGTATAGACAGTGCAGACTCCGAGTGATAAATAAAATCCAAGGGACAGTTTGTCGTTGTAACAGCTTGAATGGCACCGCGTAAAGGGCCCCTCAGGCAACACTTGATTTAATATGCTAAGGGGAAAAGGAAGGAAGGATGATGTCTTGTGAAGAGGTACCAGAGGGGTCATAAATAAGCCAGACATGGTAATAGGCCTTATAGTGGCTGGCAAACAGCGATGGAAAGAACATATTTCACTGGATTTGCAAGAGCACCAATTGTGGTAAGCATATATTTCAGCTGCCCACATTTTACATTAGATTTGTTGTGATTTGACAACGTATCACGGATCTTTCCATGATGTATTTCTATGATTTCTATAATGTATTAAATCTTCCCACCTCTGCCCCTCTCCACCGACTCCCACTGATGATTGCTGTCGTTGTGTCCTTGGGCAAGACACTTAACCCCACTTTGCCCAAAAGCCCCCGCTGAAAGATCAAGGCTATGCTCACACTCAGAGAGCAGCCGTCCTCCTGTGGACTCACCACCTGCAGAGGATCAGTGAGGGGCTGGTGCTATGAGACTTGGGTGGCATCTCTGATTGCCACCCCCCTGACTCAGAAATGGATTAAAGGGTAGAAAATGGATGGATGGATGGATGGATATTAAATCTATTTGCTTCAGAATGTAGTAATCAGTGACTCGGTGTGATGGTCATCTGAAGGTTGAAGCAAACATTGAGGAGAACTACTCAATATGGAAGATATTAAATCCTTCTTCATCAAGTCAGGGTTTTTTGTACTCATTATGCTAAAGATAGAGATTTTACTTGTATCTTCTTCATGCTAGAGTTAGAGAGAGATTTTATTGTATTTAGTATAGAGTTATTGTTCATTTATCTTGTGCTGTGTGCTCCTCATTCTATGTTCTGTAACTGGTGATGCAACGCTGAAATTTCCCCACTGTGAATAATGTGAAATCTCTAGGTGTTGCAAATGCTGAGTAGCAATTAAAAAAAATATCTTGCGCAGAGACACAATCGCAGACCTTCACATATTCTTCGGTTAGCCATGTCTTTTCATAAGTCAAATACTTCTTTATTATGTTAAAGATAGAGATTTTATATATGCTTCTTTGATGCTAGAGTTAGAGATTTTATATTATTTTAATTAGTATAGAGTTATTGTTCATTTATCTTGTGCTGTGTGTTACTTATTCCTACTGTTCTCTAACTTGTGATGCAACACTGAAATTTCCCCACTGTGGGACGAAAACAGGATCTCCTAATCTTAATCTTAATCTTAAATGTAAGCAGATGCTTGTTTATATTTGTGTGTGAATTTCTGTCGTAATCCATCACACGTGTACAATATGCGTTTGTGTGGCTCGTACCGGTGCGGACTCCATACTTGAGCGTGTCCCTGCAGTCCACCAGGATTTGCTCCAGGGACTCCGGCTGATCAGACAGCTCCAGGTTGAAGCCCTCCATGCCCTCCAGCAGCTGGTGCGGGTGGTGGAAGTCCAGCACTTTGGTGGACCGGTCAAAGGTCTTCCTGACATAGTTGGTCAAAATCTCAACCACCTCTAACAAAAACTGAATTGTGGGCTCTTCTCCGTTCTTGGCGGGCAGAAGATCTAGAGAACGGAGCATAGGTTTGTACAAAGAGTCCAATTATTACTAGTCAAACTGCTCTGAAAATAAAAAGTATAATATATATATGACACATAACAAAAGGCAGGTTTGTCCACATTATTACTACAAAGTCAGTAATGATGTCAGTAATACACTTTACAAATAAGTGTATTACTATATTATTATTATTATATTATTATTATTATAAATGTTAACTATGATTTTGATTTCTCCTAACCCCGTTAAGATGCCTTGTGTACAAATTGTGCTATACAAATAAACTGTCCTTGCCGTAAAGCGACTGAATGTAATTTACTGTAGGTTCAAAATCACCTGCATGAAAACCAAACAATGGAATAGGGATGTCACGATGTCACATTTCAAACATCAATTCCGATACCGCTGTGATCAGTTATATTGCTCTTTTTTCCTATAATAATGAAACAATAAATACATACAAATAACTTTGAAATGTTTCAAAAATGCTTCTGCGATTATATTTAGTATCTATATAATTCGTCAAATTAGTATATACTTTGGATGCTTGCTTTGTATTTATTAATCTAATTGTTGTTTTGACAATCCATGGAACATATGTGTCGACAATTATAGCCAAACAAACAAGAACTCCATGTAAACAAACATGAGGAGCCCCAGCTCCAGGACAAGAAAGAATTAGGTTTGTCCACTCACAGTAAAGAAACAAATATGTTTTAGCATTTTTTGCCTTTAGGTATAGACTCACAGAAATACATACAATAAAAACATGTAAAAGTTCCCTGACACTTTAAAAGAACTGGCGCTTTAAAGAGTTTGTTTTATCTTCAAAAATATCACAACTGATAAATAACAATATTATGCCGACATGTTTGGGCATTTGAATTATATGTCGTTGTTGTTAGTGTATTTGCATATCAAATACAGGATCCTAAACAAGAAAAACGTGTAATAATAAGGCTCTGACCTCTGGCAAATAGGTTGGAGAAGTCTGTCTCAGTGCGGCGGAAGCTCGGGTCTCTGTCGCTGTTGTCGCATGCCAGCAGGTTCTTATGGCCCGTCAGCCTCCCCTTCTCATCCAGGCTGTTGTTCTTCTGCAGGAACCCTACAGTGTTGCACGGAGAAGAGACTGAGTTACCACCAAACACTTCCATCCTATCACCCCACACCCAACAACCTCAAAACAAAATATCTATGAAGAGAAAACTCCAAATGGATCACATGAATAACGGCTGTAAAGCAGTCGTGCGCGCTGTGTCTGGACTGGAAGATAAATAGAGGAAGTCATTTACATACACAACAGAACAGTGCGCCCGCCTCGGTGACATCACAACCAGGAAGAAGTCAATCACCCATTTGTTTTTTTTTCATAGATCCATGGGAGTCACCGCTTGCACACAGTCTGGAGGCCCGGGCCGTGTGCGCAGTGGAGCGGGATGATCTGATGACCCACGTCGCCAATAATAGACTCCCCATAAAGAGGGGTTAATGAACGGCGAGCCCTGGAGCCGTACTCATATATGTGGTGAATGATTCCTGCAAGCGAGCTATAAATACATCCAGAAGCAATACTAATAATAATAATACTCTATTAAAGCTGAGGTGCCTAGTTTTTTAATGGTAACACACACATTGGCTTACAGCACTGATAAAAAAAACACATTATTGTATAGGAAGGCTGGAATGTTGCGAGTTCTATTTCATTGGCCTCTGTTTTTGCAATGGCTGGATGTTGACCGTATAAATTTCGTTTGGTAGCCTTTACGTGTGTTATTTTAAAGTTATTTTTAGTGTTTTAATTAAATGATAGGGTTGATATATACCCCATAATAATCTTTACGCATCGAAGTCGCCTATATATACAGTCTCATGCCACATAGGGCCAGGCTGTCTTGGCTTTGTTTTTCTATACGGGAGATGATGCTTCAAGACGCGGGGGGTTTGAGGGGCAGCCCAGGGTGTTGCAGAGGGTCCTTATCACCAGAGCTGCAGGCTAATGTCCACTGACCTTTATAGGAGATGAAAACGCACAGTGACAGTCATGGATGGCCCTGCTGTAACAGCGTCTACGGTGGCCTAATCCAGGGCCTTTTTATTTACTCCCGATGAAAAAATGGAAAATGACACATCGTGTGAATGAAAAAATCTTGTGGGGTTATAAGGTGTTTTTTATTTGGCCCCTGTGACAGAACTTACCACAAATCTTCATCCCAAGTTTTCGTGTGCATCCGTGCATCCATGCGTATTCGTTGGCTAAAAGAGAATATAGTGCACGGTTGATTTTCTTGCTCAAAAAGAGTGAGGCGTGCGGAATGGTGGATGAAAAACAGAGCACACAAGCTTGATGTAGCCGAGCCAGAATGAGGCAGATATATACATCCTAATATTTGAACCATTTTGGCCCAGTTTGGCTTGTCTGCAGGTTGTTGTAATAACTCCCGGTTTCAAAGTTGATGAGAACAGACAGTGACCTTTGTGGCACATCCAGGCAGGTCCGCACACACGAAGCCAGGAGGCGGGTTAGAATTAAGACCCGTGAAATGAGCTCACGGAGGAGGGCAGGAATTAATTGAGTGAAACACGGTGTGTGACTGGAGCGGGCTGCTTCAATGTCTTTGGCGCGGATTGGAGCTAAGCAGGCGAGATGCAAGGGCGAGCAGCCGAGAGCGCATGCATCCACAGCCTGAGCATGCTGAGAAATGACGTGAAGCGAGAGAATAAGGTAGATGTCTGCACTTGTGTAAAGTTCTAAAAGCAATGGCCGATAATTATTACATTTACTTTGATAAGAAGCAGCTCGGTGATCGGTCAGGCCAAGGCGCGCACCACGCACAGAGCACAAGCAGCCGCAAGGCGTGAGATGGAGCGTGACACACAAGATAATGGCAACATCCAGCAGTCAGAGGCGCAAGACACACACGACAGATGTATCATTTAGAGAAATAATACTAAAAAGGTGAGGTGCTCATCAATGAGGCTTGAAGCAGCTTAGAACAATAGAATAAAGAATACATTCGGCCTATATAAATATACACATGCTTTATTGCCGATTATTCAACTGTTTAAAATGCAGGATGTGTTACAGAATCAAACATGAAGCCAATGGCACAATAACACTTGAAGGTTTGGTGATCATTCCCTATAGGCCTACATATCTAGACACGTTATCACCATCGTTACAATTATTGTTATCTAGAGTACAGGGCCCTTTACCAGTCTAGAAAACGATAAGGTGAATTATAGATCGTCAAATGATTTATAAGTTAAGGGAATAAAGCAAACAACAACAATAACAATCTTATCAAAGAATTCCTTATAGGCCTATTTTTATTTTATGATTATACTTTGTTGTATATTTATCGTGAATGCTTATTGAACGTCAGACAAGTATAAAGAGTCATAAATATCGACGCCGCCACATGTGGTGAAATATTTGTGGCGCGTCCCTGTCTCCGTGCGCACTGATATGGCTGACAGGGCGACAGCGGCTGATGGCTCTTTTCTTAAGCACAATGATTAACGACCAAGTCAGCAGCAAATGCCCCGAAAAAGACGCGCTTCTAGACATAGGAGCAGGAGAAAATACCCTCCCATGTGCCTTTGGGCAAGACACACCGGAGAGAGGAGTGGCGTGAGCACGAGAGAGGCGGAACATACTTGTGGACTGGGGTCTTAAATTGGAGGAATTTGGGTCTTGGTCCCCACTGGTGGCTCTTGGTTCAGACGTAGCCATCACTCCCACAGCGGTGCAGATGTGCAGTCTTTACTGGGAAATAAGACAGGACTGTTAAATATCTACCACACTTAGCTCAAGTAAACCAGTTCACTAGGAGGAGTCAAAAATGGAACATATTTTCCAAAATGCTATTTTATTAAATATGAGTTGTGCGTCGTGTTTATTCGAGTTTCCCAAGACTCAGACAATAACTAAACCACAGCATTTGCATAATCAGGGAGAAAAGCAGAAGCATCCGGAAGGAGACTTAAATGTGCGCATTTACCTATTGATGCAAATATCGACATTTCAATTAAGTTGATCTTTGAGCACGCGCACACGCCATCATCACTCAATGTCATTGCCAGAAGCAGACAGAGCACATAATGGATGCGTCCTGTCACTCATCACAAGCTAATTATTGGCTATTATACAGGAGCACCAAACACACCGTCTAAAATGATACTGGAGTACGCACAGTGCCCAACCGCGTTACGCATGAGACCTTGAGCGGCTCCGAAAGAGGCAAAAAGCGGCTTACCGGTGCACAGGTTGTCGATTACAGACTCCAGACAAACGGCAATGATTTAAAAAGAAAAAGCCGGTCAACGCGCTAAAAGAAGCAGTCCAACAGTGAAAGCTGAAAGCAAACAGCGCACTCAAATCTCATCCAGCGGCGCGCAAGTGACCCGTTCTCCCTCCAGAATATCTTTTATTCGTTATTTATATCTCACGCTCCGCCAGCCCATTGGTCTCTTCACGCAGCCATGACTCACAGCCTTGCCTCTCTCTGACGAATAATGAAGCTTCCTTGACAGCTGCTGACACTTTTTTTAAAGGAAAGTCCGAAACGCAGAGACAACCCGATGACGTATATTCTTTCACGCAGGAGTGGCAGCGCGCAGAACCCTCAGGTGAGAAGGGTGGGTGGTGTCAAAAACAAAATTGAAAGGAGTTTGTACTGATTTCAACTGACCTTGAAGGGGGGAAGGCACGCTTTGGCATCGGTGGATAAGCCATTCACATATGTATATTTTTATGAGACCAGTTTAGGCTAAAACAACAAAAAATATGACCCTTTAACCTTGATATTAACATGATCATTTATGCACCCTGCAGAAAACCTGGCATTTAAAACAAAAATAATGACAAGGATTGAGTTATACAGAAAGAGATTAAGGAGTTTGTGATCAAAGAACCACAAGCTCACCCCACAACAGTTTGTATTTGCAGTCTCCCTCAGCGTGACTATGCAGTGTGCAGATCAATAGCATTACACATTCTTCCTCTTTTGTTAATCACGCCTGAGCCTATACTGCCCAAATTATAATTCTATCAATTCTATCGCCCATTGCACAACTGCATCTGCTCGATTCAATCATGCCTATATCATATAATGTAACACGTGTAAACAATTTCAGGATCAAATAAAATAAAATCTTTCTCTTGATGCATTTTTGTGATAGATGTTTGGTCACCTTTAGATGAGCTTTCTCTGTTGTCATGGTTACTGTCCCCACCAGCTTCTAACCCCTCAGCATCCTCATCGTCACTCTCCTCCTTTTTACTTATTTTCTGGTTCCTGTCTCGGAGCTAGAAAGCAAGTAAACAGCACAAAAAAGTTTAGAGGCGCAATGAGACATGATGTTATTCTTTCTATTCTTTTGTTAAATATACACATCCTCCACACTTGTCTGGCTCCTGTAAATTCATTTAAAGCACAAGAAATAAGATAAGATAACCTTCGTTCGTCCCTCTGTGGAGAAATGTCAGTGTCATCGTTGCGCACCTTACAGCAGAATAAAATAAGAGCACTCAAGATACGAGATCATACACGATTATTTAACATAATGACCATAAATAGATAATAAACATAGACAGTAACCTAAAATATGAAAAAAAATTGAATACAATCTTCAAGCCAAGAGCAGAGGCAATTTCTCATATTGGACATGATATCTCTGACAGATCAGAAATAAATTCAACATTATACTGTTGTGATTTAGGGCTATACAAAATAAATAATATTGAATTACTTGCCACTGTTGTATAAGTTTGATACTGGCCTTTATTTACTTTATTGTTATCGTTTCTAAACTTTACTTTATGCTGTTTGAGGAATGGACACGGCACATACAGTTTGTTGTTGAGTGAGACATGTAGAATATTTTTCCCTTTAGTAATATTAGTTTCGGGGGTTGTAGTTGTAGAGCCAGCTCAGTTGGTAGAAACATTGTTTGCAAAGGAGATGGCTAAAGCTAAATGCTAGTCACTCACTCGGGCGCATTACATACTGTATATCAAAACGGAGTTAACACCTCCCACCTGTTAACAGAGCTCAATGGAGCTAATCCAGACCTAAGTACAGAATGAAATGAGTACGATGGTATGGTAAGACCAGGCTACATTTATCTGTGTTACACTAAAACACGTCTGAAGGAGAAGCTGACACAATGCCCGAGCTGATCTCCATTTATTAAAATGCTGTGTACAAACACACGTATAAATGACACCAGCCACTCTCAGCTCAAACACACCTGCTCTGGAAAAGCACTCATGCATTATTGAAAAAAAGTTGTAAATAAACTTTGTCCACACATTTGGACATGTTCACACTCTGGTTCACTTTAACTGGACCTAGTCTGGTTCACTTAAACTGAACCTAGTCTGTTTCACTTAAACTGGACCTAGTCTGTTTCACTTGAGGCAAACATACTTTATAAGTAGATGTACAATCACACACGTGAACATGTGTTTTCACATCACTGGTCCGTTTACATCAGATCAGTGAAGCCTTTTCCCCAAGTGAACCAGACTTGGTCCTGTTAAAGTGAACCAGACTTGGTCCTGTTAAAGTGAACCAAACTTGGTCCAGTTAAAGTGACCCAGACCAACAGTGTCACTTCCCAGAACATCTTGGTAAAAGTTTACAAAGGCTTCCTTTTAGGAGAATCTTTTTTTTTCTCCAAATAATTGAACTCACTTAACTCTATTGACTCCCTTGAGATTCCTTTAGCAGCTCTTTGAACTCATACAAATGACAAACACACTGCAAATATCTTCTCGTCCAAAAGTACCTTTGTTGTGATAACTTCTTTTAAAAGCTGGCACCTGCACACACTCAGGCAGTGAATAGGCAGAAGCTCTCTTTCTGAAACACAACAAAAGTGTGAAGACGTCTCTGCCCCAGGGCTTTTCCAGACCTCAGTAATGACACGCTCCCATTGTCCCTGAGGAAAACCACATGTGAAAACAGCAGGGACATTCACTTTCAAATCATACATTTCAGTTTTGGACATTGAGCTTCTGGTTCTTTGCAACAGTAAAAAAGAAGAACAATTTGTCATGGTTACATACTTGTTATAAACAAATGAAAATTATTCTATATGAAGTGTCATAAAACACAATGAATGCATTTGTTTCATTCACGATGATGATGATGATGAAGCATTCAGGTGGACTCGGGTGTCACACTCTGTTTGGTCAGGCCGAATTAATAAAATAAGAGGTGATCAGGAGCCGAACAGTTATTATTTGTTATAAATTTACACATGAGTTTGGAAACTCTCTGAACACTATGTGTTTATTGTTTGAATTGAGCCAAACCTGGACAAAAATAAGGTAAGCCAAATATAAGCCAATGATTTTTGTTTTTAAAGACTTCACTTCTAATTGCAAAATATAGTTATAAAATGTTAGATTACATGCAATAAGGTGTGATGTTGTTGTTTATACGGAAAATAAATATCTTTAAATGCCATAGTAGCCAATTACCATCAATGTTGTAAATTAATGATTGAAATAAAATGTTAGGGGCTACAAATGGTCTTGCGGGCCGGATTTGGCCTGTGGGCTTGAGTTTGACATGTCTGGTCCACAGGGAGTCTACAATGTAAAAATTAATTTTCATATAATATTTGTTTCCTATGAGTAGAACTGTATATAACTTTTAGGTTTGACTTACATTTTAGCTTCCAGACTAAACGGTTTACAAGCGTTCCCCAGTTGAAACATGGAGCTCTCAGCTCTTTAGCCGTCCACCCTCTGTGTCTGCCATTTTTCATTGTATTAAGTGCTGTAACTGCTACATTAGCTGTGCATGTGTCCAGAGGGCTGCTGCAGTTGAGACGCCCAGTTAAAAAGAGAAAAGATAGACTTGAGTTATTTTGTGTTACTAATAGGTGCAGCTCTTCACGGTTGTCTAAAGTAAATGTAGAATAATATGAAAATTGACAAGCCCAAACCTCACAGTTTATACCTAAATGGGCTGTTTACAAAGCCACATTGTTAAAAGAAAAATCTGTTTATTGTAGCTGTAATTGTTTGCTCCCGATCTGATCAAATTTGGGCCGTTCCAAACACATTAAAAGTGTCCATGTGAATAAGTCCGCACCCTACAGAGTCAATTTGGAATGTCTGGCGCACACACACATTTGTTGTTCTGAAGCCCTGCAGACCTCCACACCTGCTCCAGAAGGTGGACAGGAAAATTTATTCCACACAGACGACATGATAACAGAGTCATTTCACACTCCACTGCCCCCATGCACATTCCCTGTCTGTGTTCCCTGCACATGTATTAGGTGCAGGCATCTCAGAACTGTATACACTTTGAGAGAGGTCCTGCTTCACACACATTTGTATCATGATGAACCCTGAGGCCCTTTTGACAGTGTCACCGAAGACATGAAGAGGATCTGCCATGTGTACAGTGTCACATGTTTCGGTGCCACAGAACACACGCCATATTGTCATTACCAGGGATCACTATTAGTAAAACACAGCAACATCGTAATGACTTCCTTCAGCATTGTAGGGACATACATGGGTGCCTCCAGTCTATGTACGTATGCTAGTGTTAGAATACAGCATCTGTGCAAGTCTCTCAGCGTGGTGTGGTGGAGAGAGTATCAGTCCGTCCCCACGCATCGCAGCCCCTGCCAGACTGAAAAGCTAATAATAAATGCAAATTACAATCACAGGAGCAGAGCCTAGCTGGAGAGGATAATTGCTCCATAATGGTTGTGTGGGAGGGAGGGGTGAAGTGCAATGTGTGTCTTGTAAACTGGACAGATTGAAAGAAAAGGGTCACCAAAAGCCGGGAACTGACGTCACAACCAGACTGCATAACCGAACTGGGCTGTTCGAGAAATTGATTTTATTGTTGGATGAAAGTAGATTTTTCCAGTGCAGGAGCCAAGTAAGGACAGCTTTGTGTGCAATTGGAATGTAATGACCTTCAGAATTGAACATGTGACCAGATGGAAGGGCTCCCAAAACCATCATAATAATAATTATCATCATCATAATCATAATCATATTAACAACAACAATTCCATAGTTAATATTAGAGCCTCTTCATATTTTCAGATAAAAACATCAAATAAGAAAAAATGGCCTCCTGAGGACCAACAGATCTAAGTATTTCAGATTAAAAAGCTGTTGTTGCGAATAATGAATCCAAAGCAGGATCAGTTTCTGGTATATTGTCACGTCCTACTGTTATATACTTCCTCGCTATAAAGATTTTATTTTATAAGTCCTGTAAATATACAGCAGTGTAAAAATGGCTGCGGGTTACACTCCCACACGTCACTTGACTGTGTTGTCTGTTAAATCATCAGAAGATTTGTGTCCCGCGACTCAAGCCAAAGGGTCTGCTCCTAATGTTTATCAGATTACACATCCTCGTCTTTTAATATGGGGTCTATTTAAGAAACATCGGCCTCTGGGCATGTCGGCTGGTGCGTGTCTTTGTCATAATAATGCTAGGTCTTTGTGGAGACTTTTTTCTTGTTTCCTCTCCACTTCTTCACCGGTCGAGTCGCTCCATCTGTCTCTGTTTGGGCTCATTCATCACTTCCTCCGCTGTCAGCTGTGTATTTCTTCATTTACTCGTTCACTTCATCTTTGTCTCTATCCCACTCTTCATCTTTTACTGTTATTTCTTATTTCAGTTTGGAAAAACAGAATGTTTGGATTGTGGCTCGATAAAGCATATATTAGGGGTGCATGTTAATCATATATATATATAAAAATATGATTTTATACATGTCTATACATATATAAATACACAAACAAATACAGTATATAGGCATGGACTGGCTATGATCAAGTACAGCTTTTCCAAAGCCTGCAATGACATCAAAGTCCAACATAGTATAAAAGACACACATGTGTTTTTTAAACATGGTGTGACAACAAAGGTTGTGAACACAATCCTACAAACCTGTTTGACCAGAAAATAAGTTCAATACTGGGAATTTGACAAAATATACTTCCTTTAAAAGGTACAAGCTTTAAGGTTTCTGTGTAGATTATGTAATTTCAAAAGGTTAATAGAAGTGAGGTATACACTGCTTTGTGCACAGATAAAGAAGAAAGTGTCCTGGCTTGTGCGCCTCCATATGAGAGGCTATACTCCTGTATCTGCAAAGCTGCTCTGCCTCAGGGTTTCTGGCACTGTGGCATTATCGTGGTGATATGTGCAGAACGGAGTGCCAAGGAAACACTATGGTCACTCCTCCCCTTTTAATTGATCATTTTGGTCACTCGGCAAAGGTCCATGTCTGTGCTGAACTTGCACCCGTAACCCATAGTTTATCAACGTCTCTCCTGAGTTCTGCACTGGACAAAAACCTGCTGTTTTCACTGATTCACAGAGTTCTACACAATCATCAATCTGGCTTTTGCCAGGTTAAAACATGTGTGCGTCCCACTTAGCTTCCGTGGGACCACACTTTCCTGCAATTTACAAGAAATCTGCTGCTGCCAATTTATTATTCTTTTCAGGAAGTGATGTCATTTGACTGACACTGGATTTTTCCACGAGCAGCAGCAAAGGGCTCCTGGGAGGTCTGGTGCCAGTGGCTTGGTGTTTAGCAGGAATTTTCACATCCCAAGTGGGGGTTTGCATGTTCTTCCTCTGTCTGTCTATGTTTCCTCCAGTTGTTCCGATTTTTCCAACTATTTTTCTAAAAATACCTTCTTTTTTTTATTTGCCATTTGCAGTAAAACTACATTGGAATACATTTGCAAGTCCCCAGTGCGCACAAGACAAGTACAGAAATAAAACAAACTAAAAAAGTGCAGCTACACAAATCATTTAAAGTGCTCTGTTCAAACTGATAACAGCTTGTGGAAAGAAATTGTTAGCACATAGAGATGTCCTGGATCTCAAAGAACGATATCTTTTGCTAGAGGGAAGAAGCTGGAACATGGCTTTTCCAGGGGCCAGTCATTGAATATTAAGAGCTCTGTTTAAAAGTCTGGATTCATAAAGAACCTCCAGAACAGGCAGCTCACTGCTCACAGTCCTCTTTCAGAATGAAGCACCTTGTTTAGAGCTCTCCTTTCTTTGGCTGTGATGTTGCCAAACCACATTAGTAATTTCCTCACTTTCCTGGTCAAAGAAAAAGAAAAAAAGAAAAAAAGAAAAAAAAAAAAGAACACAAGGTGCCATAAAGAATGTAGGTGGCAGCTAAATGAGGAACAGCACACTGAATGTGCCCCCCATTATGTGATCAATCATCGCTGTCAGCTGAAGCCAGATCACGCGCTGTCAAGAGATTTCTCTCTTTTCTCCTTGATATAGACGTGTGAAGAGCAAAAGTCAAAACGAGGTAAAGACACATAACATGACCAGGAAGGTCATGTTAAGGTTCTTTAAGGGAAACAAGTTGTATCATTGACTTTGAAGCATCTCTCACACCAAAGTGAACCCCTGACATGTCAGTGCCAGCCCAGAGTCAGAACTAAGCATGGGACGGTAGCATTTAAGATTTACACAGCTAAAGTTTGGAGAAGTCTTCCTGAAAATATGAGACAAGCTTCTTCTCTGACAATGTTCAAACACAGTTGTGTTTTAAAGTGCATACATACAGTATCTGTTTATATGTGGGACCCGTGATATTAGTATTATATTATTTGTATTATTAATCTTTATTTCAGTCTCAAAGTAAATTGTTCCATAAAAAAAGAAAAATAAGGAAACAAACAAAAGACAATGCATTACAATGTATACAGTCAGTCCAGGCTGATCTGGGACAGTGTCTGTCCAGTGCTTTCTCAGAGCAGAGGGTGTAGCGACAACAGCTCATTTTAAAGAGCGGAGTCTGAGGGCATTGTAACATTTAAGTATGTAAGTAAGATATCTTTATTTATATAGCGATTTTCAAAGCTTTACAGTTATTGTTTTTTTGGGCATTTTGTCTCTCACTCCACACAGAGATGGGAGGTACATGCCAGACCTATTGTACATGTTTTTAGAGGTAGGAGAAACCGGAGCACCCAGAGAAAACCTAAGTAGAAGCAACTTGCAAACTCCACACATGAAGCCCTGGAGGTGGAAATGAACCCAGGACCAGGAAATCTATAATTAAAATCAAGTTTTTTGGCACCCCTCTATCTGAAAGTTTCCTAAAAGTTATCAAAAGCCTTACTTGCATCGATAAAGCAAAACACTACAGATGAGTTCAAGTCCAGGTCTTTCAGTGCATAAATACAGTTATCAGTGCTGTGGCCTTTTTTTAAACAAAATTGATTTTAATTTGTAATCAGATATACTTTGAGTTTAGTGGATATTTCTAAACTTTCTCAAATCTCATTTATCTGACCACAAGGGCTACATACAATTGACATTAAGATTAAGAGATCCTTTCTTCTTCTCACAGTGGGGAAAGTTAAGTGTTGCATCAACGGTTACAGAACGGTAGCAATGCGCACACAACACAAGGTAAATGAACACAGCACAGGATAAGATAAATGAACATCGCTCCATACTAAATACCTAAATCAATCTCTCGCTTTAACATAAGTAAGTAATCTTTATTTATATAGTGCATTTTAAAGACCAAGGTCACCCAAAGTGCTTTACAATTGTTCATAGCAAGAATTCATTACAAAATCTCTGACTTTAGCATATTAAAGAGGCAAGTATAAATCCTGTATATTCTAGTGCAGAAATGTATAGTTGTATGTAAACATGTGTAACTGTTAGCAGCACGAGGGTCTGGAACAACATGGTTTCATATTTCGCATTGTTGCCTATGTTCATTTTCTTGTTTTGTAAAGCACTGCCTGTGCCTTGTGTATGAACTGTGCTATACAAATAAACTTGCCTTGCCCTACCTTACAGTATGAAATCCCATTTGGAAGACCTCAACAGGGCTTCGGTTTCTGCCTGTTTGAAAGTGCCGGGGTCATTTGGCCTCTTTTTCACTGTGGTCTGAGAGACATTCACTTATACCTCATGTGAAAGCAGATAAGGAGTGAAAAATCACCAAACACGCCGCCACAGGCTGGTCCGCCATCAACAACGCTCTGCCCTCCTCTAATATTTCACCAGAGGAAGAAAAGCCTGCATACATCATTCTGACATGGACAGAATGGACAGAGACATCCCCATGTTATCTACACACATGCACCGTCACAGATGTATAAAGCCTTCAATGACGACTCGTACGCCTCCGTGTCCCTTTTGACGTGTCCGTCAAAAGGGAAAAGCCTGCATAAAAATAAAATATTCATAAAATATCTTAAAACTACTACTGTAGTTATTATCTGAAGCACTGTAAGTCTTTGTTTTGCCCACTTTGTTACCACAACCACAACAACTTATTTTTGTATAGCCCTAAATCACAACAGCAGTCAGAGGACTTAATAAAACCATTGAAATCACCAACACAGATCAGAGAATCAACAGTTAAGACACAAAATATAAACATACTGTATGTATGGTCCATAGGGAGAGACCAATGTCCATGAATGTTGATAAATGTCCATACATGTTCTACAGTATCTATATCTTCAACATGAGTCGTTTATATTTCAAGAGATGACATATTCTGTACTTATGCTCATTGGCACAAATCTTGTAAAAAAGCCTTGTCTCCTTTTGTTTGCTCTGTAGGGACTCAAAAATAAACCGTGGTACAGGTGCAATCACTGCTGCCTTGTCTTCCTTTCTTGACAGTAGCGTAAAGTGACGGTCGTAAAGGGCAGGGTCAGTGATGAGTTATAAAGTGTTCATGAGTCCGACTCCAGAAGAGAAGAAACGGTTCTTATGACGGGAGGTTCTGATCCGGATGGACTGTAGCCTTCTGTCTGAGGGAAGTGGTTGGAGTATATTTACTGGCTGGTTTTAACACAGAATGTCATAGTTTTAGATATAAAAAGTTGTAGTTCAGATAAAATTTGAGAGAAAACGGCTGTTTTCATGGTATTGGTTCGTAATGGATATTAGCAGATATTGGACATCAAAATATTGATCAGTGTCTGAAATGAAAAAGAAGTGGAAAAAGATAAACAAATACAATTATAATATTCTAATAACAAAAATTGCCTTATTATTAAGGAAAATCATGTTGAAATCATAACATGAAAAACGTTTTTCAGTGCTCTAAATTATTATTTTTGTTGTCTTAAGATATTTTAGAGAAACAATAGGTCTTTTATGCATCTACTGCTCCTACATTTAGAAATACTGTATGCATTTATTCCTACGACATATCATTGTTTTACTATTTAATTTCCAGAACCTAAATCTAAAAAAAAGAGATTGTGTCAACGTAAACAAAGATAAAGCCCTACCTTCTATTGTTACATATTGAAAAAATGGACCAGAGCTCTGTAATCCAGAGTGCTGCAGCTTTATGTAATAGTTTGTGCTGTTCCATACTTTGGTTCAGCTATTGAATAGATTTACTATATTCTTATTTTTGAATTATGTAGCATGGGGTTTACCACTGGCCCACCCACTTGGGCAAGGGGTTTGTGGAGGTGTTGTGGCCCCTCGTGTTGGATTCTGATGTTGGCTTGACAGAAGTGAAGTAACCTACTTACAACTACCATTGTCTTGTTCATTATATACACGTAATACATGTAACACTGAAATAATATTTATATTTAGTGGTGTCCAAAGGAGATCAAATTTAGCATAATACTAGTTTTGCAAAAAAGAAAACCCGTAATTTGTATTTTGCACTGAAAATACTGTGGAAGGTGAATATGTTGCGTTAAACAGGTAAATATTAAATATCATTGAATGTATGGTTTTTAAAAGGCAGTACTTTTTTCCTTCTTCACTCCCCGGCTGTCAGTGTAAATCTCCCTCCACTTTTCCATCCTTCTCTCAGGAGTCACCTCCCAATTGCTCTTCCTCCGTTTGGATAATTGAAAGTTTGCTCGTAACAAAGATGTCAGGATTTTAAAAGGGGAGGGAATTGGGGGTTCTTCGAGTGACGTTAACCCTGAAAGAAATAAAAGTCAAACTGGAGCAGACTTATAAACAGCCTAATCTGAGTCTTTAATGGAGTGTCAGAAGTGCAACGCAGTTACTCAGTGTTATTTGACATATAGTTTAGATTATCTATTTAAAGGACTAGTGCAGTGCAAAAAAGATAAAAATAAACACAGAAGAATACATTATTGAAATGTATTGAAAAGTATTAAATCTATACTTGTTATTGATGCTAGAGTTAGAGATTTAGTTTTAATTTAATTAATATAGCTATTGTTCACTTATTTCACTTCATTTTGTGCCGTTTTCTCCTCTTTCTTACTTTTAATAACTTGTGATGCAACACTGAAATTTCCCCACTGTGAGACAAATAAAGGATCTCTTAATCTTAAATTATAGTACAAAATAAGAATATGAAATAAACACACACAAATTTAGCTACCCATCGATTCTACTAACTAAAAGACTGAAGAGTTACACCCATCATAAAGGGCTGGTGCTTGGAGCCGCAGGCGAGCGCCTGTAGTTTAGCCTGATGATCTGGTTGGCCTTCTTCAGTAATCAAACTTTATTTGTGGTTTATTGCATTTCACAGACCGACGTCACACAAAGCGCTTTACAATTATGGTGTACAAGTATTTGGAGCACCCACGCAGACACGCGGATGCCCGGAGGTGGACCCAAACCCAGGACCTTCTTGCTGTGAGGCACAAGCGCTAACCACTGCCCCACTCTCTGGAGGGTTTTGCGGATGTGTTAAGACAACTTCCTGTACCTCACAGATAAAAAAAAAAAAAAACTTTAAAATAGTTGAATTTCTTACACAATTCAGTAAATATGACAGAATGAGAAGCTTGAATAAACACAAGAAGATATTTCATTTGAGTAATTAATTTGGAACTGTGACTGTAAGTTTCACAATAGTTTCACAATAGTTTATTGTGAAATCCAGCGACGTCCTGGATGATCTGATGATCACCTCACTGTAAACCTCGCACCTGTGCCCCTCCCCAAAAAGGAGTAGCTCTTTTCGATCCAAACATGCTCAATGCCCAGGGGCTGCCGGTCCCTCACTGGACAGTTACAAACAAACTGTTAGTTTGTTTAGCTTAGACCTTTTGAACATAGTTTTAAAAGTGAAGGGTAGGGTCCAAGTGTTGATCATAACTATCCACATAGATATTTAGAAGAACACGTGTTTTGGCACGGAGTGTTAACCACTCCGTGCCAAAACACGTGTCGGATGCTACAGAATTCTATGAAAATGGCACCAACCATTTCCAGATCACACCGCTGAATAAAACAGTATGTCATGACAAATGATTACTGCATAGCTAAATGACTTACAGCCAACCGGCTTTTCTAATTGGTGGGTAGACACCGGATACATACATATTTAGAATCATGGTTGAATTTGTTTGTGGATGGCATTGATTCTGGGCCCGTGCTTTCCAAATGTCTTTGGTTTCATTTGTTTCTTTCTATCCTGTCGTATATCATCATATAGAACACTTGGACAAGGGAATGCAAGAAAAACTATTATGTGATAGACATTTTCTCTTTCACTGAAATACCTGCTCCTCACATCGATGATCATGTAAGTAATGACATCTAGATAGGGCTGGGCGATTAATCGATTTTAATCATTAATTCGAGTTTTACGTTTAGGGCGATTTCTTTTTTTAAAAATTCGATTTTTATTTTCTCCAGCGCAGAACTACAGCGCTAACGCGCTAACCGCGGGTCTATGGTGTTGAGCAGTCATTTTGAAGCTAACCTGGTGCGTTCAGACCAAACGCGATTTCTGCGGCCAAATCGCGTCTATCGCGCGGCTTGAGCCGCTTGTGACAAATTGTGGCAGCCGCTGTCACAGAGAAACTTGGCCGCGCGGCCAGGACACTAGAGGGCAGCCGCTGTCACAGAGCGTTGAGAGCGTTTAGGGGCGGGGCTTGTCTCTTTTGCCTGTAGCTTCCCAAAATGGATGTCAGCGAAGGAGTTGCTTTATCTGATAAATAAAGCCAGACACGTCGTCAAAGGGCGAATCGACGACGTGTCTGGATTCATCAGATAGTCCGTAGACGGTTGGAGTTTGGTGAGTTTCACCATTTGCTCCGGGAGCTGCGCTCGGATGAGGGTCGCTTTCAGCGGTACTTTCGTCTCTCCCTGGCCCAGTTTGACGACCTACTGACCCGCATTGGCGCAAGGATCTCCTACCAGGACTCCAACTACAGGCGCTCTATTCCAGCTGAAGAGCGCCTGTCCATCTGTCTGCGGTTAGTGTTTTTTACCCCATTCAGAATTCCTAAAAACTTACAAAGTGTGTCATTTTTCAATCACAATCCACAATGTAATTGCTCAGAAAACAGTATTATGCAACAATATGGTGTCTATGATTACTGTCTATGATGTTTACTGTCTACTAGTTTAACGTATTTTATGCTACACAAGTTTTGTCACGTGATTTTTATGAATGTAATTGTGATAAATATGTTCATATCATTTTGTAATTGCAGGTTTCTTGCCACTGGGGACTCCTACAGGACCATTGCGGGGAGCTTCAGAGCGGGCATATCCACCGTCTCCATGCTCATCCCAGATGTGGTGGCAGCCATCTGGGACTGCCTCGTGGAGGAGTTCATGGCTGTGCCTGGAGCAGAGGAGTGGAGGTCCGATGGAACTTCCCTCTGTGCTGTGGGGCCATTGATGGGAAGCATGTGGCTGTGAAGGCACCCCCCAACTCTGGGTCCATGTTTTTTAATTATAAGGGGCACCATTCCCTTGTGCTCCTGGCTGTAGTGGATGCCCAGTACAGGTTCAGGGTGATTGATGTGGGAGGGTACGGCAGATCCAGCGATGGAGGCATCGTGTCCAACTCTGCCTTTGGTGAGGCTCTGCGCGAGGTCACACTCGACCTGCCTCCTGACCAGTGCATACCTGGAGCTGACCACAGAGGACCCCAGCCCCATGTGTGTCGTGGCAGATGAGGCCTTTTCACTGCGCTGCAATTTAATGCGCCCTGCCCATCTCCAGGATGAGGATGAGGATGGCTGGAGATGGGCAGGTTCCTGCACCGAGGGGAGCTGCTGCCGGTGAAGAACCACTTCCAGGCGTGCAGCGGATGGCCGCCTGGAAGCCAGCAGTGGACATAAGGAAAGTGTTCATGGCCCACTTCAGTGAGGAGGGAGCACTGCCGTGGCAGCCCACAGAGTAGTCATGTCCACCACAAGACTGACCCACATCTGGCCATAGTCCAAACCCATATTGATTTGCACTATTCTATTCACCTGTATACCTTCTGTTTCCTGGTAATGACTGCCAGACTCCACTGCGACTCCACTCCAACTTCAGGTTAATCATATGCACATTCAAGCTTTTCCATAATTACAAGGTTGTTAAAACAGTAAAAGGTGAAATGAATAAAAAATACTGTCAACTACTGTATCGCTCTTTAAGTGTTTGTTATTCCATCTTCTATAAAACCCAGTCAGCTCTTATAAAAGTAAATGTACAAATATAGAATAGCATTTTCTGTCAATATTATATGAAAGGTAGTAATGGTTGGCTTGAAGTAGAACACATGAGGTTTGAAAAATATTTTCTTTATAAAAAAAGGAACAAACAATGAAAAATAAATGAAATGTACATATAAACAAATGAAAAGGAGCTTGCTTGGAGGAGGTGCGGTGGAAGAGGAAAGGGACACATGTCTGTTTCCTCCCCTGCAAAAGGTGTTACCTTAGGTAAAAAAAACTGTACTGGCCAATGGTTCCAAATTAAGCAGAACGGTGCTGCTTTCATATAAAAGTTGGTACATTTTGAATTTCACAAATTCTTTTGACTCTGGTGCCACCCTTTGCAGGAGAGGAAAGAGAGAGAGCAGGAACTGATGGTCTTCTGAGTAGTCGGGCGGTCCGGCTGCTTTGGTCCGTAGAGTCTCCAGCAGCTCCCGCTCCCACTCTGAAGGCCCACCAAGGAAGAGGGCTCGGAAGAGGCCCACGTCCGTAGAGCCGCCAACAAAGAACACAGGGCAATCACAGTGTTAAAAAGTGGAACATGTATTTCAAAAAAGCAAAATGAAGAGAGCAAATAATATCTGTATTAAAGCCAGAGTGTGTAGACATAGTTAAACACATGTAAAACACTTTTAAGTTGTGTGTTTGTTACAATTAACTTGAACATTGCAGTTATCAATGAAATTACTCACACATGCACAAATTTCGACAGTTACAAACTAATATCTCTGAAGTGTATTTCGCAATGAAATTTGAAATTGGCTGTAAAAAAGTAATACTCTATTGTCTGCATTAAACAGGATAGCTGCCATCTTGTGGCAACCATTGCATGTATTTGTTCAGTACTTTTATAGCATAAGGTATTTCAGTAGTATGTTTTTATCAAAGAAAGAGGGAAGATGTGTTGTATCAGACCAAAGCTTCTTTCCACCTGTAGTGCCTTGACATCTTGTCGTTTCTCTGTAAATTTGTCGTCTACACTGATGTAACAGCCCTTGGGTAATTTTGGCATATTATGCAGTAACATTTTGTTTATATGAACAGTCCTGTAATAAGAATAAAAATATAACAATGATTAAAAAAAGCCACACCTGTAGGTGCAGAAGCAGGGGAAGGTCCAGCCCTCACAGAAGAAGAACCGGCTGAGGAAGCAGCAGCAGCAGCAGCAGCAGCTCAGGCCAAGATGTCTCACCTTGTGTGGTGGTGGCAGTATCTGCGCCAGAAGAAAACAAGAAATACAATTATTTCATATCATGTGTACATTGCGCTTATGACATTTATATGTACATAATAATGTACATTATTATGTACATTTAAATGATTTGTTCATATAAAAGGGAAAAGTGAAATTTAACACAACACATGATCAAGATCTATCCTGGTTTGAAAATAGCCAATGCCTATTTTCACCTGGCCATGATGTTAAGAAAGCATTAAAAGAAATGCATACACAGAAAGCAATATAAATGTAAAAGTCAGCAAAATGTGGGTAATAGAAAGGAAAGAAATGTATTTTTTCCAACTGTTCGAGGTCTCCGTTTGCTGCATGACACCGACCTTCAGCACCTCATATGTGTCCCTCAGATTCTTCCACCGCTTTTTGCAAACTTCCACTGAATAAACACATCAACTCGTAAGCAGGAAAGTAGTAGTTTTTTTCGCGGGGAAATATTTACAACATTGAAAAGTTAAAATAACTTACCCGAGACACCAACCACCTCGCTAACCCTCCTCCAAGCAAGCTTCTTTTTATTTCGGTCCCGGTAGCTGTGGTCCGCAGTGTTGTATAGCTCAGAATGAGCACCGACCTGAGCAATTGACGTGTCCTCCATAGCTGTCATCTACCAGTGTTTTTCCGGTAGTGAAATGCGTCACTACGTCACTGGAGGAGAAAGCTCCTGATTGGTCGGCACACGCGAATTCTCCCAAAAAGTTCAACATTGTTCAACTCTAGCGGCGGCCGCGTTGGAGGCACGAATCGCGCGAAACGCGCGTCAAAACGCTTGACATCTCAAAACACGCCGCGCGAATCGCGCGAAACGCTCGAATTCGCGCCGCTCTGGCCGCGCGAATCGCGCCGCGTGATCTCTCGCCGCTCCTTGGCGCGCGTCCCCCATGTTGTGTCAATGTAGACCCGCCGCTTTGGCCGCAGAAATCGCGTTTGGTCTGAACGCACCATAACAGTCTCCCTCTGGCCTGATGCTCGCTCTCACAGTTGGTGCTGTTGCAATAACACTTCAAACGTTCAAGAATCAGACTTTATTTAATCGCCAAAACACACACACACAGGCTCCGGTCGTACGCCACATCTTTCACGCTCTCTCACGCTCGTTATTCCAAAGCGCACTCCCGTGTCCGTGGCGCGCACACACCCGTGTCCCACTGAGCCGCTGCACTTTGGGGAAAGACACGTCTCACACATTGTTCTCATTGCTCTGATACAAACAACGTGTTCCCCGCTGTCTGTTAGCTACAGTAGCTGCTACAGTAGCTGCTAGCTACAGTAGCTGTTAGCTACAGTAGCTGCTAGCTACAGTAGCTGCTAGCTACAGTAGCTGCTAGCTACAGTAGCTGTTAGCTACAGTAGCTGTTAGCTACAGTAGCTGTTAGCTACAGTAGCTGTTAGCTACAGTAGCTGCTAGCTACAGTAGCTGTTAGCTACAGTAGCTGTTAGCTACAGTAGCTGCTAGCTACAGTAGCTGTTAGCTACAGTAGCTGCTAGCTACAGTAGCTGCTAGCTACAGTAGCTGTTAGCTACAGTAGCTGTTAGCTACAGTAGCTGCTACAGTAGCTGTTAGCTACAGCATCAGAATGTAAACAGGAAGCTCGGACAATGCGGGAGTCACTGAAGTTAGTATTAGCGCCACCAGCTGGACCGAGCGTTGTACTACAGCACAGTTACTCAGGCACAGTTGAAAGAACAAGCATGAAAACCCGAGGAGGCTTTTGGAAAAGACTGTCTGTTACAACATTTCTATTTTGAGTAATCAGTTTTAAAAATGTGATATTTCATGTAAATAATGCATGTGTTTAATAGGATTGATATATTTGCGATGGGCCTTGTTTGTGTGATTTAAGTTATTTTGAAGGTGCATAGTGTCATTGTAAGTGAAGTTATTATAAAACTGTTAAGCTACATTTTCACTGTTTACAATGGCAGAGCCATCTCGTTTACAAGCATGTTTTAAGGCTTAATTCCTGTTACACTTATGCTCCATGGGGATTTAGATTAAACTGCATAAAGGAAAATCTATTTCTTTGTCAGTTGTAGTTTGTTTTTAAATAGAAAAAAATAAATCGATTAAAATCGAAAATCGGATTTGGTGTGAAAAAATCGGAGATTTTTTTTTTTTGCCATATCGCCCAGCCCTACATCTAGATTTAGGCTTTGTATCAGTCCAACCAAAGACAGCAGTGGATATATGTTTGTGTTTATTGTTTTATTAGGAGACTACTTTTCATTAAACCACTTTCACTCTACATTTGTTATAATGACATGATTTGAATAAATCACACTGAGTAACTGAAAATGAAGATGATGTCAAGGTTACAGTATTGTGACTGATCAAGCACAACAGTCACAGGCTTTCATTGTTACAATGCCATTTCAGATTCTAAATCATCACCATTAATGAGCCATGCTGTAAGCATGTACACGTATGTGTGTGTGACCGTCACAGCGCTCACCTCTGAGGGTGAGATATCGACTGCCTACAAAAATAACAATTGATCATTTAGTTCTGCTTGTCATTTTTACCTGAGAGCCAGGGCTTGGTATGCAGAAGAGGTCCACAGTGCCTCCCAACCACACACTCTTGCGCCCTTCACCACCCTATAATTTGCCAGATGCAGAGAATCAGTGGTTACTATGGCAACTACACAGAGGAGACTTTTTCTCTATTTTGGAAACAGGGTCTCACATAAACACACACCAGGGGCTGCTCATGCGTCATGGATGACGAGAAATGGATCTGACAGCGACTCGTCCAATAGATGAGGCCTGAGAGGCAGGTGACAGCTGTGATTGGTCACGTGCCGTGGGTCTTATGAAAACTGAAGCCATTTCACCGAGCAGGTGGCCAAAGGAAGTTCACTCAAATGAGACGCACAAATTAATCTGTGCTCTCAAAGGTTTTATGTAAAGTAAATGTGTATTATGTAGTTCTTTGTCTATTTAATTAAAGTAAGCACCATTGTTCGGTATTAGAGGTCAATATCCAAAGACCACTTCGCAAATTTACTTTAAAATTTCTGTCTGTTTTTGATCTTATGACTTTCTAAAGAAAAAGTCAGAATAGATAACTCACAAACTGACACCTGGTAGATATTTCACGTAGCAATTACTGCTGTGCCATTTAGAGCCAAACTGCAAATTAAATTGTGGTATTTGAATAAAAGAAAGTCTAAATCACCAGCAACACCAAAGTATGTCAGTGCTGAGCCAGTTAGAGCACAGTGGAGGATTATCCATAGGCACACTGCATCTGCTTGGTTCAGATAAGAGAATTTCTGACCCCAGGGAACCAAGTAAAAGGAAAACATGACAAAGGGGAGCGAGAAGGGAGAGGGTGTGTGTGTGTGTGTGTGTGTGTGTGTGTGTGCGTGCGTGCGTGTGCGTGCGTGTGTATGTGCGTGCGTTTTTTTGTCAACACATAAAGAATATAGAACACATATTGTAAAATGTCCATACATGTTGTAGAATGTTAAAGTGTCCTGGATCATCACCACAGTCCTTCTAGTTGGAAACTAACTGCCCAACAGACCCTCCTGCATCCAGTGGGAAAAAGTGAGAAACCTCGGGGAGACCCATGGTTTGAGAAAAGGATCTGCTTGCACGGACGGACGGGCTATAGATCCAGGACCTAAGCTACAGAACGTGGACCAGCGGCCGCTGAGCGTGGACAGGTCCAGTGCAGGACTGAAGAACTCCCAGGCGGGACAGGCAGTCCGCAGGTGGTACGTTTTTTGTACATATTTACAAGCTCTCTTTTTAATAGAGTTTTTTCAAATACATTATGTGAAACAGACAAAAGAAGAATTGGTGAAAAGCCTGCTTGCTGTACAGGGAGTGTCCTGGATTCAATATGAATATTGTATTTTCTCTTTTGTATGACTTTTGTATCCACTAGATGCCCAAATAAACACACTTATTGTTATTATTATTATTCATTAGCTCGTGTAGCAATTCAACTGAAGGATTAACATTAGCTAACAGGGTTTCCAGTAAATATGAATAATTATAAAATTATTATTATTTGTTATATGAGAATTGATTTAAAACAAAATATCCAAAACATGCCTTGGAAGGTGGTGAACATACTTGAAATCCCTCTTGGTAAGAAGCCTCCTGACTCATGTGTGAGCGAACGTGTGGGCAGCTGTCCTTATTCTGACGTCTCAGAAACGTCATTTCACAACAGTCCGCTACTCTGCACCCCCCCCCTCCCCCCACACACTACTCCGCTTTCTCCTGTCAAATTATGCAAATGAAGATTTAGGCTCAGAGTGCTTCAAAGAGCCTGTCCAATCAGAGCGCGGCGCTGAGGCATGAATTTGCATAGATTTGCACGGCTAATGATCTGAGCAAATCGAAGGAAGTGACTGTACCTTTTCTCCGCAATTATACAATACAGCAACTGACCTTAACTCCAAATGAAATCGTGTGAGAAATCCATTCATTTCTGTGCAGTCAGACTAAAACAAACTGCATTTGTTTGTGTAATTGCCCATGAGGAAAATAGTTGCGAGAGGGGAGAGGAGAGAGTGAGAGTCGAGCATAAACAGAGCAGATGGATAGGTCTATTAAAACAGACACTAATCCAGGCTATTAGCGAGCACAGTGAAGGATAGTGGAGGAACAGGACATACGTTGGGCTAATGGCACTAAATACAGTGCTAAAAGGAGTCACAAGCTCATATAGATTATTATAAATGTAGCCTCGGGATGACAAGGAGATTCTTCACTTTGCTTTCCTCTCTACTGAATTTGAACCAATTTTGATCATCCTTCTACCAATAATTGTTTGTGTGACAGAATGTCTTGTCACTAAAGCTGTGTAACAATAAAACATGTCTTCTTCTGAGACATTATCCCAGACCATCTTTATCTTCAGTAGTATTTATACTTGTGTTAAACTGACAGGGTATTGTCCAAAAATAATTCTCAAAGCCATCACCGTAGTATCAAAATCAGTATTGAGTATTGAGTCTTTTTTATTAGTATCATAATCAACGGATCACAACTTGCACTGGACTAAACTTGAGATTTTTACACCTGACAGTAAACCAAAACTGCACCAGTGTGACAAATGTGTGATGAATGGGTGTGACTAAGCCTGAAGCCTGAAGAGGGTGGATGCTGAGAGGTCTTACTTATAACACATCTCAATGTCAACTTTGTGAGAAATGAAAAGAAAACCTGACTTAGAAATGAGCAGTTTAAAGATTCCAGAGTTTAAACAGATTTGCTGGAACAAACAAGAAGTGAGCATATTCTTTGTATTGTTTGTATGGCAAGTGAGTAAGAGGAGGATTGAGCGATTGGAGCTAAATATATATGGAGGGCATTTTCTACAAGTCGTCTTTATTTACATAGTTACATAGTCATAAAGTGCCTTACAATTTTGTAGTAACCCCACAAAGTGATGGGAGTGGGGGCTGTCTTTGTGCATGTTTTTAGTGGTAGGGAAAAATGGAGCACCAGGAGGAAACCTACGCAGACACAGGGAGAACATACAAACTCAACAAATAAAGCTTCCATCTGGAGGTGGAATCAAAGCCATGGCGCCACACGTGCTAACCACTGTGCCACAATAGTAGCTAAACGTGTTTGTCATACACGTATCAAATCACACTCTGAAGGAGTGTCAGACTGGTTTGGGTCAGGGGCCCAATTTTAAAAGTAAAAGTTGGTCAGGGCAGGGCATAAACTATAACAGTGATTTTTGTATATTCATTTTTACATTTATGTATTTAAACAAAAATATTACTTTTTTTATAACATTTTCTGAACAAAATGAGCTCAGTTTGTTTGGATTTATTTTGGTTAATATGTAGTCTACATGTTGGGTTAAAATTTAGAATAAATTAGATGACACAGTTGTTTTCTTGAGCTTTAAAATTGGGTATAACATGCCATGGAAGCCATATTCATGGGCTTTGTGTTTGACAGTGTAACATAAAAATAATCACAACGAATTGTCACCAAGATCAGGACTGACCTCTTTCTTCAAAGTCCTTGGAAACAAACATGAACGCATACTACAGGCTTTTCCCCGAGTTCATCAGAAGTAACCTTCAACGTGTTCAAGAACAGGGCCTTGACTGAGGAATCCGCTGACAATGCATGGAAAAAATAGAACAAGTCAAGGATGCAGGTGGATTTTTGAGGACTCTTACATCTGCAGGCACATGACCTGTTGGAGTCACATGGGGATTGCTGCATGACGTTTCACTGCATAACCCGTCCTTATATGGTAGCGGCAAAATCAGCGCATATGTAAGAATGTGGGTGTTATAAGTCAACATTTTTACGTCACTATGAAAAGGGGCTCACCGTTACAAAACATCCTTTATTGTGATTGGTTCAGAGATCAGGCCTTGGCGTTCTCTGGGCCAATCAGGGTTTGTCTTGTCACATCCATTGTGAATGAGGAGAGGAGGGGGCTCTGGACTTGAGGCTGGAGGAGCAGTGAAAGAGGCCATGGTAAACAAGTAGGACAAGCAAACACACACGTTCTAACCATAGTGGACAAGCTTTCACTTCCCATTAAGTTCAGTGCTGCCCTCAGGATGAAGTAAAAATACTCAACAAGGGACAGTTAAGAATGATGCTCCTTACTGTAGTCACCATTATCACTGAGAAAATCACAATTACCATAATGAAGATGGTTCCACTTTGACTCCGCATGAAAAAAGCATTACTACAATCGCACAAAAGCCTCTTCTAACGCTGTTATTTCACCGGAGGAAGAGCCATTTTCAAGCGTAAAAATAGATCTACATACAACAGTAATACAAATATCAGTGCATTGGGTACCTGTGGGGGTGGTTTTAGCCTTGAGCATGAATTAACTGGTTATTTTCTAATCCACCATGACTTTATACATCCATACCCCTAAAGTAAATCTAGCCGAGGTTCAGATGATTCATAATCTGCAGGGAAGGGATTTTACTGTCAACACATTACATAAGCTCAAGTTCTAGTCATCCCACAGTGTCAATGCAAGTTAATGTTAGAACCTGACTGTATGTTTATGCTGAGGTTTTAAGGTAGTCACGCCTCATGTCCTTATCACCAGATTGACTCCTGCTGAGTTTCACAACAAAAAACACTGGATCATAAATCAAATTATGGTACAACATTTGTCATTAAAATACAGGTATTAAAAAAAATATGTAATGTCAATAATTCTGAGTCCTTAGCTTCTGCACTTAGCGTTGTTATCATATCATAAGCTACTTTAGCAGACGTCATTGATAGACTAAGTCACAAATGCTTGACCGTACCATGTCATTCTAATTTCAAACTCTATACTCTACTTTTTTGTTGTTGTTTTTTCTATTTGCATCTTTACTGTAGCAATCAATCCATTGTATATAGGGATGGGGTTGGGGGGATGTGCTCGCTGATGTATTTTATGATACGCATTTCATAAAATTATATAACCATATTTGCATTCCATTACATTATGATATGCTATATTATCTCCAATAGATTAATATGCACAAGCAAAATGAAAAAAAAAAGGTTTTAAAATGTAATGTAACAAACAGTGGAAACAGACCAAAGCTATGTGTTTAAACTATAACAAGTGTAAGACAAAAACAATACATATTAAATGTAATGCTGTTTCCCGCCAATACATGATATAATTTAATCTTACCCAGTTTTAATCATTGTCCAAATAACAAAAGGCTTTTCTCTAACTTCCGACAACTGCTTTATATTTTCCTCATAACCCCACAATAGAGATACAAACTCTGTCCTTTATTATCACAAAGCTGTTTTGCAGCAGTTCTCTTTGACAAATCACCACATTAAACATAGCCTTTTTACGCGGCCCACACACCTCCCTTTGCTTATTGGTATCAGATAAACCTGTTATATTTCCATTCATTTGTTTCCGTTTGTCAATGTGTGTACACTGGCTCATGCCCAATGTTCACTTTTGAGCACGAACAAACACACCATGGATCTTTCTCCTTGGTCGTTCATAATGTACTGATTGTTACTGACCCATAGACAACCCATTAATCAAACGATACAACGAACAGCCTACGAGCAAAACAAATATGACTGAGATGAATAGATGACTTACACAGTGCCTTACCTTCAAAATCAGAGCAAAATTAATTATTAAAGTGGGTTGTAAGTTGTTTATTGATCATAATTCACAGAGGAATTCACCTCAGGGGAGCTTTCTTAATATTCATCATGGTGTTTTCACGTGCACTGTTTTGTGCTGTGCAGTTGTTTGTCAAAAAGTCATTTCGATATATATTGATAATGGTAATATTTTAGCTCATGTGGAACAAAGATCCCAATAACAAAGTACCAGTGGAATTATACTGACTTCAAGTGGATAAAGCATCGAACTACAGGCAACACAACCCCATTATAACATATGAGACAGTAGCGCTCTCTGGTGGAAAAATGTGGCTTTACATTTGACAATGGGTCAAATGGGTGAAGGGATGGAATCAAAAGCATCATCTTTGGACAGCCTATAAATCTATATATTCTAGGGACGGACATTGAAAATTAGGCTTGGCTATAAGCAGTGTTCCACATGTTGATTGTGTACACTTTTCCCTATCAAATAAATCAAAACAAATAAATAAATCTGCCTAAACATGAAGAGAGAGTTAGCTTCATCACAAAATCATCACATTTCAAATGCAGAGAAAACAAAAAACAGCTTACACACGTTGCTTAATATCAGCCTGGTGCACATGCTGTTTTAAGACACGCTCTGATAGCTAATGACAACTCGTGCCCCTGTATTTTGACCATGATTTCATTCATTCTTTTTATGTTATTTTCTAAGGCAAGCCTGTAATTGTAAAGGAACGGGTAACCTTCCAATTTATAGATCCATACTTCCAATACACCCAGAATCGTTTCGATCACAGGGCGTGGACAGAGCTTCTGGCCCAATAGTGATGCGCGGGTGGGGCTAATCTTGGAGCGACAGACGCCCCCAGCGGAGGAGTCGTGCGCATGCGTTACTTTGCTCTACACCGGCGTCTATCCTGTCGCGTCGCGTTCTCAAAGTGTTTAACTTAGGACTTGGTATACAGCCCGATTGTCTAGGCATTTTTCACATTATATAGAAGCGAGCAGAGACATGTCTACGGCTAATTGGAAGCCTTTTGTTTTCGGCGGGCTGGCCTCAGTCACAGCGGAATGCGGTGAGTGATGCCGAGATGGGTGTTCCAAGATCCATGCATGGGGCGCATGCCTGGTTATTCCTGCAGACTAAAGCGTGTGCTGCTTTTTTCTTCATATTACAGGTACATTCCCTATCGACCTGGCCAAAACGCGGCTACAAGTACAAGGGCAAGTCGGAGACAGTAAATACAAAGAAATCCGGTACAGAGGCATGCTCCATGCCATGGCCCGGATTGGGAGAGAGGAGGGGCTCTGGGCTCTGTACTCGGGGTAAGTCTGTGATTCTAATGCTTTGGGCTTTCTGCTTTTGTGAAAGTGCCTAATATTTTGCAGCCATCTTGTAGAATGATAAATCTTACTTCCTGTATATAACGTGTCCTGCAGACACTGGCCCACCATCTCTAAAGCCTTCTGCAGTATCTCTACTAGGAGATCACAGAGCTGCTGGTGGGCCTCTGACAGGCATCTGACAGTAGGATGTCTAAAGTTACTTTAGGCCAGAGCTTTGTTTAGACATGACAACAGTTGACCTACTAAGACACCTGGTTTGGTCATTCCATGTATGCTGCATTAACCTGCATGTCTGTTCTTTTGATTTACTTTTAAAAAATATGTTTAACAACCAATGAAATCCTCTCTTCCTGACATAGGATTTCTCCTGCAATGCTCCGCCAGGCTTCTTACGGCACCATAAAAATTGGGACATACCAGAGCTTCAAACGAATTTTAGTGGAAAGACCTGAAGGTAAGTTTGTCCGGAGGAAGGTCACATGAAAATGGTTATTGTTGTAAGGTCACCCAACCAGTCACCCATAGTCGTAGACCTTCAAGGTACAGAGACTTTCAATGTGTTTTTGTTTTTTGATGCTTCTTCAATGGACCTTCTAGTAATTTCACCGGAAATGGTTTATATATTAATCTGATTTGTGTCTTATAGATTTTATATTGTGTCTGACTATATTGCATTGAAAGTGTAGATAAATGTATTTTCATTATTTTATTGCAAACCGTTGGGTCTCCATAATAGCCTTTATTTTTTTATTGACCTTTATTTAACTAGGAAAAGGTCACTTAGATTTCAGAATCTATTTTTCAGACGAGTCCTGGCCCCAGAGCCTAAAGCACCAGCAAACTGTCTTTTGCTGGTGTCGTGCTCTGGTCATATGTTTTTGATGTGCTTGGTTTCATGCATTCATGTGTTTATGGTAATACACATACAGTATTTGTTGTTTGATGCTACTAGTTTATCAGAGTTTTGACTAAAAAGTGAAGGGCATTTGAGTTCCTGTTCAGAATTGGAATCTTTATTAATTGCCATTTTCAAATTGGTGGAATTAGCGGGGGTTTTTTTACATCTCAAATCCCTACTTTTGTTGTTTACAGACAGACATACAGCAACAGCAAAAGGTTAGAGTTAGTATATAATGTAACTAGTCTGCAGTTCTATTGAGTGTCCTTATGGCAGATGAATGTACTGTTGGTGACTCTTACTAAATTGAATTTGTATATTATTTGTATTGCATTATTTTAAGAAGTTCTTCTAACAACTATAAGAAACTGTAAAATGACATTGAATAAACTTCAAAAAATAAAAAATTTGATCTTGTTTTTCAGATGAGACCTTGCTGACAAATGTAGTGTGTGGCATTCTCTCAGGAGTGATATCTTCCTCTATTGCCAACCCCACTGATGTGCTCAAGGTAACTTCACAAACTAACTTTCATACACATCTTCACAAACGACATTGGAGGAAGAGTACTGTTATTATACTCTGTTTAGAGCTCTTGTTTCCCAACAAGCGGGTCCAGTCTTAAGTGTTAAGTGTCTTGCCCAAGGACACGACGACAGCAGTCATCAGTGAGAGTCATGAAGTAGGTCTTAAGGTGGGCTTGAACCCATGACCTTCAGGCTCTAAGGCCAATGCTCTACCAACAGAGCCACTGTCGTCCACACTAATGAAGCATTATATTATTTTATAATATAATTTTAGTATTTTATTGTCTCCTGATGAAGAAACAACAATGTGCAATGGAAAATGTGTGGCAAACAACATTAACATGAGAAGGACCTGACAACAACAGACTTTTCAATAACTCCTAATTTTCAAAACATAATACTTAGTTGATTGCTCTTTATAACCATCTGAGGTGGTTTACATGGACACAGGCAGGTCGACATGTTCAGCCCTGTTTCAAAGTCCCTGAGTTGTGACCTGCTCCATCTCTTGGTCTTTTACAGCTCACTCTATGATGTGTCACTCCTTTTGTGTCTAGAATCATCTCTTCTGTTTTAGATACATTTAAGATGAAGTTGTGCTAAAATCTGTACAACAGGTTTGTAACACGGGGACAGTGTGGGACATCCTCTGCCTTTACTGCTTTGGTTTTGTGCCATATGGAGTAAAGGTCATTTACGGACTGAAAACTTGTGCTATGCTGTGGAGATGATGCGCTAAATATAGATGTGATGTCTAGGCCTTTTGGAAGGTGGTCAGAAGATTATTAAATCTCATGGTTGACATTGGGAACATTGCGTTTTGTGCTCACTGCTCTCACTGTAGAATGTATAAACAAGCCTTGAGTGGTTCCCGTCACTTCTGTCAACAAACCAGCTAAACAGCTTTAACTTTATTTACAGACACTTGTACTTCTATTCATGTGTTTTATATATTCAGCTAAACTTTCCAGTATTCTATTTATTCAACCTTTTATATTAACCAGGATAAACTCATTGAAATTAAGCAGGGCACTCTTATAAAATATTTAATCTAATTAATATTATTTTATAAGATTCGTATGCAGGCACAAGGAAGAGTGATCCAGGGCAGTATGATGGGCAACTTCATCAACATCTATCAAGAAGAAGGAACAAGAGGACTATGGAGGGTATACTAATGGAGTACAGCACAAGATGTGTTGAGTGTTAAAACATGATTGATCTGTGATTGTTGCAGGGAGTCTCTCTGACAGCGCAGCGGGCGGCCATTGTGGTGGGGGTCGAACTGCCAGTGTATGACATCACCAAAAAACATTTGATCTTGTCTGGTCACATGGGAGACACAGTCTACACTCACTTTGTGTAAGTGTACTTCACCTTTTCCTCTGCCATTACAAAACTGAAATTTCCCCATTGTGGGACGAATAAAGGACCTTCTTCTTCTGGCCCAGCTTATCCAGTCAAATGGACTCTTGTTTGGGCATGGGCACAATGGGCATGATGTAAATGTTTTGTTTTAAACTTGGTCTTAAGTTAAACCACTTGAGAAGCAAATCAGAATGTGGGCTTCACTGTGACATGAGCCTAAATTGGGTTGCCATGTTCAAAGGTGAAATCCCTTCACCTTAAGGTGACCTGTTTAATTAAGCACGTGTTGACAATGGCCATTCCACAAGTTTGTGATTCAAGCACTGCTGAATAGAATGTAAATAATTTGTATTATTTCAATTTGTTATTAAATCATTTTCCATGTAATTATTGGTGAATAACAAAAAAAATCTAAATTTACTGCAAAAATGCACATGAATTTTAGGAAAAACATTTTCCTTTTGCTTTATTAGGTCAAGTTTTGCATGTGGTCTGGCTGGGGCACTGGCCTCTAACCCAGTGGACGTGGTGCGAACACGAATGATGAACCAGAAAGGAGCAGCGCTGTATAAGGGCACAGGGGACTGTCTCTTACAGGTTGGTCAAAGCATTATTCTTGCATACAGCAAGTTTTTGTTTGACAAATGATGATTTAAAACTATGGGAAGAACATTCTAGAACTATTTGTGTAGCTTTTAGAGGTTTCACTTAAAAATGTAATAATTATCTTTATTTTCAGACATGGCGCTCTGAAGGCTTTATGGCCCTCTATAAGGGGTTCTTTCCAAACTGGCTACGACTGGGACCCTGGAATATCATTGTATCCTTTCACTATTTATAATTTTTTTCATTTAACTTTCATTTAACAAGGATAACCTCATTGAGTTTAGTAATCTCTTTCTCAAGAGTGTCCTGGACACGAGGCAACATTCAACACACATTTACAACATAAAGAAAATACAAGCTAAAAGATTGAGATAACACATGAAAGCATAAACATCAAATGAAACCAATAAAACACTAACAATAAGATATTTTATATAAAATAAGTACAATGTGCAGACTGCTAATCTAAAACATTAATCACTCTCTTAAGTACAGGGAAGTCAGTTCCTTGTGTCCAAGATTTGTTTGCAGCAGATTCCATGCAAATCGTGATGCAAAACGGAAAGCCATTATTCCCAGTTCGGTCCTAACTCTGGGGACGGACAGCATCAGGAGGCTCTGAGACTTCAGCTTATGGGCCCCATCACTCCTGGGCACCAGATACTGAGGCAGCAGACCTAACATGGCCTTACAGATGATAAGGTGCTGACGTTTTAGTCCGCGCAACGACAAAGGGCTCCAACCAACTCTCTCATAAAGCACACAATGATGAGTCAAAGACTTTAGGTTGGCACAAATCTAAGAGCTCCGTGCTACAGTGTTCCATGTAAGGCCTGTGCTTGAAAAGATGAGCAAAATTTAATCCTGAAAAATAACCCCATATTTTTAGTTTGCTCGCCAACCGCTGAATATTTGGTGCAAAGAAAGGCACTAATCAATTAAAAAGCCCAGATATGCGTGAGTTGAGACTCGCTCAATAGCCAAGCCTTGTAACGTGGTGATGTGAGGTAGGCAGACTTGGCTTTTGAGAACATTATTTTAGTTTTCTCTGCATTCAGAACAAGTTTTAAATAAAAGTATTTCTGAGGAGCATTCAAAGCCACTTGCAGTTGTTCAAGGGCATCAGAAGGTGTATATCCGCTGCAGTAAAGGACCCTCATTTGCATAAAAATTACATTAAAGTGAAACAAAGAAGTATTTATGCATTTAAATTAAAAGGTGTGTGTTTTATTGACAAAAAAGTTGTGAAAAAAAGATTTAGTATATGCTGATCAGTTCTTAAACTGCCCTTAAAAAGATTAGCGATTTGTGAGGGTGGAGCTTTGGGACAAAGTTTACTTAAGTCTTTGTTTGCTGGAAAAGCCCTTAACCAGGTGTGCAGTTCTTCCTCACCTACGAACAGCTCAAGAAGATTGACGTGTGAAGTGAAGAGTAACTAAAGGATGTGAAAGAACTGCTCTTGGATGAGCAGAAGGGACCAAAGCAGGCCTTGGTTTGCGGCCCACCCCGAGGCTGCACTGGACTTTTTGCATTGCTTGAGTTGCACATATATATCGAACGCCTGTGGTGACGGTGATGACTGTTTCACACCAAATGCATGCAGCACAGTGCAGTAAAGTGCTGTGTGTCGAGCTAGAACATTCAAAAGCGACTTCAAACCATTCACAGAAGTTTTATCTCATTTTTATATTCCAGCCCAAAGCCGTGGTAAAATACCCATAGAAGTGCATTCATTTTTAAAAGTGCCTGGGTGAGTGTTTAAGGCCTGAAGAACAGCGTCTTTTCTATTAATGGACTTTGAATGTTTGGTGGCAGCTGACAATCTCCAAAAATATTCCTTTTGAAAAAAGTCAAAGCAAATGTTCAATATTTTATTTTTTACAAAATTATAACTGATTGGAATATGGACAATTATTTATAATACCACTGGTGTAGTCAACACATACGAATGAAGTCTGAAACCTTGAGGATCTCATGACCTGCAGTTGGCCCCAGTGATTCAGTGTGCAGAAGTGAAGCCAGCAGCTGGGGGTGGGTGCTGGGCTCTGGGTCCCCCTGAAATCCAACACTCTGTTGGGACTTAGTACAACATGGTGTGTTATGCAACAGGCTCCACTCAAGGTAATGCCTCTGGGCTGCATATTACTACAAGATGGCTTATCTGTGGTTCACGCAGTGTATTTGCACATGCTTTTGTAAGCTTTCAAGAACTACAATAAACATGCATCTGACTTAAGAAAACTACAAATGCTGCCAAAGTTTAAGTGTTCTGTGGAACTTGTGAATGCTGCTGTACTGTAAGTCGTTGAAAATTAAAGTTTAAAATAAAAATTATGTTTCTTTGGAACCACTTGGTGGCACAATTGCATCATACATCTGAATGTGTACCCAAAGTATCCAGCTCTCAAACTGTTCAAGGGTGAATCTAGCACAACACTGCTGTTTCTGTGGAATAACTCACCAAAGCAGAGTAATGAAAAATTCAAAGGAATCTTGGATGTAATTTCTTTTATTTTGAGGTATTCTCTTGGCTGGTCTGAGTGGATTTACAGAATTCTAGAGAGTTTCTGCAATACTATATAACTTGTTTATATGAAGTTTGTCACTCTAAATAACATCAAATAATTCTGCATCTCAAGCCTGAGTTCTGTAACTTGCATGGCCTTTCTGAAAGATGTCTGGTCATAAGTGGTGGTGCTTTTGGGGACATTATACTGGCACAAGAGACCCATCATAATTATCGCAGTCCAGTGCTTTGTATCTGTTGGTTTAGACTTGCCTGGCATCATGACTTTGGCACAGCCCTCTACAAGCTGGACCAGTGTGACCCAAGGGGTGCCTGCCGTCAGACATGCTGCATTATGGGTATTATTGTGGCAGCCCTGAAGTGCAGAGGGCTAGTCTATTGTGAAAGGGATCAGAATGAGCTTTGGACCTGAGGGATACGGCTCTGCACCAACCCATAACCTTTTTTTCCTGCTTTCTGTTTGCTCAGCCATTTCTCACATCCAAATGTTTGTCACATCAAAACACAATCAATGGCCACATGAATGAAAAAGCACAAGAAAATGTAGACTTAAGGATAATTTATAGAAGGGGTCCATTTAGAGCAGACAGTGGAGGCTCTACATCACTGCTGGGATGTGATAGCTCCTGTTTGTATTAGTATTTCAGCAATGACAAATGTTTGGAGCATATGTATTTGTATTGGACTAAAATGATTGATTTTTCTCTTTGTTTACGTGCCACATATCCACTCGCATTTCAAATTACCCACAAAAAAGGGGTAGGACATGAAAATGAAGTTGTTTACTCCCTTTGATAGGTCATATATATTCACATGTTATTAAGTATTCTGCATTAACCGTGATTCTCAAATGCACACATCAATTCACCACAACATAAACTGGGACAAAATGAAAAGACTAAACCAAACCAGATGCTGGACTAGAACTATACTGAACTAACACTAAATCAGAACTAAGTAAAGACAGACGGCCTCAAGCGGGAGAGTGACATCCCCTAAACTCCTCCAAAGCCAAAGTCAACATTAATTCATCTTCTAACAAAAAGAAACATTTAATCAAACCGTTTGAATGCAATTTAATATTGAGAAATAATTGAGTACAGACTTTGTGCAATGGTACTAATTTGTGGATTAGTCAAAGTATGGCATATAATCAGATCTTTCATTGTAGTCCACATTGTCAAAAAAACAGAAATCAACTTTAGTTTGTAGTTTTGAAAATAGAAAGAGCAATATCTTTAGCATATCATCTGTAAATTATAAACACATGACATCACATGACAACACATGACATGGTAAGGAAACAACCCGTTTGTGTGAATGAGTGTGAATGAGTGTGAATGGGGGTGAGGGTGGGAGGGTTTTGGGTTGGAGCACTAATTGTAAGTGTATCTTGTGTTTTTATGTTGATTAAAAAAAAACACATGACATCAACAGATAAAGCAGAAGAAAATGGATGGACATTGAAAACGTTGAGTGACTGTTGATTGCTTTACACTTTAGGAGCAGGAGAATCCGAAACAGTAAATAATACGGTGGAATGCATGTCTACTCAATTAGTCTACTCAAATTGGATGTTCTTGAAGGCACATCCAACACCACCTGACGGCAGACTCTGAATTCTCCCCAACAAAATCATAGTTTAGTTGTGAATGACAAAAGGTACTGCCAATACCTGATACTCCTCGCTCATCCTGAGAAACAAGCCAAGAATGTTTATAATCATATTTGTGTTCCAGTTTATTTCGCAAAAGGCATTTCAACCTCTTAATTGCATCCAAGCAAAAAACAACCAACAACAGCAGCTGCAGAGGAGTGCGGTCGACCTACATTCACACCCACACACACACACACACACACACACCGCTGGATTGGGACTCTCACCCCAGGGAGCAAGGATCACAAGGCTGAGCCGCTGGTAATGCTGCTCCATTGTTTTATTAAGATGACAACAGGCCAACGCACAGACTGGGGAAGGAGATAAGTGAGTCCTCAATTGTTCCACATGTTGACTCTGCTGAACTTGAACTGTTTGGCAAAGTTGAGTTTTTGAAAGTGTAAGCAATTTTTAGAACTTGCATGGCATACACATATTGACATGGCTGGTTCAATTAAACTTTTTGTTTTCATTTGACATTTTATTGCAACCCCTGATGTAATTGACAGGTAAAACATGTGGTGAACAGACGGCAGAGTGGTTAGCGTTCTCAATCAGGAGGTTATGAGTTTGAATTGCAGTCAGCACAGGGCCTTTCCGAGTGGCGTGTACATGTTCTCCCTGTGTCACCGTAGGTTTCCTCCGCCACTAAAAACGTGAAATATCCCCCCGAAAAGTCTCCCTATTCATCAGGGGCCAGGACTCTTCTGTAAAAAGAAGAATCTCTGACTTTCCTGGTAAAATAAAGGTCAATCTTTTTTCTCATCACTTTATTTTAGACTTCTGATTTCCAAGAATCATCAATTTAGAGGGTTTTTTTCATCATGTGTTCTAGTAGTGACAAATGTGTAAATGTTTTGCCAAACAGAGATGTGTATAAAGCGGGTTTGGACAATCAAGTCATTCTAGTGCTATCCTCGGGCCACAATGAATCAAAGCAGAAGACAAATACCGCAAAAAAATCAGCAAAGAAATTGACAAATTATTTAGGGTATCTTTTCATCACTGTGGTGGGTCAATTTGACCCAAGGGAAACACAAGGGTTAAAATGTGTTAAAGCCCCCGGTGACCAAGTGCAAAGATTGCATGTTCAGACCTCTTCATTCAAAGAGCTGAACATGAAATGCAGAGAAAGTACCAAATGTATGATGGGAAACAAGATACAAAAAAACTCCAACATTGGTTATTTGTCATTAGTTGAAACAAAAACTAATGACATGGACTAGTCCTGAGCTGCTGCGACTGTGGTCCGACCTGACCAGCATAATTTTAGTAATGGAGAAACCTACGCACACACGGAGAGCATGAAAACAAACCATCCAGGCATTTTACTTTTGAAACAGGCTCTGCAATCACTCCTTGAAGAATGAGGGATTACACCGCTTTATGAAGACGCCAAACATGAGACCCAACCACCATTCTGAAGCACAACCCACTACCCACGCAGCCACAGCCCACAGCTCTCATTAACATCCAGCTTGTGATAAGAAATAAATATTCAAATATTCAGCAATAGCACCCTCATTGGAGGCCTTATTTAAAATTCCCTGCCCTCAAGCGGAGAGCTCACAGCAGGCAAAATCTACACAAATATTTTTCTTTGGTGTGAGCTGGTGGCTTTGGTGTCCTCCTACACCACTATGGATGATTTGGTTTTCAATCACAGAGCACAGTTCTAGGAGACATTGAATTTCCCAAAATGTGAATATGAACGCAACACAAAGTAATTATACTTTCACAGCACATTGTCTCCTATTTTAGCGATGTAAAGGTCATGTACTAATCTCTTCTAGTTATAGCCCTTCAAACTATGCTGCATAACATAAATGCGACAATTTGAGAAAGAGACAAAAGGATCAACCAGGTATTTTGAAAGGCAATTTGATGAGTTAAAAATGGATAAAGCGACTGCCAACTGGGACACTATTTTTGTTCAATCATAGAAGTAGTTCAATGAAACTTTTTGGGACTCTTCCAGGTTTCCGTTTTTCTGTCATGGCTCAACATCCAGGAGACTATAGGCATTGTTTAGGAGCCTTTTGTCAGTTTCTGCTACCTTTTTTAGTTTTTGTATTCCTATTTTGGACACGTTCACACGTAATAAGCCAAAACACGAATAATTCATAAATCACTACATCAGAAAGAATTAACCATACGCTGAGATGTATTGTTTGTAAAACAAATTAAAATGCAGCCGGTACATGTCATCCTTTATTTAGAAGGATTTCTTTATACAAAC